CTCTTATCTCACAAATCGTGCTGCTGTTTATCTTGAGATGGGAAAGGTATGATTTTCATATGTATAATGCTCTTTTTTTGCCCTGTATATGCTTGGTATGAGCTACAATGGTGATTAGTTTTAAATGTCAATGTGTTTTGATTCAGTACGATGAGTGCATTGAGGATTGTGAGAAGGCTGTGGAAAGGGGTAGAGAGCTTAGGTCAGATTACAAGATGGTAGCTAGAGCTTTGACTAGGAAAGGGACTGCTTTGACTAAGATGGCCAAATGCTCAAAAGACTATGAGCCTGCAATTGAAGCTTTCCAGAAGGCTCTTACGGAGCACCGTAACCCTGATACGTTGAAGAGACTTAACGAGGCGGAAAGAGCAAAGAAAGAGTGGGAGCAGAAGGAATATTTCGACCCTAAGCTCGGGGACAAAGAGCGTGAAAAAGGTGTTTGCTTTTGCAATTAATCTTTTTTTTTTTTTTTTTTGTGTGGGAAACTAAAGCTTATATAACTACGAAAACAAGAACGAATTTGCATTTTCACGCTGCTGATATGGTGTTTTTAAATACAGGTAATGAGTTTTTCAAGGAGCAGAAGTATCCTGATGCTATAAAACATTACACTGAAGCAATCAAAAGGAACCCAGAAGACCCAAAAGTAAGGCTACTTCACATTCATATGTTCTCAAGGTCTTCTACATTGATTTTTGTTTTCACTGTTTGAGTAACTTCCTACTTTTTTTTGCACACATTTTAGGCATATAGCAACCGAGCTGCGTGTTACACTAAGCTAGGTGCAATGCCTGAAGGACTAAAGGATGCAAATAAGTGTATTGAGCTCGATCCAACCTTCTCTAAAGGATACAGCAGAAAAGCTGCAGTCCAATTCTTCTTGAAGGAATATGACGACGCGATGGAAACATACCAAGAGGGTCTCAAGCATGATCCTAGTAATCAGGAACTTCTTGATGGTGTTAGAAGGTATTTGTATATACACAGATACACAGTGATTATTAACTTTCTATCTATTGCCATGAATTTGCTTAATGTGGTTCAAATCTATTCTGCAGATGTGTACAACAAATCAACAAGGCTAATCGCGGAGACCTTACTCCTGAGGAACTGAAAGAGAGACAGGTTACATTCTGATGATTCTCATGTATTTTTTTTTCCTCATTTGTGTGATTAAAAGAAAACCGGGAAGCAAACTTGGATTTCTCCTTTTCCTTTGTGTAGGCAAAGGGAATGCAAGACCCAGAAATCCAGAACATCCTCACAGATCCTGTAATGAGACAGGTAAATAAACAAACTGTCTTCCAACTCATAAATTGTGAATGTATGATGCAAATTTTGTTTGAATCAAACTTGTTACTACCGATGTTACTCTCTGTTGTGTGATATTTAGATAGATCTGACTATGTTTTAGGTATCGGGTTGAGTTTGCATGTTAGTATGCCTCTTAACAATCGAAAACCTTTCTTCCAAACAGGTACTGACTGATCTTCAAGAGAATCCAAGCGCCGCACAGAAGCACATGCAGAATCCGATGGTTATGAACAAGATTCAAAAGCTTATTAGCGCTGGGATCGTCCAGATGAAATAAACTCAGAAGAGTTGAAACATCAAATATCCGTTTTTGCAGATTCATTTTGTTCTCTTATTCTCTTTACAATCTGCAACAGTTCTAAATTTGTAACCGGCCAAAACAGATTTCCCATGTTTGCTGACGTTGTGTTCCGAACAAATTGCAATCATATTTTCTGCTGATATAACATTTACTGCGATCCTTAAATTTATGTTTCTTTACATTTCTATAAATTTTCTTGGACGTAATCAATTAGAGAACAGTGGCTAAACGACACTCCTTTATGACAACAACTTTGTCATTAACAAAACTTGAATCATTACAATGCTTCAGCTCTAAAAATTGCTACCGCACATACATAACTTGCCATTCAGGTCCAAAGAACTTAAAGAAAGGTAAGAAACGGAGTCTAGTGGCTTCACCGTCCCATTCAACCCTTTCAAGCCATTCTTCCTCTTGGTATTTAATGACAAATTCTTCAACCCTCATGACACTTTCAGAATCCAGTGGAAGCTTTTTCAGCTCAGTACACTTCGTTATGTGGATTGTCTTTAGACATGGAAAAGGCAGAGGTTGCCAATAGATGCTCGTCAACATTGGTAGATTGTGTAGGCGTAGACTCTCTAGTTTCTGGAAAGGAATGATACCACTCATAGTCATAGCTTTCTCTTGGCTTATTATTCCTTCTACTAGACCTGAGTCCAGAACCTCAAGACTAGTGAGGTTAGGAGCGAACAACAACCACGTCAAATCCTTCAGACCCTCACAGCTACTTATATGCACAGTGGAGAGGTTTGGGAGGAATTGAGTTTTGGGACTTCTGCTCCATGGTGATGATAAAGTTGTTCTCTCTATCTTTATCTCACACATTCCACACTTCCTTATGATGACTTTATGGAGATTATCCATATCTGGCAAACTCAGTACTCCGGATGATTCTTCCTGAACTCCTCTAAGTACTACAATTTGAAGACATTTCACCAACCTAGGAGCATCTAACAACTTCTCCACAACCAAGCTTGACTTGATACTTATGTTTAGAACTTCTAAATGTTCTAAGAGCTGCAACTCCTCCACTAAGCTCATGTCTAGCGACATCTTAGACTGTAAAAGTTGCAATTTCCTCAAACTTGACAAATTTGATATCCCTGAAATACTCTTAAGTCTCTTCATGTAATCCAATCTCAAATTTCTCAGCTTTTTCAACTCTTGTAGACCAACAGGTAGCCGCTTCATGTATGTCCATGACAAGTCAAGATAGCGCAAGGAGACCAACTTAGATATTTGGTTTGGCAATTTCCGGAGACTTGAATTCCCTGATAGATCCAAAACAACTAGCATTGGGATACACCGGAAGAATTCATCCGAGATATGTAGCAATGAGTCATTTTTCTGAAGGAACAGAGTTGTAAGTTCCAGGCATTCAGGACTGCCAGATATCGTTTCAATCTCATTTTCCATCAGCGACATCCTTCTCACAGAACTCCAGTTCTTGACATTCGGTACTTCACGTAATCCAACACCGACTTGCACAATACTTCTTTCTTTATGCTTCCCGAGATCAGATGCTATCCATAGAGCCATCTCCCGAACCACATCATGCATTTTAACTTGTTCTTTATTGATTGCTTCCTCCAACAACAAACATGCTCGGACAAGGATACCAATGATCTCATAACCTTGGCTTAATGCTCTTTCTCTACTTACATTTTCATCAATGAATCCCTCACATATCCAATAGTCTATCAACCTCTCTTTCTCCATACGATAATCTTCAGGAAACAGAGAGCAATATAGGAAACACGGTTTCGCCTGCTCCTTGTTTAAATTATCGTAGCTATACATTAGAATTGGAAGAATTTGTTCCATGCCAGAAAATTCTGCAGCATATGAGCTCAAAACGTCAATTGCATTACGCCATTCTTGTACCATCCTTTTGCATGCCATGGTCTCGCCAATGACATTAAGCGCCAATGGTAGGCCACTGCATTTTCCAGCAACTTCTCTTGCAAGTTCAGGAATGTCTGGATGGCCTTTCAATGTGTTTTCTCCAACTTTCATTTGGAACAGTTTCCAAGCTTCGTCGGGTTCTAGACAAATGACTTCAACCGGGTCATCAACCCCCATACACCCACAAACATCTCTAGAACGAGTGGTAAAGGCTACTTTGCATCCATTTTGTTTGCTTGGATAAGGGACTCCCAGCGCTTCTAAATTCACTTTCTCCCATATATCATCCAACAACAACACAAATTTTTGTTTCCCAAGGACATTGTATATGTCAAGGGCTCTCTGTTTTTCATTTTCATTATCCCACTCTTCGCCCCAAAGGTCTAGTCTTTTCCCGATGTCTCCTTGAATCCTACGGATATCTGGACTTTTAGACACCACAACCCATATCACAACCCCAAACCCGCTACAATTTTCAGAAAACTTGTTGTTGATTCGTGTGAGAAGGGTGGTTTTGCCTACTCCACCCATGCCATAAAGACCCACAATCTCGTCTCCGTCTCCCGTGAGACGGGTCCATACCCTTTCGAGCATTGTTTCCTGACCTACGATTGTAGGTTGAATAGGCATCTCTTCAATCCTAGCTATCGGATTGGCCACAGTCACCGTATCAAAATCTCCTTGAGAACTAAGACTCTCAATCTCCTTCAACATCATGACAACCCTTTTCCCATAAAGATAGCTAATTTTCACATTTTTAGAGCAAAATCCAAAGAGACACAACCTTTGAAGCTCAACGTCATTAGTGGTAAGCAGTTCATTGAATTTGTCCTCGACGGTCGAGACATTCGTTAGCCATCCTTGGACTTGAGAAAGCCTTCCACGACGCCTTGTGAACTCTTCTCTTTCTACCCTTCTTTGCACATCATCTCGCTTCAACTTGAGCACTTCCATGTCTTTCTTCATAGCCACTAGATTCTCGGAAAGCTTGCAAACATAACCTACATTGATGCATAAACCTTGAGAGATTTGATTCACAACTTGATCACATGACAACGAGACTGTTAAACAACCTCCCATTGCTGGAGAGGGAAAGAAGTGAGAAAACAGAAGATTTAGAGAGCAAAACAAGAAACCAAATTGAGTGAGTGACAATTATTCAAAAAGATGAAAAGAGGAGATAGATTTTCAACCACACAAGATGTCACCTAAAACAAAGGGGATAAATGATTACTATATCGAATTTAAAGATGTCACTGTATGCATTTAGACTTTTCCACGATTATGACATTTCCCACTACTCTTATAATATTGTAGAACTGTCAAATGCAAAAAGTTCGAATACATTTAAGACAAAACACAAAAGTTGACATCTTGTAGATATTTCCTAAAGAGTTTACTACCTACTGGATTTTTGGTTCCTTTTCCCTAAAAATATTGTAAAACATCCACAGATTATCTATACTAAGATGCTTGATACAGAACATCAGATGTATTCGAGCTACAAATTACCTGAACATCCTTGGCAACTCCATTTGTGTTACCAAGCAGCAGAAGAACCTGATAAAAAAATCTCTTTCACATGAATACATGAAAAAAATAAAACTGATGAAGAATCTGAAACTCTGATCTTTGAAATGAGTACATGATCTAACGGATCTGAAACATGATAGTTATGGCTATGCATCTGCTCTCTTGGCCAAAAACCAAAAACATGAATTCCATCATATGGTGATTTGGTGAGTATATGGCTTAGGAACAGGTAGCTGCACCTCAGCAAGAAACAACTCAAACCTCACATTCAAGCAATCCAATAACATTTCACAGTAAAACTACAATCAGCAACAGCGATTCATATAGCTGCTTATAACAAGTTTGAGATGAAATTACAATCATCCCCAATGACCATAATGAGAGGAAATGAAGATTCAGTTGTTCGAACTACATGAGAAATCGTTTCAGGATTACCACACCAGCAACATTTCATAATGCCTTCTTAGAACAACAAGCGATAAATAATCACCACTTTATGTAAACAAAACCAATCAAGTTTTTGTTTTATATACAAGAGTTTTAGGGACTAAGTTCAAACAAACAAAGGGAGATGAAGCTCATACACATACAAAATCCAAATAACACTTCAAAACATAACAAGACAAGACAATGGCAGATATAATACAAGGTCCCATGAATATAAGCGTAGAGAGAGGAAGGATACTGATATTTAGTTATTTACCATTGAGACCATACGAGTTTTTTTTTCTTCTGGAAAACCTGTTTCCCTTCATTGATTATACAAAACCAACTTGCAGGATGGCAAGAACCGGAGTCTTGTGGCTTTATCCTCCCATTCAACTTTTTCTTTCCATTCTTCATCTCCGTATTGTATGACGAGTTCTTCACCCGCAATGCAACTTTGAGAATCCAATGGAAGCTTTCTCAGCTTTTGACAATTGTTTTGTACGTTGATCTGATTCAGACATGGAAACGGTAAAGGACCCCAGTATATGCTCTTCAGTTCTGGTAAATCCCACAAGTGTAGATATTCTAGTTTCCGAAAAGGAACTATATCAGCCCTTGAAGCTTTCTCTTGGCTTATTATCTCTTCTACTTCGCTTGAGTTCCAAACATTGAGATGAGTGAGGTTAGGAGCAAACAACAACCACGTCAAATCCTTAAGACCATTGCAACCAGCTATCAGAACTTTGGATAGATTTCGAAAGCATGTGCTTGTCACACTTGTGTTTCCTTCTATAATTATATCCCGTATCCCACATCCCCCTATGAAGACTTCACGGAGATCACCTATGGATGGCAACGTCAATATTCTGACTGATTCTTCGTCAAGGTATTTTATAGATACCTTTTGAAGACATCTCACCAACCTGTGAGAGCATAACAGTTGTTCCAATGCTGGACTTGACGTGATCTCTATGGTTAGAACTTCTAAATTCTCCAAGCGTTCCAGCTCCTCCAGTAAGCTTATAGTTAGCCACATTCTGAAATTTAGTAGCCTCAACGTCTTCAAGTTCGACAAATGTGATATCCCTGAAACACTCTCAAGGCACAACATAGACTCTAGATTCAGATGCATCAGCTTTTTCAGCTTTCGTAAACCAACTGGCAACCTCACTATACTTGAATCTGACAAGTCAAGATATCGCAATGAAACCAACTCTGATATTTGCTCCGGCAACCCACTGAGATTGATATTCCATGATAGATCCAAAACAACTAGCCTTGGCATAGACCTGAAGAATTCCCCGGAGATATTTACCAGATGGCGGTTATCCTGAAGGAACAAAGTTGTAAGTTTAGGACACTCGGGACTGCCATGTATCTCTTTAATCCTGTTATTCACCAATGACATCCTTCTCACAACTTTCCAATCCTTAACCCTTGGTATTTCGTTTAACCCAAAACCGGCTCGTACAATGCAATTACCTACATGCTTCCTGAGGTCAGATGCTATCCACAGGGCCATCTCACGAACCACATCATGCATTTTCACATATGACTTATTGTTGAACTTTCCTCCCTCCACCAACAAAGAGGCACGAACAAGAGTACCGAGTATCTCATAGCCTTGGTCCACAGCTCCTTTTTTGTTTTCATAACCATCAATGAATCCCTCGCATATCCAATAATCTATCAGCCTCTCTTTTTCTATTAACGCATCTTCAGGAAACAGAGAGCAATATTGGAAACAAGATTTGACACTGTCACTTTCTAGATTATCATAGCTGTACTTCAAAATAGGAAGAATCTTCTCCTTCACAGCACCAAAATTTGCAGCATATGTTGTTAAAACGTCTAATGCATGATCCCATTCTTGTGTAGTCTTCTTGCATGCCATTGTCTCTCCAATAACGTTTAGCGCTAGTGGCAAGCCACAACATGCTCGAGCAACTTTTCTTGCAATTTCGGGAATGTCCGGGTGGCTTTCTAGTGTGGGTTGTCCTACTTTTTTTCTGAACAAATCCCACGCATCATCTGTACCTAAACAGCGGACTTCCATCGGATCATGAACCCCCATGCTCGCACATACGCTTTGAGAGCGAGTGGTGAATGCTATTTTGCATCCGTTCTCACTTGTTGGATTCGGAATTCCAATCTCGGTTAATTCCAATCTCCTCCAAATGTCATCCAAAAGCAACACAAATCTCTTTTTGCTCAGAAAATTGAGTATGTCGACTGCCTTTTGGTTTTCACTTTTATGGTTCCATTCCACGCCTTCAAATCCTATTTTCTCGCCAATCTCTTTCTGTATCTTGTGGATTTGTAGATCACCAGACACCACAACCCAAATGACGATTTCAAAGCCATCATTGGTGTCACAAAACTTATTGTTGATCCGAGTGAGAAGAGTTGTTTTTCCTACTCCACCCATGCCGTAGAGACCCATAATCTTAGTTCCATCATCCATGAGGTGGTTCCATGCCTTTTCGAGAATTGTTTCCAGACCAACAATCGTCGGTTGTAGAGGCCTTTCCTCCCCCACAGCTCTCCTAGCTGGATGAGCCACCTCTTCGAAAACCCCTTTAGATTTTAAGTCTTCAACCATATTCAACATCAAGAAGACCCTTCTTCCATAGTCATACCTCAATCTTAAGTTTCTCGAGCCAGCACCATAAAAACACAACCTTTGAAGTTCAACAGTTCTACTACTATATAGATCATTGAATTGGGATTCAATAGTCTTGACTCTCTTAAGCCATACCTTGATTTGATGAAGCCTTTGTAGACCTCCTTCTTCTGCTGTGTGCACCTTACGTAACAGATCAGCTCGTACTGCCTTGAGATCTTCCATGGCTTCTTCCAAAGCAGTGAGATTCTCCTTGAGCTTTTGAATATAATAGAGTTTTCTGCAAAAGCATCTACCGAGATGGTTCAACAATTGATCGCATGATACTTGGACAGAGACACAACTACCCATCTTGTACTTGACACGCAAAGACAGTTTCAAAAATGCAACGAGGAAGCTTAATCTTGATCTGCAAATTAGTAAGATGTGCAACGATTAGGTAGAAGAAAATAAATAATTCCACCCCCTCCCCCCTTGGAATTTTGCTGGAAAAAATTGTTTGAATCAGTCAAAGTCTTGGTTTTGTATGTCACTATGCATGGTAGCATCACATTTTTATGTAATATATAGCAAAATTCCAAGAATATGACAGTTGTAGATGCAACTACAGTAGCTATGTCACTTTCATTTCTACTAAATAATATGGGGAAATTGCCTACGAAAAAAATCTTCATCTTTATTCTTACTCCTAATGAAACCCCGTCTTTTTCAAAGGCATATAAACAAACAAGTTTATTCGTAAAATCATACCATTAAAAAAAAAATACTCAGCTCTGTTAATCACACCATAGCAGATTAGTTAACTTTGTCTTGAAAAATTACTGGAACTGACTTACTCACCACAAAATTCTCCCCTGAGAACTGAGCATCTCAACATGAAGATAACCCTTCACCCATAATGATAACTCTTTCTTAAATTTCTGGAGCAAAACCGACAGCTAGACAACTTATAAACTGGAGTTTCTTACCGCCCATTCACATGAATACAAAGAACATAAGGTTGATGCAGAATCTGATACCGTAATCTTTGAAATGAGTACCTGAACTAATGGCTCTGGAACACGACAGTCACTCATGGCTTTCCTAACCGAGAACTGAAGCATGAATTCAATCGTATGGTGGCTTAGGAACAGCAAGATTTACCTCCCTCTGCACAAAACACGCATTCAAGCAATGCAACATGCAATCCAAAAACATTTCAGACTAGTGAAATTCTAATGAGTAGTCTTCAGATTAAGTAAGTTACTGAAATTCCAGCCTTCCAGAGCAGAGGCTTTATCAGCTTTATTATACTCCAATAGTAACCCATCAGAGATGGACTCAGGATTAGGTGTATGTATGGTATGGGCGGAGTAGGCAAAATCTTACTCAAATCTTGCGGATCTCAACACTTTCAAACACCACAACCTTTCTAAACCAAGCATCTATTGTTGATCTGCTTTGAAAGGTGAGATTTTGCCTACTTGGACCATACATACAGAGGCGTAACCCCGAATCCATCTTTGATGAGAATATGACTCCCCATTGGCGCATAACCATTGAAAAACTTGATGACACATGATACTGAGACAAAGAAACAAACTCCCATCACTGCACAAGCAGAGAGAAAGAAATTCACAGAGTAACAACAACACACCATAAGCTAATTCGAATTTAAGTCACAATTTATAAGCGGTGAGTTCATTAGACCATTTATGCTTATTTTACAGAAAGCTGTATGCATTAGACCATTTATAAAGATTATTAACATTCTAATCATACCTAAATTTATGCTTATTTTACAGAAAGCTGTATGCATTAGTTCATTAGACCATTTATGCTTATAATGCACGAGTGATTATGAAGATGTTAATTCAAATATACCTAAATTTATTAAACTATGATTTTAACATAATTTGATAATACAGAGAACGAGTGATTATGATTAAAGTTTCAATCTTTTATTCACTAAACTCTATCAAGTTTCGACAACACACACAGAAAATCGATCCAAAAGAAGGTTAATTTGAATCCGAAACTAAGCCTAAAACGAAAATCAGCAATTGAATACCCAAATGAGAAAACAATGGAAGTTACCTCTGCGAGAAGAATCTATGTAATGGTCCGTTGCAGAATTATCTCTTTGCAGCTAAGCCTTGTCCTTCGTCGAGCTCAGGCTCAGCTCAGACATGATCTTCCACGTGGTGCCGCCATCTCTTTGGGTCCATAAAGAAGAGTGGGCCTGTCAGTGAACCCATTTCATTCAACTAATAGCCCATTTCTTCTTGACTTTGTCCACAAGAATATATATAGCCCATATACCACATTTTGGAATATTCTCGCTCTCCAAAAAAAAAAAATGCACTTTGCGCCTTGCGGTCTAACAATAACAAAAATTGTGGTAACTTTTGATTATTTAGGATGATTTATTTCAAAAATTGTGGTAAATTTTTTTGTTTTTTTTGGTCGTCAAATTGTGGTATTTAAAGAGACCTACTTTACATAAATTAAAAAGGGAAAAAAGAGAAGGGCGTTGCAATTACAAAAGAAATAGAAAAACAGAACAATATATTGGGGTCATGGGGGCTCCTCATCCTCAACACAGACTACATGAAGGTTAGATGTGAACGAAGATTCAAATAACGGGACCGAATACATCAATCACTAAACGAGAAATGTTTAGCTTTACCTCTCGTTGATAAGATCAAAAATTCAAGAAAGCATATCCAAAAAGCTTTTGTCTAGTCTACCATCCGAGAGCATATCGATAACCATCTTCATTGTGGAAGCATCAGCCGAGAACCTGCACCTCTTCATTTGTTCGATGAGTTCAGCTGAAGTAGTTACATCACTACCTTGGAGATTTGCTCGGATTATTGTGTTGTATGTATATTCATCTGGCGCATGCCCATCCTCTTCCATTTTTCTAAGCAACATATTTGCTTCAGACAGTGAGCCTTTCCTACATAATCCTGAAATCATTATGTTATATGCCTTGACATCATGCTTCACTCCTTTGAGAGGGAGGCTACAGAATAAATTCCAAGCATCCTCGACCTTATTAGCATTGCACATCCCGTGAATAATGATACTATATATACCAATATCAAGATCCATCTTACTCTTCTCTATTTTTTCAAATATTTCCAATGCTTTCTCTAGTTCTCCATTGTCACACAACCCATCCAGCAAAATTGTGTAGGTCACAATATTAGGAGGAACACCTCGAGATACCATCTCTTGGAAGAGTTCTTTGGCAATATTAAGTTTTCCCGACTGACAAAACCCTTGGACAAGTGTGGTATAAGTAACTGTATTAGCAACCACTCCTCTCAAAGACATTTTGCGGAAGAGTTCCAAACCATCGTCAACCCGCTTAGCCTTGCAATATCCATTTATGAGGATATTATACGTCATGATATTAGGATCACATCCCTTGCTAATCATCAGATCCACCAACTGGTTGGCCTCATCTAGGCAGGTCTCCTTGCAAAACCCATCTATCAAGGAACTATATGTAATCGTATCAGGAGATAAACCTGGTTGAATCATCTCCTTGTGCAGTTCTTCGGCCTGTAGAAGTTTTCCCTCTTTCACAAAACTATCAATCAACGCATTGAAAGTGATGACGTTGGGCGTAATTTTCCTTGTGATCATATCCCTCAGCAACTGTGCACCATCATCCCATCTACCAGCATTACAAAATCCTCCTATGAGAGAGTTGTAGGTAATAACATCTGCTTTGATCCCTTTCATTTTCATTTCATTGAAAAGGTTGAGTGCATCGTCGAGGCACCCGTCTTTGCAAAGACTATCAATGAGGATATTGTATTTGGCTGCATCGAGCTTAATTTTTCTTTCTTCCATCTTTCTGAGCAAATCCAAGGCCATAGAAGTTTTCCCGGACTTGCACATTACATTTAAAACCGGTCCATAGGTAACTTCATCGGGTTGACAGCCACTTTCAACCATTCGATCAATGAAAACCACTGCTTCAGAGACTTTACCTTTGAGACAAAGGCCATTGACCAGAGTGTTAATCGTTATGAGATCGGGTTTATGTCCCATTTCAATCATTTGATCAACTAACCCCACTGCTTCGGAAACTCGGCCCTCGAGACATAAGCCATTGAGTATAGTGTTGAACATGACTGTATCAGGCTCATACCCAAGCTTCATGATTTTCCCCATAGTAGAAAAAGCGTGAGAAAGTTTACGACAGCGACAGAAACAATTGATCATAATACTCAAAGTGTAGTGGTTATGTGCAATCCCATTCAATTCCATTTGCTTGCAGAGATCTAACACTAGATCATACTGTTTCGTTCTGGCAACAGCACTAAACAATTTACTGAAATCAATAAGACTAGGACGAGGACGAGACTGAATCATGTCTTGGAAGAGATCAACAGCAACATCTGCCTTAATATTGACAAGCCCAGTTCTTAATCTCTCTCTATAAGACAGATTTCTATCGCTGAAACTAGAAAAGTCTCTTCCGCAGCAAAAAAATAGCCCATTTGGGCAACGGAGTAAAGCATTTCTCTGAGTACCTGTCTCCAGGAGACGAGACTGAACAAATTTCGAAGCTTGAGGACTCAATCTCCGTATCATCAACTTCATCATCTCAAGCTAAATCGTTCCTTTCTCAAACTCTCTCTCTGTGTAATTTTGCAAACCCTACAAAGCATCCATGGGAGGAGCTTAGCTTAGAAACTTTAGAGACAAAAGAAACAACACCCGAAATTAAACCGGTTCAATTAAAAGTTAAAACTATACCGGAATTGGTTTAGCTGAGTTTTTCCTTTTATATCTGTTTTTCAGGCAACGGTTCTGATATGCTTTGATCTAGCGATCCAAAGATTGACGTGCGAATTGGGGAGTGTTTGTAATTTTGTATCATCGACTCGTGTTCTTCTTTAACCGGTCTAAACCGGACATTGTATGTTAACAGATTCAGGGTGTAGTGAGCCGAAAATTTTGGGTCTCACTCTAGTGCTTGTATATGTTCTTTTCTTTTCACCACTACAATACTTCTTATCATTTACAAGTGGTATTCATTAACGGTAATATTGTTTTCAGAGCTTTGATCTTCACACAAATCATGTATTAGTAAAAAGTAACAAGAACATGTAGAGAATGCATCTATCTAATCAAACTTTGAAACTTGCATCAGACTGAAATTTCATTTGCGCCTTACCATCTACATAAGAGAACTATACCATAACAAGAACCAAAACCAAGTCAAAAACTACCGTTTCAAGAACATGAATTACAATGTCAGTGGCATAAGCTGTTTCAAAGTGTTCTGATGAGCCATCATAATCTTTATTACCTTAAACCATGAAGAACTTCTATGTTATCTAGGTACAACATACCTTCCCAAAAGACAAACAACATAACAACATCCAACAGCAACATAACAACACCGAGCCAAGGATATCGAACAGCACAAGCTTAAGAGCAACAGAAGATCTTAAAATCATTTCAAAATCTTTTTACTTTCCATTTCATATACCAACAAGACACAGTCCTGGTCAGTGGTCACAGAATCGTGCCATGATAAGGGTATGAAACAAGAAGATGGTATCTCATTCAGAAGACTACTATACGATGCAGAACATGAAACCAAGTCTTAAACAAAAAAAATACTAAAAACAATTCAATGTTAGCTATCGAAATCAAGCACATTTCACAATCCAAAGAGCGAAAAGTTACCACATTGTGAATCAATGAGACTCCTTGATCCAATCCACCGAATTACAAAGGCATAAAGGACAAATCTTCACATTCTTAGTGATTAGATAAGATAAAGAGGAATCACACAGACAACATTTCCATTGAAAAATGAAAACAAACATGAAGAAGATAAAGTTAGTAAGCAAAACCACAATGATAAAACAAACCCTAGCTAGGATTCGCTCGAAATCAAACAAACAAGTGAAAAAACAAAGAATCTCTTCTTAAAAGTTTCAAATTTTCAAAACAAAGATTATAGATCTCACTTAGCGACCATCCTTGCTATGAAATCTTCATACCGGATCTTCCCATCGGATCCAACATCCACCTCCTTGATCCACTCATCGAACTCATTAGGCTCCAGCTTCTCTCCAATACTGGTGAGAATATGCCTCAGATCCGCTACAGCAACGAACCCTGTACCTTCCTTATCGAGCACTTTGAATGCGTCACGAAGCTGGCGATCGAAAGGTTCCGTCTTTAGGTGTTTTGCCATGAGATCGAGGAATCTGTTGAAATCAAACGGAGAAGAGAGGTTTTCCGATGCGATTATGGATTTCAGCTGGGCTTGGGTCGGGTTTCCGCCGAGAGATCGCATGAGGATCCCGAGCTCTGACGGCGCGATTTTGCCGTCGCCATCGGTGTCGAATAGCATGAAGGCTTCCTTCATCGATGAGACCTGATCGTCGCTCAGACCATCTTTCCCCATTCTTCGATTCTTCCGGGTTTTCGGGTCAGATTCCGGGTCGGGTGTTTCTCTCTTTTGCTTTCTTCTGTACAACGAAATTGGGATCGAGAGAGAGCGTCGCGTTTGTAACTTTTTAACGAGAGAGGTAACGATACGACGTCGTTTTTGTCAAGGCCCAACTAAATCTGGCCCATTTATCTCTTGAAATCTTAAAAGATGAACAAAGTCTAACCAATCATATTAGTGGAAATTTAAAGTTTAAGATCACATTTTTGAAATGAATAAAGTCTTTTGCCTATAAAGCTTTCATATGTTTGCTAGTTACAAATTGAAAATGAATAAAGTATTAGTAGGATAATTTGAGTGGGGTTTGCATTTTAATATTTGTATATATGGCAAATGAAATTGCTTAAAATGCTTCCACTAAAGAATAAATCATCAAGTTTGAGAAAGTGGGATAAAAAGAATAAACATGACCTAATATTTCTTTAAGCCACAACCGATAATGTCGTTTTCAAAGTGACATAGGAATTATAAAAAGGTTTTATTTGTCCCACATAATTGGATCTATGGGGTACAAAGACAATTGTTTAAATGCATTAGAGCATCTCCAATGGATGTATTTTAGGGTTCTCTTCTAAGTTTCTCTTGAAAAAAATGCTGAAAAATAAATCAAAACTCTGAATTTTTAAGAGAAACAGCTCTCTTGAGAGAAACTTTGAGTAGGAAGAGAGACGATGACGTGGCTTAATCTCAACCGTCGATTGTTTTGATCAAAAAAAAAAAAAACAAACGCGTCAAAAAAAAAATTAAAGAAGCCAAAGACTTTTGTCATTTCCCGACTGTTCTCCTGTTTCTCTCTTTCTTTGCGAAACCAAACACTTTTCTCAAGCCGCCGGCGACGATTGAGGTCACGATTGAGGCCGCCGGCAACGATTGAGGCCGCCGGCAACGATTGAGGGAAGAATAGAGAGGCCGCCGGCGACGATTAGGCCGGATTCGTCATTTGCCCCACCGCATGTCACGATCGGGAGTGAGAGAGATATACAAATCGGATATCCAAATTCAACGGATGGAGAGTAATCGATTCAGGTTGAATTGTAATTGGTAAGAGCATATACTTCTTTTATATGCAGTTTATAATGATTTAATTTGGGGAATTTGATGTTTTTTTTAGGGTTCTTTGAATTTTACAAACTAGGGTTCATAGTTTCGTAAATTAGGAATTTGCTTAAGACTGATCGATCTTCTTGTGTTATTTTCAGTGTATGAATCAAAGAAGTATTGCGTTAGGCCTATATTGATCAATTTTGTTCATGTGGTGGTGATCGGCAAGTTTATTCTTGGGATGTATCAACCAGTTAATTGTATATCGATATCAAATGATGGAAACTGCGTTTTAGCTGGTTGCTTGGATTCTACTATGCGTCTACTTGACAGGTAAAACCAAACTATATTGTATATTTAAGCATAACCATTACAAGGTTTGGTATAATTAGGAAGCCTTTTGTTTTGTTTTGATTAGTTCTATGTTTGGTTTATTTGAATGATGTAATGTTTTTGATTCTTATAGATTGGGCAAGGAACTTATAGTAATGTGTACAAGGCGAAAAATTTATTGACTGGGAAGATTGTAGTTTTGAAGAAAGTTAGGTTTGATAATTTGGAAGCAGAGAGTGATTCATGGCTAGAGAGATTCTTGTGTAATGTAGTAGATATGATTCTCGTGATTTTTCAACGTCCTTTATTTATTGCCATTCATTGGATTTGGTTCTTTTATTATCTCTGCATATTGTGATATCTTTACTTAATGTTGAGTGATTAAAAAGTAGATTAGTATAGAATGTACATGTTGAATAAAAAATGAGGTGTAAAATGTAAACATGTTATCTTCAAGCTGTTGGATCTTTCTGTGTTGGTTTAGTGATATTTTGGTGGTTTTTTATTATAGAAGGTAGTAGGAAAAAGAAAGGTTATGGTGATGGAGATTGGATTTGTACCAACGTACGAGGATAAAGATGGAGATTGGATGTTGGTTTGGTGATGTTCCATGGGACATGTTCTCTTCTTCGTGTAAAGGATGTTCCTGCTCGGAATCATGAAAGGATGCTCCTGCTCTAGACTCTTCCTTATGATCTACTGAAGATGAGAAGCTTTTGTTTAAAGGAGATGATGACTATGATCGATGATCTCCTTTTTTGTATAATACGGACATATACAATTTATAAATGTTCTTTTTATAAATCGTCTCTAGTGATGTTCTTTTTGTTTTTGTATTTAGATTTGAAGCAGTTTGATATAAAGATACATGAGGTTTTTGGTATAATACGAACATATACAATCTGTAAATGTACGTATTAAGTAGCAATGTTATATAAGATCAGTTTATGTTCTTGATCATGAACATTGTATTTTAAATTTCTGAAACTTATACACATTTGTTTAACCAAAGATATTAAACTTATCGAAGTATGCCTACAAATCTCGGGAATATATTGGCATTCAAAATCGAGTTCGTCATCGAGATATGCATCAACAATTGAAAGCTGATTTGGTTGAACATATATGGCAAAAATTTCGCAACTAATCGTTATTCCGGTTTTGTTTTTGCATATTTTTTTTTAATGTTTTAAAATAATGTATGTTTAATATTTTTATAACTTGCAATAATTATTAAATTTTATAAAATAAAATATTTAATAATTTTATTTTTTAGGAGAACCCCACTTGAGAACCTACCATTGGACTATGAAAAATTTAAAAAAAAAAACAAAAGTTCTCATCTCATATTTTCACAAAATTTAATCATAAAAAATGGAGAGAGCCCATGGAGGGACTCTCTCCATTGGAGATGCTCTTAGTCACCATCAATGTATATAGCATATGATATCATCATGTGATTTAAAAGGCACCTTCCACTTGGATAATTTTTCACATGTTTGAGTTCTTCTATACTTTATCTTTCTTTTTGGTTTGCTTTGAAATGTGATTCACTTGTTTGAAATTTATGCCATTATCTATGACAATCTCCATTATCCCTAGATGGAAAAAAAGTATCCAAACACTCCTTATCAACGATCAATGAGACATTATCTATTATATCCAATTAAGAAAAGGTTATTCAAAGTGTATTAAATGATTATCCAAGTGCACATACCTTAATCAAGTTTTGTTAACTTAATCATCCGTTTCTAGTTTTATTAACACAATCACATAGTAGTTTGTATGAGTGTCTTGGTTTTGTTCGATTAGGACATGTAACATTGACTTGGTTTTAGTTATCACATGATTCCGAAGTCAAGTTTAATTTTGGGTTTGGTTAATGTTTTTATTGTATCAGCTAAATGAAAATTTCAAAACTTAACTACTCTTAACTAAAAACAGTAGATAAATCGGTGTAGCCTAATTATAGACTAATTAGTTTAAATCTCATTAGCCTACACACGTCAAATTCGCTTGGAATAGTATCAACGTCGACGATCTAGAAACCTTATCTTTAGAAAACAGAAAGAAAGAACAAAACACAGTAATATTTTAGAAAATTTACCTATCACTCCCACATATTACACATTTTCTAAATATAACCTTCTACACCGCAAAATTTAAGATAACAGTACTCTAATTATCTCAATTAATTCATAACAAAAGCATTCTCTATGTCCATCTTCTGATTTTAAAGTAACAATTTCTAAAAAAAAATAAAAATAAACAGCTAAATCTGGGGGGTACTTAATTAAAGTTGATAGTATTGGGGCTAAATCTAAAAATAAAACTAAAATACATGGGCCATATACATAAAAGAAAGAAACGAGACTTTTCTTATTGTCTACGTCCTCTATAAAAGCAACCTTTAAGCTAAAACCCAAACAAGAAGCAGAACCCAAGAAACGTGAGAAAGTTGGAGAAGACCAAGAAGAATAAGAAGAAGAAGAAGAAAAAGAAGAAAATGAAATTGGTTTGGTCTCCTGAAACAGCATCAAAGGCTTACATAGACACCGTTAAATCGGTAAGTATTTTTATTTTCCGGTGAATCGTGCCGGAATAACCCACGTTTCTTCTCCTCAGTTCTCGAAAATCCAGATCTTAATTTCGTAAAAGATTCATGATTTGTTCTTGTAATGATAATTTTTGTTTTTGTTTTGTTCAGTGCGAGAATCTTGAAACGCCGGACGCAGCGGAGCTAATAGCGGCGATGGCGGCTGGATGGAACGCGAAGCTGATCGTGGAAACTTGGTCAGAAGGAGACGCAATAGCGTCAAGTATTGGTTTAAACGTAGCGAGCCAACACGCAAACGCTAAACACATATGTATATTACAAAACTCGAGATCAGAATCTGCTTATCTCCAAGCTATTCAAGAATCTTCATCTCCTTTGAACTTACCAGAGACAATCATCGCTGAAGAACCCGAAAAAGCTATGAAGAAGCTACAAGGAATCGATTTCTTGGTCGTGGATTGGCGGGACAAAGAATTTGCAGCTGCTACGTTGAAGAACGCTGCGTTTGGAAGCAGAGGAGCGGTTGTGGTTTGTAGAAACGGGTATTCGAGTTTGAGAAGGGTTTTAAGAGATCGTAAAGTTGTTAGAACGGTGACTCTTCCGGTCACCGGAGGTATTGAGATTGCTCATGTTGCTGCTAGGAACTCAGGGAAGAGTGAGAAGAGTAGTAAGAGAAGATGGATCACACATGTTGATCAGAGATCAGGAGAAGAACATGTGTTTAGTATCTAGAAAGTAAGAGACAAATACAATTTGTGATAAGTGTTTATTGGATCTTGTATTTGTTGTGTTTGTACATAAGATTCCATAGATGCAATTGTTATTGAAAAAAAAACATGCTTGTCTTATAAATGTGATCGTTGTGTTAAGCAAAACTACTATTTCTGTTTGTCACTCATTTGCTTTCACATGCTTCTATTTGTCTACAATGTTGGGAAGAATGAAGAACACTATAGACTATCGAGTGATGGGCTTAAAACAGTTGTTTATGAGTTCTTGAGCCCATTACATTAGTGCTCTCCATGACTTGTAATCATATCCTTGACTTTTCCTACAAGAAAAGTAATTGGGTTCCCACATAAATGGTAAGAAAATGACCTAAAGTGATTTGGTGGGTATGTTCGTTGCCGACGAGGTTATCATTACAATCGAGGAGAAAAAATTTCAACTCGGGCCAATTTATAATAAGTGGATTAACTTATCTTCTTTATTAATGTTAGATCCATCTCCACTTCAAATAGGAGATACTTTAACATGTTATATCAACATGAGAACGGAAACATCACATCATCATGCAAATACCACTACAAAGTGGGGAATAATCCATCAGATCAATCATGAATCTAAAATCATATGCTTCTAACTTCAAAATTGATTAGCAATTACTAGATTGATTTATGTTGTTTATATAATATGCTGATTATTTTCATCCCTACATTAATGTGGGATAGTCTAACGACTACCATACCCCAACCAGGTTTTAGATTGACTTCGAAACAGACCTTCCAACAAAATCATAATGAAGAAAAATATATATACATGTTATCGATAATGTCGAATCATGGATTTCTGCCATTTTCCAACTTGGTGTTTTCGATATGGATAATGTCACGAGAAATCAAAGGCAAAAAGAGACAGAAAACAAGCTCAAAACTCTTGGTTAATATCCTGTTTGTGAAACATAGTGGTTCGTTTCCCGGTTTAGTGTGTCGAGATGTTAATTTTCGGTTAAGAAAGAAACATCGTTATGGTTTAGTCCCATTTCATGGGTTTGGGCCTTTTGGCTTCTCTGTTCTAAAAACGGTTTTGGTTGGACTTTAACGACTAAACACTGATCAATCAACCCAAGTCCCAACTAGTTAAAATTACTATATATGCTTTTTCTGGATGGTTTTTGGTATTATTCAAATGTAAACACAGAAAGTTAATAATAACACAAAAAGTGAAGAAACAAAATTTTGTTTGATGAGTGATAAAAGTGAAGTGTACGTTAAGAAAAATACAAAGATGGGCTATGAAAAACAGATGACGCATTGCGTTTGTCGTGAACCGAAGTTCCCTGCGGTGTTGGGCTGTCCGGATCCTGAGCGGTCTGACCATCATGCGATCATTAATATTATCTTAATTTTATGAAAATAAATCATAAAAAAAGGGGAAATAAATGAGAAAGGAGGTAAGAAGGCGTCACGTGCACATGATCCAACCGGTGAACAGAGACATGTCACGCAAAGTCAGCCAATTTTCAGAGCCCAAAACCATGAACCGATTCAAATATTAATGAGGCTTTTGGACGATCTTACCCTCTCTTTATCCCAGTTATCACCATCACATGCCCCTTGTTTTCTCTCCTCTTCTTTTTTTTTTTTTTGTGCTAGCTGGCTTTTTTTCATAATAAAACTTCAAAAGAAAATTAAACTCAAAAAATGAGAAAATAAAAAAGCAAGCATGATACATTCCATAAATCATGTAAGATATATATCCGTTTTTTGAATCTTCCCATTATCCCTTAGTCTAGGTAAATTTTGAGTCGAAAATAACAAAAACTTTATTTCATTAAATTTACGGGTACAAAGGCTTTTTTTGAGAAAGCAAAAAAAAAAAAAACCCGTCGAATTTACATGAAAAAAATGCATGAATTTTTGTTGTCGTAGATATATTATGAGTTTAAAACTTTTAAAAAAATGTCAGCAAATTTTTTAAAATGTCTTATATTTAATGAAAGTTCAATTAAGTAGTGTGGTACTGTGGTAGCATTATGTTTATGCTTTGTTTGTCAGTGTTATAAATTCATGTTTATCAGTACCTTCATTTTTACAACATATTATGACAATCTATAGTTTTATTTCAACATGAATCTTTTATTTGAGAATCTATTTTACTCGAATATCTATAACCTTATAATGCTAAAAACTACATGAATCAAAATGCTTTTTTCACCATCCTTTCTCAATTCTCATGCTTATGAATTCATATCAAAACCAAGATCACATGAATTATAGAATGAGAATTAAAAGTTGAGGAGCTGAAAGAGAAGACAAAGCCAATGAATAAGGCACACCAATCTAACAAGTCATAGGCCAAAAGATGTTTTGTTTGGTAATGTGGGTCAACCAATATCATAAATGAGGTAGCTGGATTTGCATTTGTTGCTCTTCTCGAAATTTAATGTGACAATTCCCCCTACTCGATATTTATTACTAAGCAACAAATAATAAATACTACTATCTCATTTTAAGTGATTTGATGTCTACGTTTTACTACGTTAATTACTCACGAGCTCTAATGAATTATGGAACTGCATATCTTTATTATGTATTTATGAAAACAATCATCTAAGGATGACAATGGTAAAAGTGATAAAAATGGCAGAAGCTGTTAAATTAGTACGATATAAAAACGATGAATTTTAATGGTAAATTTTTTTTTTAAAAATGATATAAATGTAATGTCTTTTTTACTCGTACAAACCAAAACTCTAACCTAACAAAATAATCACATTTCAAATACAAATACAATCATATGTATGTGATCTCATTTTAAAAATAAATATCCCTTTATAGGTCATCATTGCCAAATTTGACGCTAAATATTAGGTTTCACAATTTTGATTATTGAATTAATTTTTTGTCGTTTCCACTATAAGCTGGGTTTTTTACAGTTGCCCACTTCTATAAGCTAATGTATGTTGGGATCTGAATGGTAGCAGAATTAGAATACAAATCAAAACTTGCAAGCATCAAATCTATATGCAACCCAATATGCATTTATTGAAAGCAAATTTTTGGTACACTTTATATGAAAAGGAAAAGATTGAAAAAGAAAATAAGTGCTTATAAATCTCTTCTTCATTTTTTTTTTTTTTTTTCTGACATGAGATGGTCGTTACACCCATAAATATACACCTACGTGTACGTATATCTTTGTTTGTATTTTGTATAATTCCAAGTATATATTCACCAATACATGGAAATCAAAATTAAAGTATCGGATGAGTAAACTCATGATTTAGATCTTAATGTAAAATCTAATATTATCCGCAAGTCTATACGTATACGTGATTGTAAATTTTTAAACTGAAGTCTATTAATTTAAAATTTGTGGGTCGTGTAACATGTAAATATATCTAGCTTTTGAGCAAACTTTTCTGATTGTTTCAGAAGAAATGATCATAAGCTGACGAGATGAACAAAATTGATGGAGAGGAAACAGAAAAAGAGAAACTCGATTAAACATCTCTTTAACATATCCAAAGAAACTATAATCATTGCACTTCATATATCGTACACACACGAACACGTAAATCTAAGTATCTGAGTAACAAAATTGAAAGTATTGGCTAAAAAAAACATGAAAAGTGACGCTAGAATTAGTGCTGCGAAACAGGCAGAACTAACAAAATATATAAGTACAATTATTTCGAAAAAAAGGAATGAATGAAAATAAATAACGCAATGAAACAAAACAAAAATGCCGAATGATCAAACTATAGTTACTATGAATTTGATCAGATTTTCTAATAGAATATAATTATTCCAATCTATAAAATTAATCTCAAATTCAAGTTTTTATTTTTTCATTTTAAATGAAGTCTATTTTTATTTTAAAGTAATTGACTGGTTATTATTTATATACTGATTTGTAACTAATTTGTCTCCGCAATAAATTGAATTCTTCAAGTTTTTATCGAAACAAGGGATAGCAATAGTGTAAAGTTTTGACGGTTTTCTAACACATGCAAGTTTTACACCGATAAATTGTATATTTCAATCTCATACGAAAATTATACTATTGTTTAAGAAATACTAGTTTTCAAATGAATATACTGTTGAATAACAGGGGATTTTTTTAGGGGAACAATAATATGTGCTTCAAATGTATTATACACAAGAGAAATAGTACTATTTTTTGTATGGTATATATGAAATGTCTATTAGAGGGATGACAACAAAACATGTCTATTAGAGGCTTAGAGCAGCATAGTCTTCATTTTGGTTTTCATCTTGAACTAAGATGGAAACAAATTTTAATATTTGACCAAAGTTTACCGGCATACAACCAAAAGAAACAATAATCATCACTATTCTAGTACCTCTCTATCTTTTTTTTTTTTTTACAAATTGACTTGATAATAATTTATATTATCATATGATATAGTGTGTGTATATATATAAAATTAAAGTTAAATATTAAAGCAAACCAGAAAAAAAGAGAGCAAAGGAAGAAAAAAAAAAATGGCTCCTTCGTCTTCATCTTCTCCTTCCAAATCTCCTGTTCCATCTCTTCACCAATCCCTTCACTTCACTCCTGTAAGTCAAACTCAAATCCCTCTTCTTTGTTTTCCGGTGGACGAAGACAACACAGACCTCAATTTTGTTTTGTTTTGTCTTTGCTCTGTGACAAAATCAAAAAAGTTTTCTTTTTGTTCTTTCAAAAATGGTGGAATTATCTGGATATAGCTCGAAATCTTCTTGCTCTTGCGTGTTATTGCTTAAACCCATAATTATTTTCCCGAGAAAATGAAGGAACAGTGGGAAAAGAAGCAAGTTCTGTTACCTTTTCGTCTAAAGTTTTCTCCTTTGATCTCAATGATTCCATTAGATTCTCATATTTGTGTCACTTGAAGATTCTCACAAATCCAAAGGTTTTGTTTTTATCTCAATTTGGCATAATTTTTATTTCTCTCTCTGTTTTTTCAGATTCTAGAATGTGAAGAAGACGACCTCCAAGAAGAAAGATACAAAAACAGAACAACTCCTAGCAGCGACGGTGGTTCTTCCGCCACACCAAACCACCACCACCACCGCCGTAACAACAGCAACAACAACAACCACCAACACACTCTAACACCTCTCCACCACAACGGCAAACCCCAAACCAGAAAACGACATGACGACAACGACGAAGACGACGGTGGCGCCGTCTCCTGCAACAAGTGTAGGCCGCATCACTCTCACCGTGACAAATTCTCCGTCGTACCTCTCGAAAGCCACAACAACCCTTCTTTCATCTCTAGCCCCAATCTCATAATCAAATCCATCTTTCAATCTCTCACACGGAGAAGTCCCAAACCTTCCTCTGCGACGGCGGCGCTTCCACCGCGCTCTTCCTCCTCCTCCGCCGCCGACGCTTCAAGAGAAGAGCAGTGGCGGTTAGCCGTGGCGGAGCTTTCTCATAAACTGATTCAAGCCACGAAGAAGAAAGAAGACGCGGTCATAGAAGCTTCTAGGTTGAAATCTTCCATGGCAGAGCTTGAGAAGAAACTCAATAAACTCGAGATTTACTGTCACAATCTCAAATCAGGTCTTGACGAATGCAGCAACAAGAAACAGAGTGTTCCGATTCGTAAAGACGGATTTAACGACAGGATCATTCAGCAGTTTCTCGTTTCTGTGTCGGAATCTCGATCTTCGATCAGAGCTTTGAGTAGATCTCTCGCCTCGCAGCTACGAACCGTCGGTGGCAAAGTTTATGAGAGACTCTCTCTTCTTCTTCAACCTTTCGATGTAAAGATCAACTCTTTTGCGAAAAACCCTAAAAGTCTGATCTTTTACCTCGAAGCGATTCTGAGCAGAGCTTTCTTCGAGGATTTCGAAGCTTCTGGGTTTCAGAAAAACGGGTCGACCCGGATTTTGAATCCGATTGATCGTTGTGAATCCAATTACGCTTCGTTTAACGTCTTGATGGAGCTGACGTGGGACGAGGTGTTGAGCAGAGGAACGAAGCATTTCTCGGAGGAGTTTAGCCGATTCTGTGACCGGAAAATGAGTGACGTCGTTTCGATGCTTAGCTGGAACAGAGCCTGGCCTGAACCGCTTTTACAGGTAAGCAAGCGTTAACCGAACGGTTAATAATACAGATTTTGTTTGGTTTATTTCAAATATAATTGGATTGAACCGGGTTTTGTGGCAGGCTTTCTTTGGTGCGTCGAAGAGTGTTTGGTTGGTTCATCTCTTGGCTAATTCGGTGAACCCGGGATTGCAAATCTTTCGCGTGGAGAAAGATGACCGGTTTGATCCGATTTACATGGAGGAAACTGGTGGGGAACGGTTTAAGAGTCTGGTTAGAGCTATGGTTCAACCCGGATTTTACGTCTATGGAAGTGTGGTTAAGTGCAAGGTGGTTTGTAAGCAATGCGGTAGCGATGAGGAAGAACTAGAAGACCGTACGGTCAAAGAATGTAATAAAAGCGAGAAGAGTTTAATAAGCATTTGTAGCCCATTGCCATTAGGAGGTTAATTACGTTGATTTAAGGAGGTTAATTACGTTGATTTAAGGAGGTTATAAAATTGGTGGGTTTTTGTTTTGTCTTGTGAGGTTGTAATTAAAAAATGAATGGCTTTTGCAAGTGAATATTTTAAAACTGTTTATTTAATGACTTTTGCAAGGAAATAATTAGAATTAGTTGTTGTTGTTGTCAAAGTGATTCATGAAAGAGTCTTCTTTTTTTTTTTTTCCTCACATGAAAGAGTCTTCTAAAGTAAAATATTGGCATTATCTCGTTGGTTTCGTTATCTTGGAATTGATTACATTTTCGCGCGTAGTAGTAATATAATGGGCCATTTCTCAGGCCCATTTTGTAGAATTTGATAAATCAAAATCCGAGCCTTATCTGAAAAAGGCCCAACTTTGTTCGTTCTTCCTTGTTTGATTGTTTCTTCGATTTTCCGTGTCTGATTCTGTTTTGCGAAAAGGATTGAAAATGAGTTCGATCTCTGGATTGGTGGAAGATGAAATCAGTTCGTTTTTCGAATCGTCTCCACCTCTGAAGAACAATGAAGAGATCGTAACTAAGCTTAATCAGTTCATTGAGCTGAATTCTTCGTGTGAAGGTGAGATCAGAATTTTTATATATAGAACATTTTGATTTCTAGATGATTTAGAGGCTTTTTTTCCTTTCCATATTTATTGTCAGGAGGGAAGAGGAGGATTGTATGTGTGACTTCAGGTGGAACTACAGTTCCATTGGAGCAACGATGTGTAAGATACATTGATAATTTCAGCTCTGGTAATAGAGGTGCTGCATCTACTGAGTAAGTTTTTAGTTTTTGTTTTCAATTACTCTCTATAGAACTGGTAAACAGAGATTCTTAAGTACAAAATATGGTTTTGATTTGGTTTGCAAAGGAATTTCGTCAAGGCTGGGTATGCTGTGATATTTCTCTATAGGAGGTAACATTTTTAGCTTAGTGGGGTTGAAAGATTTAGTGAAATGATGCTTCTTTATATCCGTTTTATTATGTGATTTATTAGGGGAACTTGTCAACCGTATTGCCGGTATCTTCCTGATGATCCATTCCTTGAATGTTTTGAGTTTCCAGATGCCAAAAACATTCAAGGTTTTTCATTACTACCTCTTTCTCAACTCTGTATATGCTTGGTTATGGAGATAAAGTGTGGGTTTTAGTCTGGTATTATATCAAATTATGTGTTTTTGTTCATTTTGTTTTTCCAGTTCATGGGTCACATTCAGAAGCTGTGAAGATGGCTGTTATGGACCAGCAAGCTGTAAGCATTGGACCAATTGTGTTTATTTTACTGCAAGCTGATCACTTTTATGAGTCTTTTGTGTGGTAACCTTGCAAATTAACATTGCAGGCAGTTGCAGAAGGTCGGTTGCTAAAACTACCATTCTCAACGATATATGAATATCTCCAGGTTCTTGAATCTTACACTAGCTACTTTAGTTATCTTGTTTTGTCTTGACACATATAATGTGATTTAAGTTCTTAAATAAATGCCTAAGAAACCATTAGAGTTTATATCAATGCTTGTGGGATTTCTTCAACAGAGCTGAAACTGAGATTACTTTCTCTTTGTGAATGTTTCTGGTTAACTTTGGGATACAAACAGATGTTGCGGTTGATTGCAACGGCATTGAAAGAAGTCGGTCCATGTTCGATGTTTTATCTTGCTGCTGCTGTATCTGACTTTTATGTGCCATGGAAGAGCATGGTAAGATTCTCATATCTTTGTGATCATGGCTACACAATTCTTGCGTCTGAAAATTGACTTGTTATATATTTGGTGAAACCAGACAGAGCACAAAATAGAATCAGGATCTGGTCCTTTGGACATAAGACTAGCTCAAGTCCCTAAAATGCTATCAATCTTGAGATCAAATTGGGCTCCAAAGGCTTTCTGCATATCATTCAAGGTCATTATCTCTCTTTCTTTATTCGCTCGTGTTTTAACCCTCCAAAATCTCGATAACTTATATGGAATTCTGTATCCAGCTTGAGACAGACTCAAAGATTTTGATAGAGAAGGCTACGAAGGCTCTACAAAAATACAAAGTGCACGCAGTTGTAGCAAATGAGCTATTAACGCGTAAGGAGGAGGTAGTGGTTGTTTCAAGTAGCGGTAATGTTGTGGTGAGACGTGATAGCAACAAGCCTGAATCCATCGTAGAAGATAATCTGATTCGTCTCATCGTAGATCGACATTCAACATACATCAAAGAATCTCACACTTGATCCATAAATTCTTCTAAGTCAAGAAAAGTTCCAAGTGTTTGGTGTGGATACGTGTAATTGTGTATGAGTGATGAATGACTTGGTCCATAAATTACTCAAAGAATTTTCACACTTTCTTATTTTTTTTACATGTTGGGAATATATGAATCCTAGATATAAAACATTTTCTTGTACTTGGATAACTTTCAACAAACAAATGAAACGAACTTGTCTATATATCATCGAAGAGACCCAGTCCACATCGAAGGTTCGATGCTTGGTTTACCGATTCAAACCGCCGGTTCGGGTCAACACGGTTTTCGATAGAGATAAATTTAATTTTAATTAAAAACTGTTGGAGAGAGAACAAAAAAAAAAGAGAGCTTTCTTCATCGGTCTTCGTCTCGTCGTTTGATTAGTTCTCTACATTTTATTTTTGATTAGTTCGCGATTCATTTCTCTTTTGTCTCCGGTCAATCTTCTTGTTCGATCTGTCGATCGGAGATTTTGACTGGAGATTTAAGAAGTCTGAAATTGGTAGATCGCAGCTATGTCGTACTCCGACTCTGATTCGTCGTCTCATGGTGGCGACTACAAGAATTTCCGACAGATTACGCGTGAACGTGAGTCCTCTCTCTCTCTCTCTCTCTATCTGTATCGGATTTCATTTGATTTTATCTGTTTTGACTCTCGTTGATTTGGATTGACTTGTCGATTTTTCTGGATTCTCGTGATCTATTTCTGATTCCGGGTTTTGCGGAGCAGCCATTTTAGTTTTGTTGTTTCTATTTGATTCTGGGTACTACCGTCGTGAGACCGATAATGTGTAGGCTTCTAAGACTTGTCGCGGAATTGCTTTGGGACTGTTTGTTTATATGTAATATTGGGAAATATGTTGTTTGTTACACTGGTTTGGTTCTAAAGTTTAGAATTAAGATTTTCGATGATGCTTATGAATTTGGTAGTAGAGCTAAAATGTTTGCCTATCGGGCACTTAGGAACATAAACTGATACATGTTTCAAATGGTTGTTTAATCTTTGAGAGAAAATCTTTGAGAAGAGGTTTGTGGAATATGATTGTAGAGAGTTATAGGCAGTGTAGCTCTTGTCATGCATCCATGGGTCTAAATTCAACGAGGCTTTGGCTGTTATCACTTCTTATTTTCTCTTAAGTCTCATTAGTTTTCTTCCTTGTTTTGGTGAGGCTTTATCTATTGCTATTGGGTTGTCTATCTGATCTGTTACATTTCTTTAATTCCCAGGACTCTTGTATGAGATGCTTAGATCTGCGAAGACAGGGAGCTCAAAATCCACATGGAAGGTATGTTTTCGTGTACTTTCACCGTTGGCTGGCCCGATTATGTTTTTCACTTCTAGGTTCATACCTAATTTTCGGCTAAATTTTCTTCCTTTTTCGCATTTTAGGTACTAATCATGGACAAACTTACTGTCAAGATAATGTCATACGCCTGCAAAATGGCTGATATCACACAAGAAGGAGTTTCACGTGAGAATGAAGTATTTTTGTTCAAATTCTAGTTCGATATGATGCTTTATTTGGGAATAACTTAATTGGCATAAGATATTATTTCTCTGTAGTGGTTGAAGACATATTTAGACGAAGACAACCTCTACCTTCAATGGATGCAATATACTTCATCCAGCCAACTAAAGAGAAGTAATTTTTCTTCGATTTTCCTTTGCCTTCCAAAATGTGACATTTGTTATTTCCTCTTATATAATGTTTGATTCGGTTTCAACAGTGTCATCATGTTCTTGTCAGACATGTCTGGGAAATCACCCTTGTACAAGAAGTAAGGACATGACCCCCTCTTAGATATCGACTCTATCCTAAAGACAGTCTCTTTATAACACTGATTTTCTTCTTTATTCCTCTGCATCTGTGAAGGGCATTTGTTTTCTTCAGTTCACCGGTTTCCAAGGAACTGGTTGGTCACATCAAGAAAGATTCGAGTGTATTACCTCGGATTGGAGGATTAAGAGAGGTGTATATTGCAAAAAGCGTACTTTCTAGTATATACTGATTGTTGCTATTTAATTTGATTTACTTTAGTATCTGTGTTATAGAGCTGTGACTGCATCAATATCGATAACTTATTATTTGATTTTTGGTCTGCAGATGAATTTGGAGTTTTTTGCCATTGATAGCCAGGTATGATTGTTCTGAATCTCCTGTGTTCGTGCATTTTAGCCGCGTTTATATTGGTTCCCATTATATGGTTTGAAATGCAGTGTGGCATGTGTATCATGTTGTTAGTGTATGTTTCATGATGTGAAAGAGGGACAAGAGATATTTTATTAACGATAACCTGTACAGGGTTTCATCACCGATCATGAGCGAGCTTTAGAGGATCTTTTCGGTGACGAGGAAACTTCTCGAAAAGGCGATGCGTGCTTGAATGTGATGGCTTCTCGAATTGCCACAGTCTTTGCTTCATTACGGGTACAATCATTATTCCCATGATTAATATGATTATATTTTGCGGATGACTCTTCTGAATCATTTTGGACGTTACAGGAATTCCCAGCAGTACGATACCGAGCTGCAAAGTCACTTGATGCATCGACAATGACAACTTTGCGCGATTTAATTCCAACAAAGCTTGCAGCTGGAATCTGGAATTGTCTGGCAAAACATAAACAGTCGATTGAAAATTTTCCTCAGACTGAAACTTGCGAGCTACTCATCCTTGACAGATCCATAGACCAGGTTTATAACTTTTTTCTACATTTGATGCGCCTTTTATTTGTTTCGTTTACTAATCGAAATTGTATCCATCTACTTATGGAGCTTCCTCCTCTACAAGTGTTATATGATTAGCAGCATTTGCTTGTTTTGAATGTCTAGATTGCCCCTGTTATACATGAGTGGACATATGATGCTATGTGCCATGATTTACTGAACATGGAAGGAAACAAATATGTACATGTGGTAAGTTCAACACTTTTCCGTATAAGTTATTGCGATTTTGTGGTGGCTCTTTTCCTGGATACTCCATGTGATGCTCATTTAGTTTTTAGATTCCAAGCAAATCAGGTGGACAACCAGAGAAGAAAGATGTGCTCTTAGAGGAACATGATCCTATTTGGCTAGAGCTTCGACATGCACATATAGCAGATGTGAGTCTGATGCCTAGGTATTTATTTCTCTTAGGTAACGGAAAAAAACGTTAAACTTCTTGACCTGTGTTTTTCATCAGGCTAGTGAAAGATTGCATGACAAGATGACCAATTTCTTATCGAAAAACAAAGCTGCTCAGCTTCAGGGTAAGAGGTGGGTATTACTTTTTATTTCTGTAGTAAATGTAACTAGAGAGCATATACTCTTCTCCTGAACTGGTGAAATCAGATTTTACTGTTGGATTAGTTCCTCTTGTCATTCAGATTGATAATACTCTTACATTACTCTACGTTGATCTACGTGGTATACTTTATTTGGTTGGAGAAGTAGTTGTTCTCTCCTTTTGACAAATTTTGTTTGACTCTTTTTTATTAGAGATGGAGCTGAGCTTTCTACAAGAGATTTGCAGAAGATGGTTCAAGCATTGCCACAGTACAGTGAACAAATTGACAAGCTCTCTCTCCACGTAGAGGTAGTTCCATAGTTATGTGCAATGCTCTCCTTTTCTTTTCTTGGTGCGTCCACCTCCACTTCAACTTAAGATGGTGCTACACACAATTACTTTATTAATATGCATCATTTGATTAACATTTCACAGGACTTAGTGTCTGACGAACTGTCTGCAGATGTCCAGAGTTATTGCTTCTCTGGCTTTTTCTCTGAGCACCGAATTCATATAACTCTTTCTTCTTGTTGCAGATTGCTAGAAAACTCAACGACCTTATCAGAGAGCAAGGACTTCGGGAGCTTGGACAACTTGAACAAGACCTTGTTTTTGGTGATGCTGGAATGAAGGATGTGATTAAATATTTGAGTACTCAAGAGGTTTGCATCTAGTTAACAGTTGTTGATTTACTGTAATACTTCATGAGATATTGAGCTGATGAGCTTTATAATTTTTCGAACTACTGTACAGGAAGCAAGCCGTGAAGGTAAGTTACGCCTGTTGATGATCCTCGCAACAATTTACCCTGAAAAGTTTGAAGGTGAAAAAGGTCAAAATCTAATGAAGGTACCTGGGGTTTTAGCACTTCTGGATCTTTGTTTAATTCTCATCCACCCCATCTAAGGCTTTATTATTGCTTTTGTTTCTAGTTGGCAAAACTCTCATCTGATGACATGACCGCTGTAAATAATATGAGCTTACTTGGTTCAGCCGTCGATGCTAAAAAGAATACCCCAGGAGGTTTCACTTTGAAGTTTGACCTTCACAAGGTTATATCTTCTCTCCGAATCTTCCTTCTATATATTAAAATGTACATCTTCTTAACATTGCCTGTTAACGGCTGCAGAAAAAACGAGCTGTCAGGAAAGAGCGCCAAGAGGAAGCAGCATGGCAGTTATCTCGTTTTTACCCCATGATTGAGGTACCAATCGCAATTGGCTTTGTTGATTTTCTTTTGAGTTTTGCACAGGACACTACTTCTGACTTTGTTGACTGTTTTTTCATTTCTGGAATTTGCCAGGAACTCATTGAAAAACTTAGCAAAGGAGAATTGCCAAAAGAGGATTTCCCGTGTATGAACGACCCAAGCCCAAGTTTCCACGGATCTACTTCACTGTCATCAGCAGCAACTAGTAGTCAAGGTCAAGCTGCTCAGTCCATGAGATCAAGACGCACACCAACATGGGCTAAACCTCGAGGTTCAGATGATGGATATTCAAGGTACTGTTTCTAAATAATCCAACAAAGAATCCGAGGATCAATGCAATATATTGAATAAAACCTAAAACATAAGTTGAGTATTCGTCGATCTTCTTAACTTCTTTGTGTTAGCAAAGTAAAACCTAAAAGCCAGATAAAACCACGCGTCTCATTGTTCATTTGCAGAATCCACTTCTTGCTCACATCATTTCGGAACAGCGAAAAATAAACTTCTTGACTTTTTTTTTTCCTTCTTGCAGTGATTCGGTACTGAGACATGCATCAAGCGATTTCAGGAAGATGGGACAGCGAATATTTGTGTTCATCGTTGGTGGAGCGACAAGATCAGAGGTAAGAAGCTATGGAAAAAAGGCTTTCATTGTTGGAATTAAATTCAAATCGTAGAATCATGATATATGTGCTGATCTCTTTTCCTGGGATCTTTGCTTATCAGTTAAAAGTATGCCATAAACTATCCACAAAACTCAAAAGAGAAGTAATCCTCGGGTCCACGAGCCTGGACGATCCTCCACAGTTCATAACGGTAAGCCACACAAATACTTCACATTCCAAGATTTGGCAAACTATGATATATGAATCACCCTTTCAATCAAAGTAATCTTCTCTCTTCTTGATTCCCACAGAAATTGAAGCTTCTGACTGCAAATGATTTATCTATAGACGATCTCCAAATATGAGAATCCAGATCTCAAATCAAATCCCTGTCTTTGTTCTCTTATCTCCCAATCTAATTTGTAACCAAGTGAACAAAAATCATCAGATTATGAGATCATGATTGTAAGTGTACCCTTATTGTTTGCCGGATAAATATGTAAAGCAACTCATAAAGTTGACTTCTAGATCTTTGGCTATTGTCTTGTTGTGTAAATTACCTAAACCCTTCTTTACTTTTTCAGAATCTTCTCTTTTGTACGTCTTTCAGTTAGATTGTTTTGAATCTTAATAATACATTGAATATAAAAAATGGCCAACGCAGGGCATGGTAGTCTAACAAGTAACAACACAAAGACATTCCAAGTTAACCTAAACACTATTTATCTTGGGATCAATAGAGTCTCTGGTGAGCTGTTCTTCAGCTTTCCTCTTCTTCTTTGTTACTGACACCAAACTCTTGACATAAGAGATGTAACTGTCCACATTGAATTTCCGTTTGCAACCCGCGTAGTTCATGTACCGTATCTTCCCAAAAACCGGCCTCTCTTTCCATCCCTAAAACACGTCAAAGCACAAACCGATCAATCACACACAAATATTCTCCAGTCTATTCTACTATTACTTCTAGTGGAGAAAACGAAAGAACCTGATCATGAACACCGCATATAGACCACATACACCCAACATATCCACTCGGGTCACGACCATCAATCTCATACTACATGAACATATCAAAACTTTAAGCAACAAAAATGAAATCCTTGGTAGATACAAAAAGAAAAGGGTCAGAATGAAATAAATTAATTGGACGTTAACCTTGTTATTTAGATGTATGGATATTGAGAGGGCCTCTTCAGGTCCTTTGGTCCATTCTAGAATCTTCTTTGCCCAATACATTCTGCATGTAATGTTGATAAGTGTCAGTTTTTACATCGTTGCCATTATATAGAACAGTCAAACCTAAATATATGATTTAACTTGCCTCATGAAACCGTGCATTTTCCCTTGATAAACCATCTCTAACTGTGAAGCATTCCATAGCTGCCAAGATTCAACAACTCAAAAACCAACATAAAATGCAAAAAAACTGAGGTGATGATATGGGAAGGGAGATTGGTGGCTTACAAGATCAGCTGTCTGTCCCTTCTCTAACTGCTCCAACCTACAATTTTAATACCCTTTAATGTGCATGTAGAAGCTTGGAAGTTTTTCTATCCAAAAGAATTAAGGAGTAATGGCTAAAACATTACGAGTAAATGTGTTCTCTCTTATCTGAAGCATGATCCATTAATGACTTGCGTGCCCACTCCCAAGCTCCCTTCAAAGAATCATAATGAGGTTGATAGTAGCAAAAATTGTCGGAGAGTTCTCTTCGCACAATCAATTCTTCCAAGAATGTGTCGACCGCCTTTTAAGGACAAACAATGCAAATACCAAACTAAGAGTGTGAACAAAAGGTAAAAAACAGAGAAAGCTACACAAGTATATACATTCAAAAGTATGATAGATTTATGAACCTGAGGGTAAGTATTCCGGACTTTACGTGCCTCTAAGGCACATCGCTGAGCTGATATCTGCCCGAAATGTAGATAAGGAGAGAGACCAGAGAGTGCTTTCGGCTTTACAGGATTATTCCGGTCCGCTGAATAGTTCTTCAACCTCTTCGTCAAAAACCCATCTTTATTCCCCATCAATACTTCCATCCCCGCATCTTCTCCCGGCACACACCATTCAATCTCAGGTACTTCTGCACCCTCCCTATCCATATATCATAATCATCATGGAACTCAATTCCCAAAGAAGCATAAAGACTCAGGCGTTATTAAACACATGAAACAGCACCTAACCTTACAACTTTATCGATGAGGCTATCCCAATCAACCATCTTCTTATCCATCATCCCGGTCCACTTCTTCTTCGGCAGCTCAAGTTTAGGAAACTCAATGAGGTAATCAGGTAGTAACTTGTTAATCTTACCCCTAATTGTTCTAGCACTGTACTCCAATTTACCCGAAGCAGCCCACATTGGAACTATATTGTGTGCATCAACTTCATGAATTGCTAATGAATCACTCGTCCTCTTCACAACCTCATCTTTACAACTCCGGATTTCCCGTAAAGGCGAGAAATCAGTAACCAGATGTGAAGCTCCACATTCTGTGAGGAAGTTAGGGATTGTCTCCTTTGCATCTCCCTGAATTGTTACATCATAAAGTTCACCTTGACATAAGTAAAGAACATAACTTTACAGCTAAATTTCGATTAACTACCAAAACCCTAATTTTTCCTCTATGGTTCCTCTGAAATTGCTACAACAAAGCAAGTAATTTTATATGGGTCTGGTGTGAGATCAAGCTATGGACTCACCTGTAAGAGAAAAAACGGAATTTGAAGAGAATCGATTTGGTGGTGAAGCTGGCGCAGACCCTTTAACATAAATCCTAATTGCCTCGCTTTTGCGTCCAGAAATCGATCGAACAGATTGAAGACGACGGCCACCGGCGCGTTGGTTCTGTTTGCCAAATCAACGGCGTGGATTAACGCCCAGTTGTCTTTCAACCGTTGATCTCTGAACATCCAGTAAACGACGGGACCCACGGTTTGATCTGACGGTTGCCATGAGCCTTTCTTTAGGATCCGGATCCGACCAGATTGAACGGAGATTGTCGACGCCATTACGAAGGAGGAGAAACGGATTTTTCGGATTTTCACTAATGTGCGCCGTTTATGCGACAGCGAAAGAGGATAACTTGCGCAGGGGATGCTCAAGCGACAAAGCGCGCGATGTCTTCGAAAAATGGAGGGAAGGCAATAATACACTCTTTGAGTTTGTGGTTTGAAATTGACCTACGTGGAGGGTTTACATTGTTAACACGCGTCAGTTTGTGATTGCCTAAATTTCTTGTCTGCTCGCGCCAATTCTAGCATATTAAATTCAATTTATTTGCGTGATGTCTATACATTTTCTTTACGTTCTTCGATATTTGAATTCATGATTTGTGTGTGCATTATGGTCCAAAATGTCTTAACAAATCATTTTGATTTCTTGTAATTATTTATTTTGAATTGCTAAGAAGATAAACGTGTGATTAAGTCTTTTAACGAATCGAATTTACATGATGGTGCTGATTCATGAATCATGATGAAAAAAGAGAAGGGTTGATTGACCTATATAGTCATGGTTCATCATTTCCTTTAAATAAAAGAAACCTAGGGCAAATTATTCCGTCACATGCTCGATCGTGCTTATCTAGGGTTTACTCATATAAATATCTCCAAAGCATAATTAGAAGAGACATACATTCTGTTCTATCATAATGCTCTTAAGTTATATATATTCCATAATTCATATCATGAGGAATGATAATCACTCTTTTCAAATAATATATTTTAGTTCCTAATAATTTAATTCATTATTATGAATAACCTATCATATGAACGGAAGTCATAATTGGTATTTCAATTTCTTGAATATTACCTCGTTGGGTTTTATATAAAAAGCATATATGTATCAAAACGACTAGCGTGAGCGTGTGAAAAATATGTATTTGGTAGTTATTGAAACCAACATTTATAAACAATAAAATTGACCATAACATTTTGTAAAACCAAGAACAAGGACTCTAATTTCCACCAGACTTAACCATTTTAATCTCAATAGCACACTTACTGCTATGAATATATTAAGTGACAAATACAAGACTGTGCGATTCACATTTTTTGTGTATTGTAATGATGAAGAAGCAATCCAATGAATGTGGAAACCAATAAACATACCTACCATATCTTATTTTCGGATTCGATTCAGTAGTAAAAGTTTCATTTGACCTCAGCTATACCAAATTTTTATTATTTAAATGAAATAAAAACTATAAATTGGTAACATAAATGACTAGATTGACCTTGCCAGTGGATTTTTCAACACATGAAACTCAGGAGTTTACGGTCTTTTACTTCCTCGTCTATCGAGTATTAAGAACTAATTAACTAACACAGTTGGGTTATTTAATTTTCGGAGACCTAATGAGTAATGACAGCCACTCGTAAAGTCGTATGTGTAGCACTGCACAGAATCATTGTCTTATATACCTGAATTTTAATTTATTTAGCTTTATAGGGAGACAAAAGCTGATAATCTAATTGAATTGATTAAAAGATTACAAGATTATATGTATTTGTTTGACTTGTTCGTATATTTATTTTCTCATCTACCATGACAAAACCAACTAATGGTTCTGTTAGTATGTCCTAAACCAGCCATTAATTTAACTTCAAAATCGTAATATGGAGAATGATAACAACGATATAGTACCAAAACTGAAACCTTTGCCAGTCTAGTTTACAGTTTTTTTCTTTAAATAAGTATTCATTTTGCAAAATATCACAAAAAGATAACAACGATATAACATGAAAATGGAATTTTGGTAGGTAATTTGGTGCTTAAAAGAAAATCAACATGTTGGTTAACTCAACGGAACAATCTAACTATATAAGCCTATAAGGTAGGCAGTGGCGGATCCAGAGGAAAAAGTTGTATGGGGCACAAAGAAAGAAAATATCAAAATCTTTAGAAAAAAAAAAACAAAACTGAAAAAAATTGTAGCAAAGGAGCATCGAACCAATCTCCTAAGGTATTATATGGGGCACTCCCATCCAAATGAGCTGAGAGATCTTATAACAAAACCAATCATTTAAATCATATTTAACAATGAGTATAAGGCACGTGCCTTACCTCATTACAACGTGGATCCGCCCCTGAAGGTAGGTCATTCTTTGAACATATTAACAAAAATAGGTCGATCACTATTAGTTTTCTTTAATTTTTGAGTTTTTTTTTATTATTTAATTCGTATCAGTTGTTAGAGACAACTAGTTCTCAATCAGAAATTTGTCAGTGTAAAACGACGCAGTTTCATCGCAAGTTTTTCTTTACCAAGGGGAGACATTTATCTGCTGCTCTTTCGACAACGTGACTCTCCTGGACAGTGACACGTGTTTCAATTATACTGGAGCGGATCAATAGCAGTGGATTACTGAAATCAAGTGTCCACCGCACACGAATGCAATGATCTCTGAGCCACTGATCTCGCCACGTGGTAAAATTCATCAGACCATCTGCATTGGGGGATCACCCCCCTGATCTAAGCATTATTTAAATCCAAAAAAATGGGTTAATGGGCTTAAGATCAGGAACTGGGCTCTTGACCTGGATCTGTTCTTGTGGGTGTTGCGGGGTGACGTGGCATTTGGGCATTGGTTGGAATATTCAACATATTTGGAATAAATTTGGATAATAAACTATGTATTAATTAGATAAAATGTTTTTGTGCTTTTATTAAGTAATATGTTTGTTTGTTTATTGTTATTTATATTTTTAATGTTTTTTTCATAAATATTTAGTATTGTATTTTCACTTTTATTTTCAGTTTTTCATAAATTTGGCATTTGCAATTTATTTGTTATTTTTAAATGTTTTAATAATTGTAAAATCTTAATTTAATTTAGATTATTATATTATTAAGTCTTAAGATCTTACACATGTTCTCCCACTAATCAACTTCTAAACAAAAGATCTAAACACATGATCTTACATTATTTTAACATTATATTCTCTATAAGAACACCCTCACATGATCCCCCATTGATGATGCCCTCAGTAGCGCAATCAACTGCCCTAAATCATTTTTTTTTTTTTGCTTTATACGTATAACTTATTTAGTTATTTTACATTTTGATTTTGGTGTTGATGCATCATTTAACCATCAAACTATAAGCTCTTGGGGATAAATGTAATTAATATACATAACTACATAAGTCCATATACATTATAAATTCTTTCCAAATAATTATCAACGAAAAATGTAAATTATTGCATTAGTTTTCTTTTTTTGTCAAAGATTTATTGCATTAGTTGGTTTAGGTTTCTCTACGCAAAACATAATGTGCAGTGTGCACTATAGTATTTGTTTCTTGAAAACTATTGTATATGCAATCATGCACTATGTAAAACAATCGTATTGTCGATATTTTTTATTTTTGTGTTAAAGGGAGAGAAACATAAACTTTAGTTCTTAGCTAAAAAAAAACATAAACTTTAGTTTTCTTGAAAGTTAAAACAACATTAAAGTTTTATTTACTGACTATAATGTAGTAGAAAAAAAGATGTTGTTATCTTTCAAATCATGTAGATTATTCTTCATTTTTTTTTCTCCTTTTAGCTTTTTTAAACCTTTTAACGCAAAAAGAAAATCAAATACACATTCATATAATTCGAGAGAGATTTGGTGAGAAGTCAGCATTGCCGACAGGAAACTCTGCCTCACCACCAAAATGGTGAAAATACCAAACCAATAATTACAATAACTTTATTTAGGTTGTAATTATATGAGTACATAATTACACTACCTCTTTTTTCCACGAAATATTTATGTATATTATACAATTATAAACAAAGAGCTTGTGTTTCTATATCTTCCAGTTTTCTTTTAAATGATGTATTATAAGGTTTTTTATTAATAAAAGTGAAAGCTGATGTATTCTAAGTTTTTTTTAATTAATCACCTAATTTAAGTTTCGATTTTTTTTAGATCAACTATTCGAGGTGGTGGGTGAAGTGAATATAATGCCTGCTAGAAAGTTCAAAGTTTTACAAGGAGAAAAAAAAATAAAGTGTATTTTAAAGAAAAAAGTAGTATACTTTGCTATTTGTGGGGTATAAAATTTAATTATTGATTTCTACTTTTAGGGTTCCCCTCTTGTTCAGCATAGTTACAAATTACCACTCCAATGAAAATGATTCCTTGTTAATTAATTTAAGTTAAAACCTATTTTCCCTTCAATCAATAGCCTATAGATTCGACTTTAAAATATTTAAAATCGTTAGTTTGCAATTTACTAATTAAATATAACAGTGTTTTCGAATGTCGTACATATATGTCTGTGTATGTGTGTATGAGCATGTGTGTAAAAAAAAAAAAAAAGAGGTACTTGACTTATCTATTTGTCTGTAACTTAAATGGAAAAATAGCATCTAAATAATTGTATTTCTCTTTACTATTTCGAAATAATTGTTTGTTTTTTCTTTGCTTTCACTGTTCTTACTTAATTTGTGTAATTTCACTTTAGCTGTCCGGTCAGTCCATTTATGAAATCTTGCCACTAGATTTCAAAATTTGTGGTACTATTGATAAAGTTATGATTTACAAGAATATAAATCATGGGTTACAGTTTTTTTTTTTTTCTTAAATACCCCACCAAGTACAATACCATGGGCTCATAAAGTAAAGAAGAAATATTTTCACCTTTCTAACTATTCATATATAGCGGTAGAAATCATGGGTAAATCACACATCTTGCTACAAAAAAGATTAACAAGACTTCATTTATAAACATGAAAAAAGGTTTTAGAATTGTTCTTCCACATTTACAACCTAACAATTTCACTTTTTACAGCTTCAAAATGAACTTGTATACAACAACCAAAAAAACTTTCATGGTGGGGATCCACATTTTTGTTCTTCTGAAAGACTTAATAGATTGATAGTTACTTAGATATATAGATGGATAATCATAATCATAATCATGGTCGAAATGAAATTGAAACTCGTTAATGAGGTTTTGTTCTTCAGTAACTCTAAATGACAAAAGTATATGCATCTTTAGTCTGTCATTGCCAACAACAAACGTTATCATGAAGAAAGAACATTAAACTTTCAAAAGTTAAGTCATTTTCTCTCGAAAAGTAAAGATATGTTTTCAAGTCATGATTAAGAATATGAATTTCGATGAAAAAAGTGAGAGGGATCATTACACTATTGTACCAAGAGAAGAAGAAGCAAAAACTCTCATTAATTAGAGTTTCTAACTTCTAACCGATACATCGATGATAATGACAAGAAACTGAAATAGACAACAATGTTATATATCGAAAATTATGGTATATATTATAGACTAAAGAAATACAAATACCCTCAATCACATTCTAAAGAAACCAAGTACAAATTGAATATTAATGATAGTATGAATGAGAAGATACTAGTAAATGAAAGAAAAGAATTTAAACAATCCTATGAAATGCCAAATTCTAATGAAAAACTAAGTTGAAATCAAATTGATCAAAAAAGAGATTCAAATTTCACACCGAGGATGTATCGACAAGAACATCGTTAAGGAGATGATCATCACCGTTAGCCATAGCGAGCAGCTCCGCATCCCTATCCTCCTCGTTTGAGAAATCTCTCCTTTCGAATTTCGAGTTAGCGGATATGAAGATCAGCTTTTGAGCTCGATCTACGGCTGCATGTGACCGCCCGTTCGAGTTTACCCATTTTAAAAGAGAGGAATTGCATTTGAACCCTCCAGTAGTCGCGTGGAGGAAAATGAGCCTTACCGCAACTTTACCTAGCGACCTGAATTCGCTAAGATACGTCTCCCAAACAAGTCTACTGCTTTGAGGATTCGCTATCCTCATCTTACCGGAAACCGGGTCACGCTCTTTCATTTGGACCGCCCTTGCATACATAGGATCAAGCCCTTCGGTTCTCCATTTCATTAGTTCCATCAACGCAATGTGTGCCTCGTCTCTAGACACAAGTCTTGTTATCAACTTATCTACATCTTTCTCTTGCTCGGGAGACAAACATTTAAACGGAGGAAGATACTTTCCGCTGCTATCTCTTATCAAGTAAAGCGGGTCGAGTATGAAAGCCGCAGCCCAAGCCGGATGATAACTCTTCTTGAACCTTCTCTCGACGAGTTTCTCCACATGTCCTTCCCCTACATTAAACTTAGAATCCCAATCTTTAATCTTAGCTCTTAGCTCATCCCATAGCGGTAGGCATTGCCCAACAAGCAGCTTCTCTTCCTCTATTCTCCGAGCCATCTCTTTGACAAGCTTGATCAAAGCGTGAACCGCCTCTACCTCGTTCCAAAACCCTTCGTCCCCAACCATCTCTCTAACCTCCCTAGCCATATGATCCTCCATTAAAACAACCTTACAAGCATCATCATGCATTACCAACTGAATTGCTCTAGCGGAACTCAACACATCCTCAAGAAGATTAAACAACGGCTCGAAGAAACAAACCTTGTTACTACTACTACTACCACTACTACTACTACTACAACTTCTACGTTCATCGTCGTAATAGCAATGTAAAGGCAATCTAAGCATTATCGATTCGCCGTGTTCCTGCAGCTGATACTTACAGTGAGCGTTTCGTATCTGTGCGGTGTTGTTGATGAACTTGGCTAGTCTCACACAGTTTTGTGAGACGGATTTGAATAAAGGAAGCTCTTTTACGAAATCTTTGATCAAACTGTTGAGTCCTTGAAACTGACAAGAAAGATTCACCATCCATTGATGCTGACTCTCAAGATTCCTCAGTGCTTTGGTCTTAAACTTATCAGACACTATCCCAACACATCTCTGAGGTGAATTTCCACAAATGCCCTTCACCGTCTCTAACAAGACCTCCTCTGCGTAGTTCGACGGCACAGCTCCGTTCACAAGAACCGCTCTTCTATACAAACTCGTCCCGTTTGGTAAATTCACAATCAAATTCACAAGACTCTCGCCGGATTCTCCTGATTTCCAACCGTCCGATGCGATTTGGAAGAACATTGCGTCTCTGATTCTTGATTCAGCCTCTGCTCTAGCTTCCTCGTACTTCAAGTCCAATCTCGTGGTGGCGAAATCTCTCTTGGAGATGATTGGTAAACCCACTTGGGTTAAAAAAGCTCGAAACTTTGGATGCTCAAGCCCCGAGAGAGAAACAGAGCCGCAAGATTCGAAGACCCAATCAGAGAGAGAATCTAAAGCTGACTCTATCTGCGATCTAGTAAGAGACTGCGTCTGCGACGGTTTAGGACTCTTAAGCTTCTTCACACTGTCTTCAAGCATAGCTAAAGGACCCAAATCGTCTTTTCCACCGGAAAGCATCAAATGCTGCGGCGGCGGAGTTGAATAATGCAACTCTCCGCCGCAAAACCTCGAAGGATCAACGACGGTTATCGGCGTGACGTGATAAGACCCTCCGATGGGAGGAGGATTAAGCCGAGAAGGAACAGCGGTGGTGATAGCGCCGGAGGAGTTACGTTTCCGGTGATGGGTTTGAGGAGAGGAAGAGGAAGAGGTAGGAGAAGGAGTGATGGTGGAAATGGGAGTAACAGAGTTGAAATTGGGACAAGTGCCGCGTTTGAGATGCTCAGAGGCAGTGCGTGAAGGATTAGAGGCGGAGAAAACGGCGTCGCATAGAGAACAACGGAGCTTCACGGCTTTAGGGAGACCAGTGTCGGTGTTGCGTACGAGGATAGGTTCAAGATGAGTCCAATACCACGCGCCTTTACCTTTCACTGCTTTTGTTCTCACCGTCATTAAACCTTCGTATCTCTTGTTTAAAGCTTTTGCTGTTAGCTCGTCTGTTGTTAACCCATCGATCGCCGTCGGAGGAGGAGCAGGAACAGGAGGAGGAGGTGGTGGAGTCTGTTGAGCCGCCGTGTGAGCGTTAGTCGTTGCCATCAGAAGAAAAAAAAAAGTTTCTAAATTTCGATGAGAAAAATCGGAAATTTCGAGGCTTTTTCTAAAAGGGTTTAAGCGGGAGTTGGATTTTGTTGCCTCGTAGAAAACGTGTGACATTTTTCAGCCGTGGGAATTCGCCAGAAGACGACGATCTTTGACGTCGCTGCCATTTTCCGGCGATCAAAAGGATTGAAATTTACTCACTTCTTTAGTGTTTTTGTAGTGAGCTCTTCTCTTCTTCTTGACTGAGAATGGTTTTTCGAAGAAAGAGACAGAGCGGAGAAGAAGAGGAGAGAAATATGGAAGAGAGAGAGAGAGAGGTTGAAGCACACGCGCATGGAGGTGAAAGAGGAGAGAGTCCCACGTCGTACGAGAACACAAACGTTACATTGGCTCGTAGTCTCTCTCGCTTTCTCATCATTGGAGCGTTTTAGTCACGCTCTTGAAGTGGTTTTGGGGGATGGTTTTTGTTATGTGTTTTTTTTTCAACTTTTTTTTTTTCTTTCGAAAATCCCTTTTCTTGTCTCCTACTTTAATATTTAAAAGAAAAAAAAAATTGGAACTATTTGGGACCTTAATTTAATGCATTTTTTATTTAGATTTTCTTAGTCTTTCTAAATGTTTTTCTTGTGCTACAGCTTCAACCACCAATTGGTAATGTATGTAATTTCGTAACTTCAGTTAAACGAAAAAAAAAAAACAAATATAGATATACATAAAAAGGGTTTGTTGACAAAAAAGGGTACTAGTATATAAGGTATTAAGTTAGATGAATTTGAGTCTAAATGATCAAATTTGGTTTAAAGAATCCTCATTGCGAATTTATTATGTGAACATTCAAGACACTTTGAACATTTTGTTTTGTATTTCGTTACAAAAGTGAAAAAAAAAATGGTGAGTGGGATTTCCATTTGTGTCATATTGTCTACGTGGGATGTGTTCAGAATTTGGGCATAAAAGGGTAGAGTGAGAATTTAATTTTTGTTTCTAGATAGACAATGAAAGACATTAACGCAGAGACTCTGTTGTGTTGACTCAAAAAGTACATTTCTTCGTAAATATTTTTTTATTTTTTTTTTGTCTTGAAAGTTGTTTAATTTGACTGAAACCTTTTACAACTTCCATTTTTTTACCGACAGTTTTGGTTTCCTACTTCCAACCATTTTCTAAAACATTTATTTATTTGTTAAACTCTAAAACAATTTTGCTTAGTTTTCTTTTTCATTTGCTTTGTATGAATGTTCATGAATCATGTGTGTCATGGCCGTCGTTAGTAGTTTGAAGTCATAATTCATGAATAATAACACCCTTTGTACTCTTCACAACATTCACCTCTTTTTGGTAAAAAGTAAAAATCCAAAAAAAACATGTACACACACTAAAATTATGACTGAGGTTCAATATTTACCTAAATATAAATTACTTTACACCTAAAAAAAAAAATTTACTGAACAATAGACACATTTAGCTAAATACCAACCATTCTCTAGCACTCCAACAAAGTACACGACTCTTTTCACTCATAGCCAAAACCTTAGAATTTTACTTTAATATGTCGTTGATCTATAAATAATTGAATACAACCTACAAAATCATATCAATGCGAACAAACTCATACTAATGAATAACAAACACATTTTTCTTCATCAACTATTTCAGCTAACCCTAACAAGACTATTTCTTATGTGTGTGTATACTCATACTAGATTTACCCTTGATATGATTTTCCTGAATTCGTTCTACTCCTAATCCAATGGAAAGTATCTTGAAATTGAACTTGTAATCTCTCTTAATCTCTCTTTAATCGCTATGTCTGTTATAGACGTTTAATTCCTTTTAAACCGATTTTTCTTGTTCTAATAATAGCTTATTTACTTTCATTTTTACATTTATTCCTCTTCTTTGTATATTTTGTAAGCTTAGATTTGAGATCAATAATTAAAGTTAGCAGTGGAGGTTAGTAGGAGTCAAGTTTTAATTGGTCAATATCTAATGTCAAAAAATCCATAGGTCACAACTGTCTCCCACCTTCTAATGTATGCATGCTTATATGTATGAATGATCCATGGATTTCTAAGTTCTAAATATACAAATTCCAACCATAACTGTATCTATATATTCAAAAGGCAGAGATTTAATTTTCTTACCACATAATTTAGAGCAGTCCTATCCTAAAAGATGGATAGTACTATCTATAAGAATGATCTTGTCTGTTACATACCAACCACCCAAAAACCATGGATTATGATATAAGTTTTTTTTTTTTTTTTTTTTTTTTTATAAACAACGTTTGCAATATAGTGATGAGAACTATTAATAAAATTACTTTGCCATAAGTTTGATTAACTTAATGTGTTTAAAATGTATCAATATATCATAAAATAACTTCTTGCGTTAATCATCAACCTTATCAAAAAAAAAATTATTGCGTTAATTATTTTATCAAAAATTATAATATTTGCACACAAATCTACAGTTATTTTTGGAATTCATATGTTTATTTTATATCCAAGATTTTCTTGTTCAAATTTTATAAAAAGAGTAAAATAATTCGTATAAATTTTTTAAAAATTTCAATAATCCATTAATCAAAACACATCTCAGCCTAATTAACCACACAAAACACGTAAATGTTTAATGTGTTTGTATCTCCGTTAAAATAAAATAATGCTGATTTTGTGAATGAAATTTGAAAATAAAATGTTTAGTAGCAATAGTAGAATTGAGATATACTTTCGTGCATGATATATTTTCCTACGTGGAATGAGATTTCAAGATTGATTCCCTAAAATGCATATTTTAACCAAAAATAAGTAACTGTTGACAGAAAATATTTATTACTGTATGTTAGAAATGTGAATGGGAGATTGACACAAATAGCCCCAAAAAAGTTGTTTTTTCAAAAAATAGCACCTCATTTGAAAAGTTCCACAAATAGCACCATAAACTTCAATTAAACAATGAAAATATAAGATAGAAAATAAAAAAGAGAGCAAACACTAATCTAATATTAAATTGAATCAAAATTGTTTTTAAATAGTGGAAATATATACCCTAATTTGGAAATAGGGAACCCAAATATAATACCACAAACTAATATTAAAATAAAAATCTATTTTAAATGGTGGAAATATATACCCTAAATTGGAAATAGGGAACCCAAATATAATACCATAAACTAATATTAAAATGAATCAAAATCTCTTTTAAATGGTGGAAATATATACCCTAAATTGGAAATAGAGAACCCAAATATAATATTTTAAATTTATTTCTAATTTATTTTGTTGAATAGCTTTTATATAAAAATTGTTGTATTATTAAAAACAAACTAGTGATAAAATTTTTAGAACAAAAACACTAATGGTAAGTTAACTAGTGCTATTTTTGGAAGTTTATGGAGTGTATGCTATTATTGTCAATAAAACTTGTTTTAGGACTATTTTTAGGAATTTCTCAATGTGAATGGGAGATTGACACAAATAGCCCCAAAAAAGTTGTTTTTTCAAAAAATAGCACCTCATTTGAAAAGTTCCACAAATAGCACCATAAACTTCAATTAAACAATGAAAATATAAGATAGAAAATAAAAAAGAGAGCAAACACTAATCTAATATTAAATTGAATCAAAATTGTTTTTAAATAGTGGAAATATATACCCTAATTTGGAAATAGGGAACCCAAATATAATACCACAAACTAATATTAAAATAAAAATCTATTTTAAATGGTGGAAATATATACCCTAAATTGGAAATAGGGAACCCAAATATAATACCATAAACTAATATTAAAATGAATCAAAATCTCTTTTAAATGGTGGAAATATATACCCTAAATTGGAAATAGAGAACCCAAATATAATATTTTAAATTTATTTCTAATTTATTTTGTTGAATAGCTTTTATATAAAAATTGTTGTATTATTAAAAACAAACTAGTGATAAAATTTTTAGAACAAAAACACTAATGGTAAGTTAACTAGTGCTATTTTTGGAAGTTTATGGAGTGTATGCTATTATTGTCAATAAAACTTGTTTTAGGACTATTTTTAGGAATTTCTCAATGTGAATGGGAGATTGACACAAATAGCCCCAAAAAAGTTGTTTTTTCAAAAAATAGCACCTCATTTGAAAAGTTCCACAAATAGCACCATAAACTTCAATTAAACAATGAAAATATAAGATAGAAAATAAAAAAGAGAGCAAACACTAATCTAATATTAAATTGAATCAAAATTGTTTTTAAATAGTGGAAATATATACCCTAATTTGGAAATACCCAAATATAATACCACAAACTAATATTAAAATAAAAATCTATTTTAAATGGTGGAAATATATACCCTAAATTGGAAATAGGGAACCCAAATATAATACCATAAACTAATATTAAAATGAATCAAAATCTCTTTTAAATGGTGGAAATATATACCCTAAATTGGAAATAGAGAACCCAAATATAATATTTTAAATTTATTTCTAATTTATTTTGTTGAATAGCTTTTATATAAAAATTGTTGTATTATTAAAAACAAACTAGTGATAAAATTTTTAGAACAAAAACACTAATGGTAAGTTAACTAGTGCTATTTTTGGAAGTTTATGGAGTGTATGCTATTATTGTCAATAAAACTTGTTTTAGGACTATTTTTAGGAATTTCTCAATGTGAATCTTCATTTTCCAGTTAGTGACAACTTCTTGAAAATGAAGACCCAATCACTGTAGTTAAATACTGATATTTGATTATTACAGTGACAACGTAATTTGCTTGATTTACAATCTTGTACGAGAATTTCTTTTCTCAACCACTCCACTATATCGTGTTCATAACTAAAATAAATATACCATGTAAGAGACAAGAATAATTGAAATAAAAATAATGCCACCTTTTATATTGATAGCGATTGTAATTATTTGATAATTGAACTTGGATGGTTTAGTTACTACTAACATAGCTTCTTTAATTTACAATTTAAATGAACCACATCTAGAATTAGTGGTAAAACCCAACTAAACTAATCAAATTACAATTTCCCAAAGGTTTATTCCTGCGTAATCACCGATTCACCGTTCTTGAGAAAAGAGAGAAAATTAAAATACATGGAAAAGATGAAGCTTGTTTTTTTTCGTACTAGAAACAGCTGGCTTTTTTCAATCACATGATTGAGTGGTTTCTGGTCCCATATATATTTTAATTTTAATTTTGATTTCCTTAAACTATAAGACAATGACCAATTAAGTAAACGACCTCCACAAAAATTACACGACTCTCGTGCCCAAACCCAGACTACTACAATTTATTTGGGCTTTAGTCTATAGGCCCAATGGCTTATATATCAGATTGATATATTAAACCGGAGAACCGGGAAGATGAACCGGAACATCGGTTAAACAGAAAAACCGGAAGCTGAGTCTCGTGCCTACCTTCTCTAGGCTGTTTTATACTTTCGCACCAGACTTCTTTGTTCCGATCAGAAATCTCGAAACCGAAAGTCGGAGCTCAACTCTCGCCGACCACAAAGTCGTTGTCCTAACTTTCTCTCTGCTCCCTCATCGAACATTATTGGGAGGAGAGAGAAGAATTAGAAACAGCGAGAATAGATCCGAGGAAATTGTCGGAACCAGAAGGAGGAAGATGGGAGATATCTGGGCATGGCTTATTTCCTTCTTCTTCCTCATCGCTCTTGTCGGAATCATCGTCTATCAGGTCCGATTCCCAATTTTTTTTTAGAAGAAATAAACCTAAATTTCTCAACTTTTCTATTGAATTTGCCATTTTTTCGCTTATGGTTATAATGATTCCATATTTGACCATTTTGATATAATTTGGAGCCTTGTTGTTTCTGGGTAGTATGTGATTTAGCTAGATTTAGGGTTTTATGTTCTTGCCACATGATTGTAAAAAGAAAAGATTTCTCTTTTGGGAATGTTATCATTTATCAAAGAAGTAAATTTTGGGACATATATAGTGTCTGCAAGTGCGTATTGGCTTCTCAAAACACTTTTATTGGTTCAGAATTAGTTCTAATGTTGTATGTTCATGTCTGGTCTGAGAATTTACCTCCTTAAGCACAGGTTGTTCCTTTATAAATGACTTCCACTTCGGCATAATGAAGTGAACCCTTTAGTTTTTGTTAGTGTAAACTCTAATGAGAGGAGTCACTGATATTGATAAGCTAGCAAACGGAATCTTCAGACATTTTCTAGGAAGCTAAATTCGCTTACGGAAGTTGAAAATCTTGCATTTGCAGCTTGTTTGCTTAGCCGATCTCGAGTTTGATTACATCAACCCTTACGACTCTGCGTCGAGAATAAATTCAGTGGTTTTACCGGAGTTCATTGTTCAAGGAGTTCTATGCGTATTCTACCTCCTAACAGGGCACTGGGTCATGACACTCTTATGTCTCCCCTATCTCTACTACAACTTCCAACTGTAAGTCTCTTTCTGTCAACTAATATCAATCTTTTGCTCCAATCAAATGTTGATGTATTGATATCCATTTGGTTTGATGTATTGTTCAGTTACTCGAAACGACAACACTTGGTAGATGTCACCGAGATCTTCAATTTGCTCAACTGGGAAAAGAAGAAACGGCTGTTCAAGCTTGCTTACATTGTCCTTAACCTCTTTCTCACTATCTTCTGGTAACGAGAAAAGATGTTTTGAATTCCTTCCTGTTTTTCTTAACCATCTTCATTATAGATCAAGACAGCTAAAACACTTTCTATGTGCAACTTTTTTATTTAGGATGATTTATTCGGCGCTGGATGATTACGAGGACTGACTAATGAAAACATGGTCCATCTATCATCTGATTGACACTGCGCTTAAAGATACAGCGACATGCTCGTAGACATGAAAAAATGAAAGGAAAAGTGTTTGCGTTGTTATATGATTCGATGTTTGTAAGATTAGTGGCAGGAAGATTTGTGTATCTATTTCTTTCTTAGAAACATGTTCAGATCCTGACTCCTGAGTTAACTGTTTTTGATGTTATGTCTTGATCATTAGTTCAAGCTATCGAGCTCGTAAGCTACTGTGGTTACAGATGCAATGAAACTGAATGATTTCAAATGTTAAGGAAAAAAAAAGTTAATTCATGTGAATTTGACTTTCAAAAAAAAAGCGAGAAATTTTTTGAGTGATGTAATAAACGAGGATGTCCAAAAAAACTGAGGACTTTAGAACCTTCTGTTTCAGTTTTGTAATTAGCCAATTAGGTTATCTTATAAAGCTAATCCTTCTCCTTCACTGTGACAATCGTCGTTATCAAGGTGATTTCTTTCTCTCTCTCTCTCTCTCTCTGCCCCAATCTTCTTCGTGTGGGTTCACAGGTGTGTGGTTGATCTCTAGAGATCTGGTTCCATCCTAGATTTATTTGGTCTGTAATCGTAAAGTCTTAGATTTATGAATCGAGTTCTGTTGTAGTGTTTAGGTTATGTAATCGTTGCATCTAGTAATTAGGGTCTTTGAAGGATTAAGCTTTCATTTGCTTATATTAATCCATCTTTGTTCTGAGTTTTCGAGAATGTTCTTGAATCTCTTTTGATGAAAATTGAGCTCAGATTATTTTTACAGGTTTTACATCTTTCAATGGTTAATGCAATCAAAGGAGTGTTCGTCTCTTGGTACTTACTGTTCTTTTCGATTCCTAAGCAAATCTTGATGAACACAACTGAATTATGCAATGTTTGTTTCTGTCTTTTGTTTGCAGCGATATACCGATGACACAGTTCATAGTGAACATGAACAATTCGATGCCTCCGTCTCAGAAATTCATAATTCATGTGCTTGATAGTACTCACTTGTTTGTGCAGCCACATGTTGAGCAGATGATTCGCAGTGCCATTTCTGATTTTAGAGATCAAAACTCTTATGAGAAGCCCACTTCTTAGATCACATCACACACTCACATGCTTCTTTTTTTCTTCCATTTCATTCAAATGAATAAAACTTCATTGAGAGACCGAGAGTTTGATTAACTCATGCTTATAGAGAGTTATTATAGTGAACTTTAATCTCTCTGCTTGTGTTGATTACTTTGTCACTCTTTTAATGAGTAAACACGTTTGTTTTGTTATTGTAATAAGATCTGAACTCTCAATTACTTACAGTAGATAAAAAGATTGAGGATTCGGAAGTTCATATTTTTTTTCCTTCTTTTTTACTACCAAGTAAAATCAGAAACTAATTTAAACCACATAAAATTTGTACATGTAAACCAATTCGGTTAAAGCAAACCGATATAGATGATAAACCAATCTTCTTCAACAAATTACCCAATCTGTGTATAAGCTTTTCCTCTTCTTCTAGTCTAAATAAAACAAACGAAAAATAGTGTTCGGCTCTAACACGCTCGACGACCATGGCGGTCTCGTTTAATACAACGCTTCACCAGTCTTCTCTGAGTCCGAGGTAATTTCAATTTTATCTAAATTTTACATAGTTTTGTCTCTGATTATACATATCCACTTGCATCTGATTGCTTTTCTTATGTCCTTTTTGCAGCTGTAGCATCAAGCTTTATTCTGGGTTAAAGCCTCAATCTGCAAGTTCGTTCTTTTTCCTCTTAATTTGTCCGAAAGTTTATGTTTTTAATCGAATTGGTCCCTGAGATACAAAGGGAACTGATACTGTTGTCGGAATTTGTTTAGGCTTTTTGGCAAGTGGGTATCAGAATTTGAATAAGGAGTTCTATGGAAGAGTTCATAAGAGTCTGCAATCTGGGTAATGTGAATTCTTCTTTTACTGAAATGATTCGAGACTTTGGTTTTGCTTGGAGGCTCTTCCTCTTGTTCAATTTTGCTTAAAATTTAGGGCTTTTTGCTGCTCCAATCTGGGAATTTACAGAACTTATACTTGATTTGTTATGGAAATTCCTGTAATGAATGATGATATGTGAAAATTGAGCTTGATAGTGAATTACAATTAGGTTGGTTTGCTGATATTAGAACTCGTGAGAATGGTCATTTGTCGTTAAATGTGATGCTTCATTAGCTTTGTCGTTCGTGGTAAACTCAGTGTGGTTTCTGTATTCTGCAGGACTGGGAAAGCGAGCAGGTCACGGGTTAAGATGATGCCAATAGGAACACCGAGAGTGCCCTACAGAAACCGAGAAGAAGGCACTTGGCAATGGGTTGATATATGGAATGCTCTTGTACGTATATTCGACTTGTACATATAATCTTGTGTATACATTTTACTTGGTCACTGTGAAAGTTGTAAATCAATATTTGTTGCAGTATCGAGAGCGTGTAATCTTCATTGGACAAAACATTGATGAAGAGTTTAGCAACCAGATATTAGCGACCATGTTGTACCTCGATACTCTTGATGACTCAAGGAGGATTTATATGTACCTAAATGGTCCGGGTGGTGATGTATGTTTCTCTTTCATTCTTTAGTCTTTACATGTTTGGTTAGACTTCTCCAAATTTTGTAGCTGAAGATATAAAGTTTTATTCTTTTTGTAGCTTACTCCAAGTCTAGCCATCTATGATACAATGAAGAGCTTGAAAAGTCCGGTTGGGACACATTGCGTCGGGCTTGCTTATAACCTTGCAGGTTTTCTTCTTGCGGCCGGAGAAAAGGTTATTTCTTTTCACATTTGTTGAATCATCAGTGCATCATTCTCCATACTTTGAATGACTAATGCGTACTTAGAAACCAAAAATGTATATGCTAGACTCTGGGGACACTTTAAATTGAACTATTGCTTTTTTTGGGTATCTTTTTTTGCTGTGAAAAGGGTCACCGGTTTGCGATGCCATTGTCAAGAATCGCCCTCCAATCACCAGCTGGTGCTGCCCGTGGTCAGGTAAATAAGCCGCCTTCGAGTTTTGTTCTAGTAAAACCTTTCAATGTTATGTGATTCATTATTTCAATTGTCAAAGTAAATACTACAAACTTCTCTCAGGCTGATGATATCCAAAATGAAGCAAAAGAGCTTTCAAGGATAAGAGATTACCTCTTCAATGAACTAGCCAAGAATACTGGCCAGCCTGCGGAAAGGGTTAGTTTTCTTTTCACAGTCACCAAATCCAATAGTTGTTATTTACTGTTTTTGATAAAACTTCTAGATTTCTGAGGGCATATGATGATGATACAGGTCTTCAAAGACTTGAGCCGGGTGAAAAGGTTCAACGCAGAGGAAGCTATCGAGTATGGACTTATTGATAAGATTGTTAGACCACCGCGCATCAAAGAAGACGCTCCTCGCCAAGACGAAAGCGCAGGTCTCGGATAGTCAGTTAATTTTGTTTATCATGTCTGAAATTTTCAATCTTGATGTTCTTGTGATTGTGATTGTTACCGAATAAAATCACTTTTATTGTTTTTTCATTCCACCAATTTTATGGGTTCCTACAAATATTTTAAAGTGATGTGTAAGATGTAAAGGGAGTGACTTTCCTGGAAAATTCAACAAATAGTCGCCATTACAGAAGCTGAAGCAGAACCAGACATGAACTCTTTGCTTAATAGTTAATTCTCTGTCTAGCTTTCTTGTCTTGTTGGTTCTGTGGTAGATGACTCCCCCCTACCAAGCGTATTGTTCAAACCGAAGAAAATTGGCCGGTTCAATGTTTGTTTAACTGGGATGTCCATCACAAGTTAAAATATTTGGGGAAATTTGTGTTAGATTAAAATCAGAAGAAATAGACAAATATAAGCTTTAAGAGGGAGGTTAGGGAGAGGAGCAAGTAACTTGTAGCAGTAGTACAATGTGAAATGGTACCACCAAACCGGCAAACCCAATACCCATAATTTTATAGCCTTTGTGCAGATGTTAATAATGGGCCTCCATAGAAATCTAAATGCTAGGCTTGAATATGTAAGAGTGAAAAAGAAGATACTGCAAGATTATACTGCTTTCCACTTTCTTCCTGGTGATGTTTCTGTTTCTCAGGCCTCAGTGATCTCTCCATTTGGCCTCAGTGATCTCTCCATTTGGAATCAGTGTTCTGTAATGCCAATCATTCAACATCAAACTGTTAACCACATATGATTTAATTTGTTACCATCAAGAGCAAATTAACCACACCAATAGCACCAAAGGATTTGTTACCATAAAAAAAAAATTAACCACTAAATTTGTTTTTAATGCAGTGATATTTTCGGACATCCATTAATAAGTGAACAGGTGTAGATTGAGACACAAAATATACAATTTATTATAAATCTTAATCTCAAAATATTATAAATAGTTGACGTACAATAGCATAAAAGCTGTCGGTAATATTGATGCATAAAACTAATTAACAACTTAGACCTAATACATGAGAACGACACCAAATGTATTAATTATTGTAGATAGATGGATCATTGGATCAAACATTTCCAAAAAATAATACTTTTTTAAAAAATCTTTTAGACTTTTACAGGATTGGAGATGGACATAAGGTTTTTTCAACATTTTGAATTTGAAAAATGACATTACTATTCTATATTTACACTTTCGACCACCAACTATTGTGAAATAAAATTTTAACAAAATTTTATAAGAAATTGAGCAACGTGGGAAACAGAGACCCGATGTATCATTTCTTTTTTTGTTAAAGCCCGATGTATCATTTCCAATTACTCCATGAATGAATCACCCCACGAAAAGGTTTATTGGCTACCTACCTCTATTGTCCTTTTTCTTGTTGGAAAATTATGATGGAAAGTTCCAATATTCAAAGTCTAGAACATACGACCATGTTTTGGTAATTTATCAATGCGATTTCTTATTAAACTTTTCTTATTTTCCAACAAACGTATTTTCATTTAGATATAGATCAAAAAGGCCATTATAGGGCAAAAACATTCAACATAATAAGAGATTGTTTAAAAAAATTAATTTGAAAAATTTTCAATCAATTTTCTAGTAAAGGTATTGGACTTGCTTAATAACATTCATTGTCAAACGAAATTTGGCGTGATCGTTGGTAAGAATTTATGAAGATGTTTCGCCTCAAAGTCATGGGACATGTGTTGAAAAATCATAACCACATCTTGGGGTTTCCATAATTGGAATCCAACCTGTAAACAATATAATATTCCACTAAGAAATTACAAGTCAACCACTAAGAATCTAACAACACACAAAAACATAACAAAACAAATATTAATAATTAATCTTAGAAACTTTTGTACAACCTCTTCTATCATCTAAAACCCCACAATAAAAAAAAAGGTAAGCAATTTCTGAATTTCTAAGCAGCCCTCTCCTCTCTTTCTATATTTACAATAACATGACATGACCAAACCATCACCTAACTTAAAATTTAACCAACCAAACCACACCGATAAAAAACTTTATCCTTTCTAAGGCACGCAGACTTCTTAAACAAAATCCGCGTGCCTCTCAAAGGATGAATTTCATCGAACCGGTGGTTTGGTTAACCAAAGATTTGAATGATTTAAGAACATGATTTGATAAGACCAAAGTTGAATAGATTTCTCCAAACCAAACTCCCAAGTGAAACCAACACTGCTTTGGTCTGTTGTTCTTCTCCATCTCCCTTCTTATGATTCATTGTTGGCATTTCCTTCACTCTTAAACACTCCAAACCGATTTTCTCCCTAACTGATTCAATCAATTTGAAGTCTGGTTCGTCACCATTTGCATCAGTTACATAGAATATGTTTGTAGCTATGTCGCTAGTAGTTGATATCTCTGTTCTTGTAACATTCAAACCGTTTTCTCTGAATGTTCGCGTTACTTCCGCTAGTAAACCTTGTTTGTCTGGATGCCTCAGCTCTAATCTCACTCCCTAAAGACAACCCAAACCAAATAAATGTTTAGATTTCCTATTAAACAAAAGAAAATTCAATCAATTTCAGTGTAGTGTTATACCTCTAGTGCTCTTCTTTCAACTGCAGCTTCTAAGCATAGAATCACTCGTTGCCTCTCTGCTTCCGAACTTATCGGTGATCCATCCTTATGCCGGATATAGAATTCCTGAACAGTTTAACCAAACAAAGGAAAGAACTTTTAGCTCAAAATCACACAAAAACTCTCAATTCAAACAAATTTACAGGATTATTTCAAGGAACATACCAAGTGAGCTTGGTCTTCAGCCGTGTTGATAGTAGCATGGAACACGGCATATTCCATATCGGTCAACGTACAAACCACATCGAATAGAAGCTTGGTCCGGTCCCGACAATGAACATTAACGACAGAGTAACCCCTCTCAGCCCAATTCTGAACCGTCACAACCACCGTTGGAGATCTCTCTTGTTTATTGGATCTCCTCTCATAGTCTCTATCTTCAAACATTAGCTGATGAAGTCTACGTTCTATGTGCATCATCGAATCCACAGAAACACAAGTCTTTGCAGCAGAGTTAACATCGTTGTCGCCATTCAAAACATTCTTTAACCGTCCCTCGATCTTTGATATCCGGTGAGAATCAAGAATCGGAGCTCCTGAGCTACCATCTCTGAGATAGATCACAGAAGCAACTCTACCATTATGTGTCCATAGCTTAGCGTCAACCACATCACAGTTGAGATCAGAGAGAACCGCAAACATCTCGGACAGTAAACCGATTCGGTCTGTTCCGGTTAACTCTAAAGCTGTTAAACCGTTTACTTCAATGTTTTCTCCATAGTAAACCGTCTCAATCGACTGTGAAATCAGAAAATAAAAAAGATTCGATATTTAGAATCCATGTTCTTGAAAATTAAGACACAGTTTAATTAAATTCATGAATCTTTAAAATTACCTGTTCAATGTATCTCAAGACGCTCTGGTCATTCAATTTGTTTCCGTTTAAGTCAGTCACATGAAAAACTGCAGTAATCAAGGAAATCGAATTAGGAAACAAAGTTATAAATGTAATAAGAAAGATAATATTATGATTAATTGAATTTAAATGTTATCTTACCATCCATGTTCCATCTTCCATCAGAAGAAATGTAAGCTTTTTTAATGGAGAGATTCAAATCTGTGAGAATTTGGACAGCTTCTAACAATATCCCATTTCTTCTTGAACTATCAACCTGTGGAAATCCCAGGAAAAAAAGATTAAACTTTTAGTTCTTATAATGAATAATTTGCTATGATGAATTAAAATTTAATTTATTAAAAACTAACCTTGACGATTGTCGCTGAAGAACAAACACCATTGTCGATAACGACCCTGTAATGATAATGTAGGAAAATTTGTTTTAGATTTTTCTTTTCCGACAAAAATAAAATTTATTATCTCAAATAATGGGATTTATTTATCAATTAAAGTTTAGAGAAGATATGTCCTTAAAAAAAATCAAGTTGATGAAAAATAAGGCCAAGCAAAGAAAATTTGGAAAAATCTTCTAGGAGGAAGACAGAAAGTACAAACTTTTAAATAATTTATATATTTTTTTTGGAGAAACAAAAAGTAAATTAAACGATGACCAAAAAGAAAGAAAAAAAATTCAAATTTCAAAACTCAATTGTGAACATTAAAAAATGATTTCATATTTTTTCCCGGACTGATAGAAAAATATTTTCCGGCAGAATTTTCCCACAAGAAAAAAAAAACGAGACAAAAGGGAACCTAATTTTCTGGGTTTTACAATTTTCAAGCTCTGTTTCTTAAAGAAAATTATATAAAATTTGCAAATAAAAAAACACAGAGAAGAAGAAGAAGAAGAAGAAGAAGAAGAAAACAAACCTTGGAGTGTTCATCCTAATAACAAGCTTTTCATACTCATCCAAATAACCCTTCATCGCCATCTCTGATACAAACTACTACGCCGTCGTTTTCAACCTCTGGTTCTTCTTCTTCGTTTTCTAAAGACTTCCAAGAAAACACATCTAAAATCTATTCGCCAGCGTTTCTCTCTAAATGAACGGTGCCGTTTTTATTGCTCTGAGAAACTGTTACTTTTTTTTCTCTCTCTCTAGATGATAGACAAAGCACGCTTTCACATAATCCTTCCATACACTGAACTCCTTATATTTATATATATATGGATAAAACAAATATTTAATTAAGTTGGTAATATATCTCTCCAAATTATAGAAAAGAAAAGTCACATGGATCACCACGTCTCACGCATGTTACTAATGCTAAAAGTCTTCTTTAGTTGGACTTATAATGTTTCATCTTTTTTATTCTTTATCTTAAACCTTAAAAATGCTTCTATAAACATCTTTCATTTCCTCTACAAAGTCATTTAACCCAACAAAGCGTTAATCCATTTATCTTACTATTAATTCTTACCAAAAACAATCCTTGAGGATATTTAGTTTTTAGTCAGTCAATCCAAATCTTTTTATTTATGGTCATTTATATATTCCATACAAAAATATCTCCCTTATCTAATTCTTCCTTCAAATATATACTTCTACTTTCACTTATTTGGTTCCAAAACACAGAATAATCGAAATCAAACCAAATCCCAAAAAAATGGTTAATTAGCTATTAAATATATTCCCGGAATTAGTTAGAAATCCCATCATAAGGGAAACCAATAAAAAACCAACCATCCCTCCACGTGTCAATAGATCCTTAACTCTGGTTGTTCAACTGTCCAGCTAGGACGCCATCTGTCTTTAGACCTAAGTGGTTCCTCCTTGACTTTGCGTGCATTCCACTCTACCATGATCCCTCCCCCGACAATAATCGATCTAACGGCCAGGGTAGGCCACGTGTCATAATCTTGAAGGTCCCACGTCAAATGATACTCGCTTCGGAGCTAAGATGAGAAAATTCTTTTCTCGTTCATCGATTCACACACCTCGTTACATTGGCGCGTGAAATATACGCGCTTCTTCAAATTCCGTACTTTCCTAGAAACAAAAGTTCCGGTAATAACCTCGTATTTGGTTCGGTTTACTTGCTTTATAAGGGTATATAAGTCCTTTGAGCATTGAGAATCTCCGAATCGAGAGGCGTACTTTATAGAGGAGAAAGATCTTTATGGGACCTACTTAAAAAGCTGGCATGAGAGAGTGTCACTTTAAGCGTGTCGTGAGGGGCAAAAATGTCTTTCCACGATAGAATTTAGGGGTTAATCACGTGGAGACATTTAATTGGTGCTGGAAGAAAAAAGTAAATTCGCGCGTGACACTCACGTCTACGAGGTGATTTTTCTCGGCCTACCCATTACTCTCATTTTACCGAACCTAACCTATATAGTACCAATAAAATTGGTTATGAATCTTATGATAATAAAAACTCCTAAAAATGGAATATCACAAATCAACTTTATTGGAATTTTATGATCGTCCATAAGCGTGATTTTGTTTTTAACTTTCTTATAAACAGATTTATAAGAATCCAAAAATTATAAGATTCTTATCTTAATATGTGGATTAGATGCTACTACTAGAATAATTTTTGAAAAGAAACAAGTGTATTTCATAAGGATCTAATGAGATCATTCGTATTAAATACGAATATGCCCCACGTATGGGCCACTTTCTACAGAAGACCAGAACCATGTCACGTGCAATTTACATGTCTTAACGATCTAGAATCATGCTCGGTCTTAGATCTTGCCACGTCGACGACACACTTCTCTGTGAGTCTGTGATTATTTTAGTTTCATACATCCTTGGACGTGCGTTGCAGTAACCAAAAGCTGCAAAAGCATTTAACTATTCGTCAAGCTTAACGGGCAAAGACGATTCTTCTGCTCCATTTATTAGCTATTAATGCGTAGTTTTCATTAATTACAATTTGGTGAGTATTAAAATCTGATTTTAAGTTTTATAACTCGACAGCCAATAGTACTGTTGGAAATTAAAAATGTGTCAAAAATCGAACTATGTAGGCGGAGAATCTTAGAACAACTAAAGAGTTATGATCTTTTCCGTGCGTCCAAAAGAACACATCGAAAATATTTTGGCTCTTTAAAAATAATTTGTCTTTTGTTCTGTCTTTCCACGTAGGTTTTAGCGGGAAAATTTGTACGATTCTCCGCCGGAAATGGGAACGGCCGGTAATAGGTAACCGGTGGGAGCCACGTCATATTAAGATCATGACGATGGATTAAGGCAACAGAATCAACCAAAAGAAAACGGGTCCACGAGGATTTGGTTGGGTCGGTCGGTGTCGTTAATTCTCCGATAAATTCTTATTTTTATGATAATCTTTTTTTACGTGACTTTCTTTAAGAATAATCCGATTTTTTAAAATTATATTATGTGGAGCTTAAAGGAAAAAAAACACAGCCCACAAGAAAAAAAACAGCCTTTGTGTAACTCGTAGGAACAAGACGTTGAATGGACAGAAAAGTCCCGAGGAGAATTAGCTGACGTAGGAAAGACAGCTCATACATTCTCGTTTCAAAAGCATTGAAAATTCCTTTTTATAGTAAGGATGTTAACTTTGATTCTAAATGTAAGTGCAACCTACCCTAACCTAATCTCCATTTGGGCACTTTCGTAATTGACAATGTAAACCAGAAAAAGAAGTGCCTTTGGTCGAGACAAAAGTTCGATGGAATTGCTTTTTTGACTGATTATTTTGGCGCCACATTTGAATATGTTTTCCCTCTCTCTTTGATCAAAGAAGCCTAAATTGTTGCGTTTTGGATGATAATTAGGGTTAAGTGCATAAGACATCACTAGTATATAGATATTTTGTCAGCTACATCTCATGTATTGGCAAATATCAAATCAAGATTATGCGCATCAAATTTTAATATACTTGCATGATCTATTAGACTATTAGGATATCTATGTTCGAGGAGAGTTTGTTTGTCAACTTGTAGCTCCAATAATATTTTTAACTAACATGACAGCTTTTTCGTGTCCATAAGCTGGACTGTTCAATCTTATTAATCAGTAATTGTTTTTGTTTGTAAATCATTAATGAGCTCAAATTCCAATTTCGGGAAGATATTCGCACGACCTCAGTATAAATTAGTATATGTCTTAAACATATTTTAAGATGTTATTAAATCATTGTTAAGAGATAGTCGGGAAGATCAAATTATATTAAACTCTTCGAAAGATCACACCATTACTCTCAAGAGGCATGTTGTTCCTCGGACGTGACAAAAACTTGAAATTTTTCGTATTATTTTAGTGAGGTATTTTATATGTTTAGTATAGTTTATTCATTTCGATAGAATGATAAATAGTTGTAAATGGAGATTGATTAGGCCACTATATAGCCGATTCATATTTTATAAATGAGATACGAATAAGGCAATGTCGACTCTTCCGTATTACAACAACTGTCGACAAATTTCCATAGTTTTAGGAGAACTTCGCGGATCTAAGGATCTTCCCTTAATTTATAAGATCTTAGCCGTCCAAAAAAAATATTGAAACTACACTCTCAAAGTTTGACTATTATTAGATTTTGTCCGTTGATGAACATGTAAATTTGTCTCTAACATATTCAAACGCTTTTAGACTAATCCAAGTGAATGTTTGTTTAAGACTCAATTCGAAAAGATCAACAAAACAGACAAAGAAATAAAAGTTGAGAAGTTCTTCTGGTACTAGTTATTCGTAGCAGTCCAAGACGTCGAGGGTTCCATGATTCCACCCTCCATATAGATATTATTTATTTCGTCAAAACTAAATTAAATCCTTTGTAATTTTTTCTAGTGATGGGTAAATTAATCGTTAATTTTTATCTTTTTTTCTTATAAATTATGACATAATAATTGAAAATTTGTTGGATTTATCATTTTCTAAATATTTTTAGTGAATTGTTGGGCCGAATATTAAAACGAATTTACTGATTCACATTGCATTACATTTTTTCTTTTGCGATCCCAGTAAAATGTTTGAGGAGTAATGAAGAGGCCAGTTTTTTTTTCTTTATTCAATAAGAATAGGATGGTTTGACTTTTGTTTCATAAAAAATGCATAAAATACGGTGAATGATTTGACTTTTGCTAACAAAAAATGATTTGACTTTGTTTGCATATACAAATATTAGAAGGAAATAAATAAAATTATCACAAGTACAGCATGATATATGTTATGAGTTAGCTGTTGAGTAGTGACGAAGCACAAGGCTAAAAGCGCACACAAGTAATTAGGAGTGGTACACACCACTACTCTCTCACGCCGCTTCAGAGCTCATTTTTTTTTTGTTATCTTTGATCATTTTTAAACTACTACTTTTCTTTATTGCTATTATATCTAACTACAAAGGTCGAAAACTACAAATTGGTACTAGATAACCAGTCTATAAGAAGTATTGAATTGAAAATATGTAAATTGTAAAATTCAATCATAAACTTTTGATTCATAGTCTTTTGCAATTGCACGATTTTCTAGTTACCGCTTCAAAAATAAAATTAGTTTCAGCTAAATAACTAATAATCGCACGACTTTTTAGTTACTGCTTCAAATTTTTTTAATCAAGTTCTGAAAATTTCTTATTTTCTATTATATTATTGAAGATCGTTAATCTGTTCAAGAAATGCAGACATTTTTTAGATGTTGTGTGTTTAGACTTGTCAAAGCCAGCAGCGAAAACAATACTTATGATACACTATCATTTTGAATTAGTAAAATAGGATTGAGAGATTAAAAAAATATTAAAATTCGAAATAAATAAATATAATTCATTAATTTTGTTTAGAAAAATCATTCCTTAATTTTGATTACTTTAGGAGTTGACAATACATTTATTTTTGCAGGCCTATAGTTTTTGTATACATGCTTTGAGAGTATATTCCCTAAACTAATGTCAAGCTACTCTGCTTTCTCAAGAAACAGAGTCACCTAATGAAGACGAAGAGCTCAGCCATGGGCCAGAAACAAGATAGATTATTGGGCCACAAAGATGTAAACAGACCAAGCCCAATACTTATTCAAATTCGATTTTAATTAATTTTTATGGTAAAGTACATTATATATATTAATCTCCCAAAATAAAAGAACAAACTATCCATAAATCATATTCCCGTAGTATATATACGAAAAATAAAAATTCATATATGAAAAAATAAAAAATTTCAAACTTAGAAAATAATTTTATTTTATCTTTCATTACTACGACCTATATACACAAACAAAACCCACCAAAATAATATACACATCCAACAACAAAAAAAAATGCCAAAGCAAAACAAACCACCAAACATTAAGTAAAAACAAAATCATACAAATCTTCATCTCACTGAATTTCGAATTACGATGGAATATTTTAATCCTTCTTTATTCCGCAATTCGGTTCGGTTAAGTTAGGCGTTAAACCGGCTTACCGGATGTCAACACGGAGACGTCTGAGTTCAGTGAGAAAAGTAGGACTTGAAGTGAGAGTTCTATGAGCAAGACTTCTTATGTCTTCTCTTGAACAGTCTCTTGAGATCCTCACCAGCTCCCATATTGCTCCTTCCTTCACCATCTCTTTTGCATTTCCTTCTACAAAACTCAAAAATTGTGTGTTAATTGTGTTTATTGATGCAAATCAATTTGTTGAACGTATGTATGTATATATGAACACACTTACCATGTTGTGCTAAGTGACAAAGAGCTAATTCAATGTGACGCCTTATGGCTGCAGTTTCGGTTTTGGCATTTTGTACAATCCAAGAGAGTGCACCGTCTTCTATTAATAGTGATTTCCCTCTTTTAGTTCCTGCTAAGTGATCCATTTAGTTCAATCAGTCTTAAGATTAGATAGCAAAATGTTTCACGTTTGTCAAAGAGAACACTGGATAAATTAATAAGTTTTTTTTTTACCTTGTGTTGATGCTCTTGACTCGCATTTGGCAAAGTTTGCGATCCCGCGAGCAACTTGTGCAAGAACATCAGGATGTCCACATCTCACCATTCCCAACAAAGCCGCGATACCGCCTTCTGATCTTAGTTTTGTCTGCAATTTATCTGAGTGACGCCGAAAATCCAATGTATGTCAAGATTTAACCAATATATAGTCTGTGAGTTCTTTTTCATGATAAAGTGAAAAAAAAAACAGAGAGATGAATCGAAAATACCGTTTCCACAAAGATTTGCAATTGCTCCAGCAACCATCCTAAGTGTCTGAGGATCTTCAGCATTGGCTGCTGTTGATGACAATAAACCGATGCCCCCTTGATCCATGATTAGCTCCTGGTTGGTTTCTGATAAGAAAAGTAATATGACTTGGTTTCGTAAATAAACTAAGATATGAAATGATAAACTAAAGAATTTAACCCATGAGAACCACAATTTTTTACCATTCATTGCAAGATTGGCGATTGCACCAGCAGCAACTCTGTGAATAGTCTCATCTTCTGTATTTTTCAGAAGCATCAACAAGGAGGTGAGACCACCAGCTTCCACAATTTGCTGCTGATTTGCCTCTGGTGTTACATAAAGCATTTTTATAGAAATCATGAGGCGACGAAATGGTGAATATGGCAATTAAAAATGTCAAAAGGATGAAGATTGCAGAAAGAAACCTTCGGCAGCCAGATTTGCTACCACTTTGACAGCATGAATCCTTACATCAGCATCTTCAGCTTCAAGCAGAGACAAGATCTTTTGCAACCCCACTTCAAGAGGCAAAACATGTATAAGGCTACGTATATTTTTCTGTAATGAACCGACAACAACCAACTGTCAGAAATTACCTTGTTCAAACAATCTAGCTACAGGAGGTTTCTCAGCATTTCCTGGATCTTGGATCTGAGGAAGTCTTAACTGAGACATTAAAGAATCTCGAGCACTAGAAGTTTTCTCTGAACCATGTTGCTCAAGGTTTCGTCGAGTCTGCCAAAAGTATATAAAGATTTTGAAATGCTTGATATTTGAATTAGGAAAAAAAAAGAGAACAATATGATACATAAAGTCATAAAGAGCAAATTTTTCATGTGAAAGATGACTATGTTCTTTACCTCATCAGCAGTAAGACTCAATTGCAGTAGTTGAGAATGCAGTGTTGCTATTTCCCCTTCTAGTTTTTCTTTTTGCTGTGTCTCATTTTCCAACATCTTGTGGAGTCTCATGATTTCAGAATTTCCTGATGCCTAAGGAATAACAGAATTATAGCTCAATAAAACTTTTGAGTTGAACATGAATAATCTACAAACAAACCAAAAACAAAAACGATAAAAGGAAGGTTTTCGGGATATACTTCGACTTTTTTGAACTCAGTGAGTTGGTGTTTAAGCCTATTCACTTCCTCTTCAGCAGCCATCTTTGATTGAGCTTCTTTCTGAAGCAACTTTTTCAGCTCAGAGACTTCCTCTAAGGCTGGGGCTATTGATCTCTGTAAGAAAAAAATATATATAAGAGCCAGGATTAGTGACACTATATCTGCAAGGTGAAAAAAATATCATGCACAACGAGAGATGTTACATTGCCGTTTGATGTGATGTCTAGGCCATTTTTCTCTCCAAGTGCAAGTCTTTCAGCAGCCAACTTTTTCTGATTCTTTGACCAGTTCTCCTCAAGCTTCTTTATTGATTCCATGTAATCATTCTGATACCTTTGCTTTTCATCCTACACACAGATTTGATGAGTTAATCCATGCACCAAAGAGATATCTCAATAGCAAAAAGACACAAAAGGAACTCACCTCTAGTGCATTGGCATATCTTTTTTCAGCCTCGGAAATTTGGTTATGAGCTTCTACGGTTATTCTTTCGATTTCATCAACGAATGCTTTCTGCTGCCGTTCATTTTCCTCTATTAGATTGTCTAGTTGTACTTCAAGTCTTCTAGACAAGCTTTTGTAATCAAACTCTTCCTTTAACTTCACCATATTTTCCACTTTCATAGCCTATAATATAAATAACCTATAAGTTAAACATAGCCATCAAAATAGCCAGGACAGTACCTTTATATATACCAACTTTTACTAAAAGATCCCTGCTATTTGTCTGGTCAAATCATTAACCATAAAAGTAATAATCAAACAAAAAAAAGAAGTCCAAAGCTATGGTCCATACCCTTTGCCCAAACATTATAGTGCTCGTTGTCTCCCCTCGATGTCGTGGTGATGGACCAATTGTGATAACTAGAGAGGTCCTTGCAGTGCCTGTTGAGATCATAGGCCACATGTCAAGCAAGTCAACATAGTACAAAATTGAAAAAGATTCAATTGTAAACCATGACAGTAAAATATACAAATGCATACAGAAAGCAGAGACTAACTTACCTCCAAATGAATCTCTAAGCAATCTAGTTAGCTTTGAATCACGGAATGGAACATGAGAACTATTTTCAGCAAGTGCATTGATGCATTTCCCCAGTGCACTCAAAGACAGATTGATAGATTTGGCTTCCTCTAGTGTATGTCCCTCACTTCCTGGTAAAATATATAAACAAACAAAAATTCAGATTCAAGAAAAAGATAACTAGTAACACAAAGTCATTCACTATAACTTTGAAGTTCAAGTTGTTGATTATCAAAGTGTAGATGAGGAATATGAAAATTTGGTACTCCTCAAGTCTATTTACTTAAAATATCAACCTGATTTATTGATACGTTCCGAGCCAGCAAGATCCACCACAACTAATTTTCCCTTCCGGACAACAGGAGGCTTGAGAGATTTAGTCATATGAGAGTTTCCATTACTTTCACTTGACAAGCCATCTCTTGTTTTCAAAGAGCGCCTGACATTTACCTGCACAATTTAGTTTGACTATGAATACAAAAGTTTTTACCAACAACTCTCCAAGCAAAATCATGATCAATATTATTCACCATTAAGATAGCATGACTACGAGATGACTCGGTGTTCAGTTTGGTATTAGCAGCAAACCGGTGAGCTTCTCCGAGTTGCAGTAGTTCCAAGAAGCTTTGTTGATCCCTAATTTCGACCAAAGTAGCACCTGGAAGAGAAACATCTCCATTTTTCGGGTCCTCAACTATAGCAATGTTATCATTAGACGGATCAAGAAGGTCTTGTACAGTCTCCATATAAAGCTGCAAATAGGAGACAGATATAGAATCCATCTCCAACGACACTTCAGCTAAAATATCCTCCATAGCACGGACCATAATTCCACGATCAGCGACATCTTCTTCCCCAAGCTGCCCAAGTGTATATGTCTTACCAGTACCAGTCTGACCATAAGCCATAATTGTCCCATTGTAACCATCTAAAACACCCTATACCAAAAAAAGAAAGACTTAAATTCATATAATGTTTCAAGACTCTGGATATTGATCAAGGTCTAGTACATATCTATATACCTCCACAACAGGTTTTGCCACAACTTCGTAAACTCGCTTCTGCGAAGCATACTCGGTGAGTACTTCATCAAACTCAAAAGTATCGGTGTCCCAATTGTTTTTCCGGAGTTTCAACCTCTTAAGCTAAGAGAATCAAACACATAACTGATGAATAAAAACTTAACAATGAGCAAGAAAGTCTCCACATTTCAAAAACAAGACTTTAGTATATAACACTGTACCTCAGGTTGTAACTCAACACAATCAGCAAAATCAGCATCAGCAATCAATTCCTCACCATTGCGTGGCCTTAATCTAACAGCTACTCGAACTCTCCCAGGAACTTCAAAACAAAATCACAATTCAACAACTATAAAAAAAAAAACAAATTCATAATCTAGCTTAATCCAAAATCTCAAACACATCAATAAAAAAGTTTATATTTTTAGGAAAAAAAACTAAACAGTGAAATTTTCTAGGTAAAAAAAAAAAAGGGAGGAACAGAGGATTTTTTACCACCGGCGTCGCCACCGCTTCCAGACTTAGAAGAGCCGCCACCACCAAGTGCGGCGGGGCTGCTTTTTCTAAGCACTGACTTGGATTTGACAGAAGATTTCTGACCACCGGAGGAAGTGGAAGTAGAGGACTGAGTTCTGAGTGAGCTTCTTTGAGTCCCATTTCTGTAATTCAAAGCTCCGGCTCCTGAAGTCGTTGACATTTCAACTTCAAACGCATAAATCCAAAAACGACCAAACAAATTCTCTGGGAGACTATCAAAAACAAAGAACCTTCTTTTGTCTTTCCTCAATTTTATTAGTTCCCGAGAAAATTCCTTTAATTTTCTTTCTTTCACGGAGTTTAATTTCTCGGGAAAATTGCAAAAATTGAGAGAGGAGAGAGAGAGAAAGAGTTGAGTGAAGTGGAGGGAATCGTGTAAGAAGGCGTGACACAGTTAAAACTAACATCAAGTTGTCCTTAAGATTTTACGAGTTTGACATAAATACCCTTCACTGGTCCCGTTATTTACCCGTTGGACCATTGTACGGTACGATTGTTGTTGTTCCGCGTGAGTCATTATTAATGCAATGCTCTACTGTTAGTGATAATATTCGAGCGACCTTTGTCACGAAAGATGTGACCATTTTAATTGCTTACTATTTATAGCAAAATCTTTTCTCTAAAGTTCCTCTATGTTTAGTCGTAAAAACTACTATATGTTAAGTAGAGCATTGCGAAGATTACGAAGATGTTGTATATACCACTTACTTTGCTTGGGTTGGTCCACAAACTTTTAGTCCGTGTTATAACTTTATCATATATGTTTGGGTGAAACTGTAAAAACATAAGTCGAGGTGGGCTAATTTGAATGAGTTTTTCAAATATTGAATTTGAATTCGTTTCTTTAAAGCATAATTATAGGAAGATCAATTAAAAGAAGAAAAGATTTTGGACTGAGAAAAGGGAAAAGGAAAAAAAAGAAAAGGCAATAACAACAATAAAGGGATTCAAGGGCCCATAGCAAAAGTAAATTTGTCAAATCGTCCCAATGAAAAGAGTTTTCCTTTCAAATTTTTGGCCGAACCAATAAAGAAATTATAATATATATTAAAATTAAATAAAATAGGAAATCAATTCATTAACAAAAATATAAGGTGCTTTGAGATATATTGAATCTAGTATATTAAAACTATAGATTATTTAACTCAATATCAATTTAGTTTTAAGATGGAAATTTGTGGATCGGCAAGAAAAGTTCGATCAAAATTATGATACGATTTTTTCATAAAATTTGTAGTTTGTTTAGACTTGGTCCAAACATCATGATTTTTCCAATCTCAAAAACACCTATCATAATAAAAACTTTTTTTTTTTGTGGGAAAAACATTTTTTTAAATGAACATATTCAAATAGTGAGTTCTTAACCTAATTGACACATCTCTGATATTTCATAATCAAATGTCAAATGAATCCTTTGTTTGTCGTATGGTGCTTAATAAGTTAATATACTGTAGCATTGAAGTATATAGAGGGAAACTTATTCAAAGCACTCAGACTACATATGTTCTTATGTAGGGGCCTTCGTCAACGAGATTTACTAAAGTGAGTTAAATTCAAGGAACAAAGAGTTATTTTCTATAAAATATAAAAGGTCACTTTTTATGTTCTCTTTCTAATCTCAGCATTATTTGTTTATGATATATCATATGGAAGATATTCTAGAAATGCAAACATAAAATGTCCAAATTCGACAATTAAATTCATATTGAATTGGAATTTTTATTTTTGGTAAAACTATGAATTACAAAAGGTTATACACAACTGATGCAATGTCAGATCATTTGATATTGCATCATGGGCTGAAAGTGGTTTTCCAAAGGTTGCAATGTCGCAATAAGGTCTTCATTTTCCTTCCCACTATTTTTTATATATAAGAAAGAAAAATAACAAAGCCTAAAGCAAAGAAGTACAAAACATGTTTCACAGTCGAAAAAAAAGTCTACATGTTTATTTGTTAAGTTTTATAAAGAAAACTGTAGTGCACTGCTTTTCTCTCTTTGCTTTTTGTAAATTGGTTGATAAGATCCGGAATATGGACCCAAGATTGTAATGTAACCATCAAGAAGTGAAAGTGAAAGCAACAGTTTACCCACTCTAAGGACATATGTTCTTTCATTTCATAGTCTATCTCAACTCGTCGGTTGCAGTCTCAAGTTTTTATATCAATTTTTGTTTCTTACAGTTTTTCATAGTTTAGACAATTTAGAAACCGTATTGAAAGAAAAAAAAAAAAAAAAAGAAACCGTATTGAAAATCAAATCCAGTTTTATCTAGTAAAATTTCAGATCAAAATCAGTTGTCTGCGAAGACCGTATATAAAATTTTTGGATGGATATTTCTTTGATAGAAATAGATCAGATGCAACTACCAACTAGTGCACTTGATTGTGGATATTGATATTGTTCAATACAACACCATTCAAAGATCTGCAATGGCATTGGCTATTCCAATTGTTTTTAGCAAAAACAATTGGAATAGGGAAATAATATGGAGATCATACAAGCATAGGGAAATAATCTTATGAGCATCATTGCTAGGGAATATGGATTCACAAACGGCAGGATGTAATCCATCTACAGTCATTGATCACAACACCATATCCCGACTAGTTCAAACAAATCGATCATGGCCAAAACCGAGCTGTGAATGAAACATCAAGTCTTTAAAATTTCAGAAGTTTCTTAAGCTATTAACCCTTCAGATGAAACGTCTATCAAAGCATAGAGCCATTGCCAGGCAAAACCAATGATTTCATGCAATCACTGGACACTATCACCTAAACATCAAGACATCTCTTAATCTTCCATAGTTGGACACAGATAAACTACTTTGACTACTTCACTTTATCCACCATAAGCTATATACAAACTCCACTTGTTCTAAGTCCTACAACTCTAAATGATTCAAACTTTCTCCAGGTAAGAAGAACACCATTTTCCCCATCTAAGACGAAGTAAGCAAAATCAATGACTCATTCATTAACACCCCTAAACTAAACACACATCCAGATCTTCCATGATTCTATACAGATACCCTAAACAACATCGTCAGCTTCATAACTACCAAGCTTCATACTTTATCAACCATAAGCTATAATGCTATATACAAACCCCAACTTGTTCATAAGTCTACTATAAACAAACCAGGGGAATCTACCATAAGCTATATACGACATCTTTAGTTTCAGAACTACCAAGCTACACACTTTTATCCACCATAAGCTATATAAGACCCCCAACTAGTTCATAATCCTCCTACAAACAAACCAGGAGAATCCTAAAACTTCAAACGATTCAACTTCTCCAAGTAAGAAGAAGTAAGCTGGTACCAATAAGAACACAATTTTATGATATGACCAACAATTTATTACAGAACAACAAATCCAATGTTGCAAATCATGAAACCACATAATAGCAGAATCTAAAACCTTTCCTAAGAAACCCTAAAAGCAAATCAAACCATAATAAGAACAGAAAAAAAGAGCCAAACCACCAACATCACGAGACTTTAATATAAAAAAACAAAGAGAACACACCAGTTTCTTCACCAATTCATATCCTCTCAACCTTATCAGCCTTCACCACAGGATTAGCCTTAGCAATGGCTTCTCTCGCGACTCCTTTGAAATCGAATTCGCACTCATGAGTCTCTGGATATCTATGAGTTCCACAGAAAGTGCTCCCACACTTACACTTGAAACCCGTCACGCCCACTTTCTTGTTACAGCTCAAGCATCTCGTAGCCGTCGATTTCGGTGGATCCAAGGGAGCTGCAGCCGAATCACCACCGCTCGTTGTTGATGAGGAAGAAGATCCTGATTCGAGAACGCCTGAAGTGATTTCTTGGCTCTGTTGTGGTTGGATTTTGGGTTTATTAGGGTTTAGAGATTTCTCCACGGCGGCTTTAGCCGAAGCGGTTTGTTCCTCCGTGGCTCGGATGTCTCGGTAGCATTTGGAGCAGAGGTTCATGTTCGATGGAGATCCGAAGAAGCCACATCCTTTGACGCAGAGCTTTGGCTCTGAAGGAGAGAAGCTTGTGCCGTCGTTTTGCTCAGAACCCATAATTGAAAATCTCCCAATTCTAAAATCGAAATCTTACTGCAAAAGAAAAAAGAACACGAATCTTGAATCGAAGAACAGATGAAGAATGAATTTGTGACTTTAGGGTTAGGGTTTGTATTTATGATTTGATTGATTTCTTTGAGAAAATAAAGGAAAATTAAAGAATATCGATAGATTTTGGAAAATGGAGATTCTTGGCTTGTTTCTCAAGCGAGAAAGACTAAAATTATTTATCTCAAGTATGACGAAAATACCCTTAGCACTCTTTATAAAGTCGAAGAGTAAATGCGTCATTTGTCAACCCTTAAGACCAGGTCAGCGTCTAACTAAAAAGACTCCTTTACCCTTTCGGCACAAAAAAAAAAAGTTCTTTATCTTCGAGTGGTTTGATCGAATGGTTCTGAATAAGATTAAGGAATCAAACGAAGAACACGACGAACACAAATCTGAAAATTGGAACAGAAAGAAAAACCAATAAGATATTTACCTAATTTCCGATATGTCTGCTTTTAGTTTTCCGGCGACAAGTCTCGTAAAGAAAATCTCTGACGGTATATATCACTGAAAATTTCAGACAGAAAGTTCGTGATTTGATCGGAGACCGTAACCGAAACCTCTTAGCTTTCGCCAGAGAGAAATTAGGACAGAACAGAAACCAGACTCTTTTAGTTCTTTTGCATTTTTTGTCTTTGTGGTTTCATGGTTTATTCGTATGTGATAAGCCGCACGGGAGATTTTATGCATCGTCTGATAATATTCGTTGGATGAAACAAACGGAGAGTGATGGCGTCATCGTTTTATAATCCAACGGTAGTGATTGGAACTTTTTCGATGAGATAAAGTGGATATAAAATGGGTGGGGTTATCAACTTTTTATGGTGTTTGTGGATTACGATAAAGTTGGTATCGGTTCGTGAAGATAATCGGTTTATGTGAACCGGGTTTGGTTTGTGGGGACAGGCTTAGCTGGTTGGATGGTGACGGAACAAGAGATTAAAGAAAGAAAGTGGCGCGTTTGTCCCGACGCGTTTAGTCAATCGCTCTTTTGATTTGATCGGAATGTGATGATTACAATTATGTTCCAAATGTACTAGCTTCCTCCTTGGTCTTTTGTAACTGAGTTGTTCACAAATCTACCAGACTACCACTAGTAAATCATTCCGGCGAAAATCTACATGACTAAATCCTTTAACGCAGAGTGTTTGCATGCACACTATTCACTAGTACTTCTTATATCGAATCTTGAGCTATAAAGAGTTTATGGTTTTGTCTTCAAAATCGAGACTACTCAAATTTCCACGTATCCTTCTTTAAACGGTGGTGTATCTGGTTTGGAAGCAACAAATCAAAATCCAAAACCGTTGAACACTATCATTCAAGCATGACGTTATTTCAGCAAGAGACTGTATCCTTTTGATTTGGTTATGCATTTTACTTCAACACACCATCATTTGACGGATTCGATAATAATGATTTTTGGATCTAATACTAACCATAAGGTCCACAACCAAATTAAATTTGTCTAGATTGACAAATGTTTATAAGGGTCCACAACCAAGGTTCTTATGCTCCTCGTTGGTAATTCATGGTATTAAAACTTCAAAACGTAGCTATCTATATCGATATGTCCATTTATAAGCATCTTCTATTTTTATAGGGAACACTTTTTATTTGCTTACAAGTCTCAACTTTGGTTGCTTTTCATTTCCTTGTTTCTCTCATTCTCTTTCATGTTATGTTATCCTACATATTCCATTGATATTTCTTCTGTCAAATAAAAAGCAAACTTCAAAGTAACATATAACATGTATGATATGTACCCACCGTGACGGCAAAGCGAAAATAAAGCGGCGGTCTAAAGCAACTCGCTTACATATATATATCGGTGGTTCGTGACGGAGCAACAGCTATTAGCCACTCATATGTCTCCACTTGTCCGATTACGACACCGGTTTAATAATTTGAAAGTAAACCACCTAATTATTACGATATCATTTTTAAAAAAGTAAGGAATAAAAACATACTGTATAACGAATAATTAAGATTCTTTCTTCTAAACCCATTCGCTCTCTCCGATCACAACCATTTGATCTAACGGTTTAATTTTCTCGACAAACCGAAGGAAAACAGAGGTGCACAACGATTCTGCCGGTAACTTTGGAGATATTTTTTGGGCAAAAGGGTTCATTTTTTGGTTTTATCTTCGTCTCGATCGATCTATGACGTACAGCAATGGCGTCGATGGTACGGTGCCTGAGCTGAAATTGAGAGTCGAAGATTCCGAAAATGGTGATTATGTGAAATTGAGAGGAAGATCGGATGAAGAAGAAGAAGGATCATCGGCGGAATCATCGGGATGTTCGATAGGATCGGTTACTTCTGTCTGGTTCTGGGTGAAATTGATCTCCTTGGTCGTTTGTTTGGTTTCATTGGCATTTGTAGTCATCAAATGGATTGGTCCGTTTTTGATCGAAAAGGTTCGTTTTTTATTTGTCTCTCGAAGATCTGATGCTTATTGATTTACATTTGATTGGATTCTGGTTCTTGCTGGGTTTTAATTAGGGTTCTTGTGTATTTAGATTGATCCCATATATTAGGGTTCTTGAATTATATGTATGTGTTTATAAGGTTATTTCATTTAGCGGTTAATTTTGTTTGATGTTTTATCAATTCTTGAGATCAGTGATATAGCCTAAAAGAAATGTGAAGTTGTTTATGATCATTTATGTTGATGTGATGTTTTCAGGAGCTGATTCCATTTATAAATTGGGTGAGAAGCACATTTAGTATCCCGGTTCTCGGTCTTCTACTCTTTGCCTCAGTGGCTTTGTTTCCAAGCATTCTTCTTCCTTCTTCTCCTTCCATGTGGATGGCTGGTCTTACATTTGGTTATGGAAAAGGGTTTTTATTGATTTTATCAGCTGCATCGATCGGTGTTACTCTTCCTTTCTTAATCGGACATCTCTTCCTCCACAAGATGCAAGTAAGCATCATCCCATACTCTTTGGTTTGTATACTTATTATTAAGCTTGTACCATTAGATGATGGTTAATTTGGCCTTTTTCTTCCTTGTCATTTGTGCAGGAATGGTTGAAGAAATACCCGAAGAAAGCAGCCATACTTAGAGCTGCTGGTGAAGGAACCTGGTTTCATCAGTTTCAAGCTGTCACACTAATCCGTGTCTCTCCATTCCCTTACATCATATACAACTACTGCGCATTAGCCACTGGAGTTCATTACGGTCCTTACATCTTAGGCTCTCTTGTTGGAATGGTTCCTGAGATCTTTGTCTCAATTTACACGTATATGCCTCTCTCTCTGTGTCTCTTGTCTCTATGTTCAAACATTATCTGCAGAATCTTAGACTGGTGGTTTTCTTTTTTGGATATTTGTAGGGGAATAATGCTGAGGACACTAGCAGTTGCATCAGACACGAGACACACACTTTCGGTTGTGGAGATAGTCGTGAATGTTCTTGGCTTCTGTGTAACTGCGAGCGCGACTATAGTCTGCACAATCTATGCGAAGAAGAAGCTTAGTGCGATGCAATCAGAGGACGTAGAGACATTACAAAATCCAATACTTTAATAACTCTTTTCACCACTAAGCGCTTCTTCTAGACCACAACATACCATCTAACACGATCTTGATATTGATAGATATTGATAATATATATAATTTGTTTTTTTGTTTTGTTATTCTTATTCATTTGAAAGTGAATATCTATGTCTCTTTTCTCTTGTATATATGTATCAACTGAATTTTAAAAATCTCCAATGTATATTTATTAGATCATCTAAGTCTTTTCCTTTCCTTGTATATAATCTAACTCATGGAAGTATCAAGTATGTATCATGGAACAATGTCTTGTTGGGTTTTGTTCAAAAGTAAGAAACAGAAATTGGCTTCTAAACAATCGTAGTTGAAGGTTAAGGTTAATTTCAAGTGATATTTTATATTTTTAACGCAGAATTAACTGATTTTTATGTTTTATAAACATTTGTATTTTGGGGTTTGTTTTTTCATTAGTGGATTTGTGGTTAGATAAATGATAAATGATGTTTTAATATAGAAAAGGAAAAGAAAAAGTATGATGGGAAATCGAAATAAGATATTTATGGGAATGATTACAAAGGCTAAAATAATTTTAGTACGTGTAAACCATGTTGAACTTATAACACCTCTTAGGGGTTTGGATGTTGTGTCCAATTAGTTTATACAAAATTTAAAAATTTAACACTTATCCAAATTAAATTAAAAAAGATTTTATCCAAAATATTATTTGAAAAATAAAAAACCTTAAAGTTTTAGTAGTAATATAAAAATATAAGTTAAAAAACATTTTTTACTTAAAAAAACAAGTGTTAAAAAATTAAATTATGTGTAAACCATATTGAACCTAGAACACCTCTTAGGGGTTTGAATGTTGTGTCCAATTAGTTTACACTAAATTTAATAATATAACACTTATCTAAAAAAACCTTAAAGTTTAAATAGAAATATTAAAATATAAGTTTAAAAACATTTTTTAATAAAATAAAAACAAGTGTAAAAAATTTAAATTATGTATAAACAATATTGAACCTAGAACACCACTTAGGGGTTTGGATGTTGTGTCCAATTAGTTTACACTAAATTTAAAATTTAACACTTATCTAAAAAACCTTAAAGTTTAAATAATAATATTAAAATATAAGTTTTAAAACCTTTTCTAATAAAATAAAAATAAGTGTTAAAAATTTAAATTATGTATAAACCATATTGAATCTAGAACACTGCTTAGAGGTTTGGATGTTATATTCAATTAGTTTACACAAAATTTAAAAATTTAACACTTATTAAAAAACCTTAAAGTTTAAATAGTAATATAAAAATAGAAGTTTAAAAACATTAAAAAAATTAAAAATTTAAATTACGTGTAAACCATATTGAACCTAGGACACCGCTTAGGGGTTTGGATGTTGTGTCTAATTAGTTTACACAAAATATAAAAATTTAACACTTATCAAAAAAACCTGAACCTAGGACACCGCTTAGGGGTTTGGATGTTGTGTCTAATTAGTTTACACAAAATATAAAAATTTAACACTTATCAAAAAAACCTTAAAGTTTTAATAGTGATATAAAAATATAAGTTTAAAAACATTTTTTAATAAAAGAAAAACAAGTGTTAAAAATTTATATTATGTGTAAACCATATTGAACCGAGGACACCGCTTAGAGATTTGGATGTTGTGTCCAATTAGTTTACACAAAATATAAAAATTTAACACTTATCAAAAAAACCTTATAGTTTTAATAGTAATATAAAAATATAAGTTTAAAAGATTTTTTAATAAAAAAAAACAAGTGTTAAAAATTTATATTATGTGTAAACCATATTGAACCGAGGACACCGCTTAGGGGTTTGGATGTTGTGTCCAATTAGTTTACGCAAAATATAAAAATTTAAACACTTATAAAAATACTTTAAAGTTTTAATAGTATTATAAAAATATAATTTTAAAAACATTTTTTTTTAAATAAAAAACAAGTGTTAAAAATTTAAATTATGTGTAAACAATATTGAACCTAGAACACCGCTTAGGGGTTTGGATGTTGTGTCCAATTAGTTTACACTAAATAAAAAATTTAACACTTATTTAAAAAACCTTAAAGTTTAAAAAGTAATATTAAATATATAAGTTTTAAAACCTTTTTTAATAAAATATAAACAAGTGTTAAAAATTTAAATTATTTGTAAACCATATTGAACACAGAACACCGCTTAGGGGTTTGAATGTTTTATCCAATTAGTTTACACAAATTTAAAAATTTAACACTTATTAAAAAACCTTAAAGTTTAAATAGTAATATAAAAATATAAGTTTGAAAACATATTAAAAATAAAATAAAAACAAGTGTTAAAAATTTAAATTACGTGTAAACCATATTGAACCTAGAACACCGCTTAGGGGTTTGGATGTTGTATCCAGTTAGTTTACACAAAATTTAAAAATTTAACACTTATTTAAATTTCATACTTAGTTTTTTAGAAAAACAAAAACATTTTGTATCTTAATATATAAAATTAAATGAAAACGTAGCAGGAAGAAATTACTTACAGCGTATAAGTGTTGATGATCATGCTGTCCAAAATTCTAATATACCTTGGAATAAGCTGAAATCCAATAAAACGGAGAAGGATTAATTATTGGTTGAGTGATATAAATAATAAACTTAGAAACAGAAGAAAATAAAGAAAAGCAGAGGATTTTGAGATTACTTACAGATCAAGAAAAGCATAGGATTTTGAGATAGTTCTTCTTGTTGAGTGATTGTGACTTTGTGAGTAGTCGAACGATTGGATGGCTTTACTCACTGATATGGTGTGACTCTGTGTCCTAATCGATTTTGTCCCCGACAATTGAGCCTTGTTCTTTCCGGTGACTTGACGATGCTGTTGCCTCTACACCACCGCCACGGCCACTTACTCTCGTTACCATTAGAACACTCTTTTGTTCTTTCTTTTTTGTGGTGACAATTATGTGATATGATTTTGATTTACGAAGACATGTTGAGTATATATAAACGGAGAGATTGTTGTCCAATAAAAAGGAAATTCAGAAAAAGGAAATTTAGAAAAAGGAAATTTCCTTTTTTTTTTAATGTTATTAAAAAAAGGAAATCACTCGATGAATTTGATTAGGGTTTAGTCATACGTTATTGGGCCTTCGCACTAACTCTGCCGACTTCAAATTCACTTCCACTTCTTGATTAAATTTATTTGATCATTCTCTAAGAAATTCATGTGTTCAGTGGCTATCGTATGATAAGTTTGATTGATGTATTTAACAACGAGCCAATAAAAAAGTTCTTAGCAAATTTTATTACTTGATCTGAATAATGATGTAATGAGTGAAGATAATATAGTTTATCTTTAAATTAAGCATAAGTTTTGCTGATATACAAATCAAAACTCAACTTGTACCAGCTTTAAACTTTAATTCGATTCTTGAAAATCATCGAAGAAAGGAACAAATATGGCACCCTATAGTGAAAATTATGTTATGAAAGTTTTTGATAGAGACCTAATATCTTCATTGCACACTACTAGTCTCAAACCACAATAATATTCTCAAAAAATAAAGAACAAAATGATTAAACAAACTCAGTAAAACAGAGAGAACAAAAGCCACAGAAACAAACAAATGACAGAAAGACGTTTACTTTTGGTCATTCACTTGTCTCTGTCTCTAATTCTCTTCCCTTCTTTTAAAACCCATTAGTTTCCAAAAGTTTGATTTGGACCTCAAAAAACTTATGAATTAACCCCAAACCTACTCTGAATGCTGATCAAAAGCCATGTACTAGATTCAATATTGCTAAAAATAACTCCTTCATACTGTAAGATTTATTTGACTCCAAATAACATGTCATCATTTGAATCGAATATTAAATGTACAATTCTCTGTTCATCATGCATTCAATATGTTTGTAACTACCAATTGAGATTGGGGACCATAACTTCCTTGTTTTTTTTCTTTTTAAAAATTGGAGAATTCAATTAAAGTTTATATATTCATTTTTGTGAAAACAATTAGGTAGGGATTATTTAATGGAAAAAAATGGTTGGTGAAGGAGAGAATAAATGCTTTGGTAAGAAGTACAGACAAGCCAGACACTCTCCTCCATTACATATAGACGATGAACAAAGCAGGCACGTGCTTCTTCTTCCTTTGGTTTGGTGGAAGCCAGAGAGTTAGAGAGTGAGAGAATTTAATTCGTTCATCAAGTTACTTTCCAGCCAAGGCACCACTCTCTTCTCTATAATGCAAGATGAGATTAGCCTGAGAACACATTCCTTATTCTTTTGTGCATTTGGTTCGAAAACTTGCAAACCCCCAAATACTCTGTTTATTGTTCTTGAATCTGTGATTCTTTCTTCTTTTGTCGTTTCTTGAGAGTGTTGACTTTGGTCGGTAATTGTTTTTTCTAGCCGTTAAGGATGACTAAATAAATGAAGAAGCAGCTCAAAAGTTATCAGCTTTAGCTCAATCTCAATAAAAATCAATCGTTTCGCTTCATAAATGCAGCTACTTGTTCTTGGAGCTCGGGTTTAATTTCGGGTTCGGGTTTGGATCCTGAACCGATAATGTCAATTGGGTAGATCCGTTTATGAGCTGAATATGAGAAAGGTTCATCTTTTTCTTGTTTTGGTAAATTTCATCTACATTTCAACTTCTCTCTCTCAGACATTCAATGAGCGAGACATTTTGCTTCAGTTCAAAGACAGTATCAGTGATGATCCGTACAACAGTTTGGCTTCTTGGGTCTCCGACGGTGACCTCTGCAATAGCTTCAATGGAGTCACTTGTAACCCACAAGGTTTCGTGGACAAAATCGTTCTTTGGAATACAAGTCTCGCCGGAACCCTAGCTCCGGGATTGTCAAATCTAAAGTTTGTTCGAGTTCTGACCTTGTTTGGCAACAGGTTTACAGGTAATTTACCGTTGGATTACTCAAAGTTGCAAACTTTGTGGACAATTAATGTTAGTTCCAATGCGTTGTCTGGTCCAATCCCGGAGTTTATTGGAGAATTATCTAGCTTAAGGTTTTTAGACTTGTCTAAAAATGGTTTCACCGGAGAGATTCCGGTTTCTCTGTTTAAGTTCTGTGACAAGACCAAATTTGTTTCACTGTCTCATAACAATCTCTCTGGATCAATCCCTGCTGCAATTGTAAACTGTAACAGCCTCGTAGGATTTGATTTCTCTTACAATAATCTGAAGGGAGTGTTACCGCCTAGGATTTGTGACATTCCGGTGCTTGAGTATATCTTAGTGAGAAACAATTTGTTGTCTGGTGATGTCTCTGAGGAGATAAAGAAATGTCAGAGGTTGATTCTTGTCGATTTCGGAAGCAATTTGTTTCATGGATTAGCGCCTTTTGAGGTTCTTACGTTCAAGAACATAACTTATTTCAATGTCTCTTGGAACCGGTTTGGTGGGGAGATTGGAGAGATAGTTGATTGCAGTGAAAGTTTGGAGTTTTTGGATGCTTCGTCGAATGAGTTAACTGGTAGGATCCCAAATGGTGTTGTGGGTTGCAAAAGTCTCAAGCTTTTGGATTTTGAGTCTAACAAGCTGAATGGTAGTATCCCTGGAGGTATCGAGAAGATGGAGACGCTCTCGGTGATCAGATTAGGCAATAATTCTATAGATGGGGAGATACCAAGAGAGATTGGAAGTTTGGAGTTTCTACAAGTTTTGAATCTGCATAACCTAAATCTCATTGGTGAAGTTCCCGAGGATATATCCAATTGCAGAGTACTTCTTGAACTGTAAGTTTTACTCGTTGCTCGATGTTTCAGCGAATGTATCGATTTTTGTTACTGTGTAGGAATCTCACATTGTTGTTAAAATTCTTGCTTATTCGTTGCAGAGATGTTTCAGGTAATAATTTAGAAGGAGAGGTCCCTAGGAAGCTATTAAACTTAACAAACTTAGAGATTCTTGATCTGCATCGAAACCGTCTCAATGGAAGTATTCCACCTGAACTTGGAAACCTCTCCAGAATCCAGTTTCTTGATCTTTCACAGAATTCACTTTCAGGTTCAATCCCGTCTTCCCTTGAGAATTTGAATGCACTAACACATTTCAATGTCTCCTACAACAATCTCTCCGGTATTATCCCTCCTGTTCCAGTGATACAAGCTTTCGGATCTTCTGCGTTTTCAAACAACCCTTTCCTTTGCGGTGATCCTCTTGTAACTCCCTGCAATTCTCGTGGGGCTGCAGCAAAATCCAGAAATTCTAATGCTCTAAGCATTTCGGTTATCATTGTTATTATTGCGGCTGCTATTATCCTCTTTGGTGTCTGTATAGTGCTTGCTTTGAACCTAAGAGCTCGTAAAAGGAGAAAAGATGAAGAAATACTTACAGTCGAAACCACTCCTCTGGCGTCTTCAATTGACTCTAGCGGTGTTATAATCGGAAAGCTTGTTCTTTTCAGCAAGAATTTGCCGTCAAAATATGAAGATTGGGAGGCGGGTACAAAAGCTTTACTCGACAAAGAAAATATAATTGGCATGGGGTCGATTGGATCAGTCTATAGAGCATCTTTCGAAGGAGGGGTTTCCATTGCAGTGAAGAAGCTTGAGACTTTGGGAAGAATCAGAAACCAAGAAGAGTTTGAGCAAGAAATCGGACGGCTTGGAGGTTTGCAACATCCGAATCTGTCTTCTTTCCAAGGTTACTACTTTTCCTCAACAATGCAGTTGATTTTCTCTGAATTTGTCCCTAACGGTAGCCTCTACGATAATCTACACCTAAGAATTTTCCCCGGAACCAGCTCAAGCCATGGGAATACCGATTTGAATTGGCACAGAAGATTTCAGATTGCTTTAGGAACCGCGAAAGCGCTCTCTTTCCTACACAATGACTGTAAACCTGCGATTCTTCATCTCAATGTTAAGTCCACCAACATTCTTCTAGATGAAAGATATGAGGCAAAGCTATCAGATTATGGGTTAGAAAAGTTTCTTCCGGTTATGGACAGCTTCGGTTTGACCAAAAAGTTCCACAACGCGGTTGGGTACATTGCTCCAGAGCTAGCTCAGCAGAGTTTGAGAGCGAGTGAGAAATGCGATGTGTATAGTTACGGTGTAGTTCTTCTTGAGCTGGTTACAGGTAGAAAACCGGTGGAGTCTCCATCGGAAAACCAAGTCTTGATCTTGAGAGATTATGTGAGGGATTTGTTGGAAACTGGTTCGGCTTCTGATTGTTTTGACAGAAGGTTGAGAGAGTTTGAAGAGAACGAGCTGATTCAAGTCATGAAGTTAGGACTCCTTTGTACGTCGGAGAATCCACTGAAGAGACCGAGTATGGCTGAGGTTGTGCAGGTTCTTGAATCAATCAGAAATGGATTTGGATCATGAGAAAGCTTTTTCATTTTGGAGTAAAGATTGCATAGATATTGTGCAGTGTAGTGTTTAGAGCTTAGAAAGTGGGTTTAAGAGGGGAATAAGTTTATTCTTTAGGTGATTTTTGGGATTTTCCGGTTTAGATTTACATTTGTTCAATGAGATTGTTAGTCTGGTTTACACAATACGGAACTGACTTTTGAGGAATGTAGATAAGCAATTTTCAATTTTGTGATTTACATGTTACACAAACTTTTCTGATACGGTTCATAACTACAAGCACATCTTTTTCAGACAAATTACTAAAACAGAATCTAAACCATCCTGGTTCAATACAATGACAGCAAGATCCTGGTGTTACATTGAACTTACCAATGTCCAAGAACTTGTTCCAAAGCTCGATTTCGCCTTTCTCGCTATAAGAAGAGATCAATCCTCTCATATCTGCCCAACAGAACAACCCTCCATTGCTTCTCGTGCACTCGATTCCTAAACCTTTTAATCCCTTCACAAACTCTGAGTAGATTCTCTGTAGTCTCTGTCTATTGGTTTTAACATATGTTTGAAGGAATTCCGGTTTGGAGATTGCAGACATGAGCAAATGCTGGGATGGTGATGAAACGGGTGAGAGCGTTGTGAGCTTTCTAGAAGCTGCTAAAACGTTCTCATTGAAGGAGTAAATGGCGCCGGCTCTGAGTCCTGGAAAAGACAAGTCTTTTGAAAGATCATACACAATGTGAACTCTTTCCTTGTCGAGATTCTCTTCTGTGTCAGCTATTTCAGCAATGCTGACAAACTCTGCTTCTTCATCTCCGTGGATCGAACAAGCAAAGATCTCGTTGGATATTATATGAATGTTCTTTTCGCGGGCAAAGTCCAAAAGAGCATAGAGGTTTTCTCTGCTCAAGAGACGTCCCATGGGATTGGAAGGGTTTGAGATTATGATTCCGCGGATTCTCACACCGCGTTTCTTGGCTTGAGAGAAAGTCCGGTCAAGCGCAGTTACGGATATATTGAAGTTGTCAGAACTTCTACAAGGAACATGTATGATTTCAACTCCGTTTCGCCATTTAACATCCACATCGAATCTGCATTAACAAACCAGCTTTTGAAGCTACAGACTAAGTATTCTTTTGCAGCCACAGAGTCAATCAATAAACTGAAATCGTTACCCGGGAGAACAGGGCGTTGGAACAAGGAAAGCGTTTCCAGAATCAGCTAAGCAGAAGGAAAGAATCTCTATGGCTGATGCTGCACCAGAAGTTAATACTAACTGCGATGGATCAAAGCAAACAGCATTCTTGGTTGCTTCAGACATGAGCTTTGCCACAACCTGCTTAATAAATATGAGAATCCACAAACTTAAGTCAAAAACAAGAACACATGAAGATTCAAAAGCAGGAGAAACCAAAGCAAAATCAGCTCAACAATCCTCAACAAGACAGATGTAATTTTCAATGTTGTGCTAAGGAAAAGTTGAAAACTTTAAGGTGTAAAAGAAAATAACCATTTTGAGCTCCATAAGTCCATCAGAAGGCTCGTAGGAAGCAATCCCACTTAAACTCAATCCAATTAAATTTTGATCCGAAACCAAAGCCGAGCTCAACTGTAGTGTAAACGAAGAACACTAGATCATAGAAGCCAGCATATAAAAACGATAAAAATCGAAACTTTTTGTTTTATATACCTTGTTCTGAGCTAAACCAAGTTCGATGATACCATCCGGGTTACCCAACTCGTCATACGGATCCTCCTCAACTCGTTTCAGTCCCAAGTGATACGGCGAATCACCACCTTTGAGTATACTATTCGCACGACCCGAAACCGAAACGTGAGCTCCGGAACTTCTCGGCGAGATAATGACCCGAGAGAGAGACCGAGACAACCCAGTAAGCTCCGATTGAGTCGGACTCGAGGAACCCGAGTTGTCGGGAGAGGAGCCCGAGTTCTGATTAGCTGGGTCGGATTCGGATACGGGTTCGTCTCTACGGTTTCGTTTGAGGTAAAATTGGAGAAAGTAGAAGAAAGCACAAGGAATTACAGAGCCCAAGACTAGACCACCACGGCCTTGAACCACTCCTTGTAAAGGCACGATCACTCTCATGACGGTTGTTCCTCCTCCTCCTCCGCCACCGTCGTTTCCGGCGGATGTCTTTGAATCAGGTGTACCGCTCCGGCTCCGGTAGATCCCGGTACGGGTCATTATACCTCACTCATATGAGTGTATTTAAACCGTATCGGGTAAGGGGATAATCGGGTCAGCGGAGGACTAAAAAGAGTAAGAGAGATTTGATAAGAAAATTATAATTCTTGTTTTTAACAATTTTCTGATGTCTTGTTTGGAATTTTTTGGTAGTGGCGTTGATTCGTTGCTTGCTTCAAGGTTTTCGATTTTTAGTCGTTGAGATTTTTTGGAGGGAGGACGAAAGTAATTTACCATATTACCCTTAGTCTTTATGTAGTGTGTGATCAAGTATCATCAACATTCTTCAATTTTCTTTGTCCTTTCTATTGTTCTCCGCAACCACAAGTTACAATGACCCGAATCGGATATACACAACTTTTCTTAATTTCCCAACTTTTTTATACAAACAAAAAGATGTTGTTCGAAAGTGGATCCAAGTTAAAATTGGGCCTTATAGTGTGAACTATTTAAACATAGTCGATTTTCTAATTTGGAAGTAGGCCGGGCCTTACTATTTGTTTGCTTTGAAAACCTCCGAGAACTCACTCTCTAAACGATGCGAATCCAATTAAAAAACATTGAACCGGTGTAGCTGGTTAACTAACTCAGTGAAACACCGCGTTTTAACTATTTACCTCTTAACTCAAAAACGTAGCCGTTTTAGTTGTTTTAGTAAGTCGGCCTTGAATTCGTTGGACGACAGAGACAGATTAAATATACATAAGTCGGACGGAAGCCACTCGAAAAGACGGTAGCGTTTTGTGTCGCTGATCAGATTTCATAAACCGTGACCAATTTCTCCTGCTCGCCGATCAGATCTCCGACGAAGGTAACGATTCCGATTGTTGTAACCAATGTAGAAACCTTAATGAATCGACAAAATCCCGAGCTATTCTTTTAGTATTGCTGCAAGTTTCTGATAATCTTCGCTTAAAAGTTCCTAATGTGTTCATTCAGAATCGATCTCTCATCTATGAATTTTGGTTTCGAGGTGTAAATTAATTGGTCAAAAGCTCAAAAAAATCTGGATAAGAGTTTTAAGTTTATATAAGTCTTTTTTGTGTGCAGTTTTTATTAAGAGGGGGAAGAAGATGGATCAAGGAAGGCAAGTGTTTTCAGTTGATCTTCTCGAGAGAAATGCCACAAAGAATCGTGGCATGATTACATGTATGGCTGCTGGGAATGATGTAATTGTTCTTGGAACAAGTAAAGGATGGATTATCCGCCATGATTTCGGACTTGCGGGTTCTTCTGGTATACTCAATTTTGTCATTCTTTTGTTTGTTAATTCACTGGTGAAAAGTTCAATTTGTGAGAAATATAGATGAATCTTTTTCCCTTTGGATATAGAAATTGATCTCGCTGTTGGTCGGACTGGGGAGCAATCGATTCACAAGGTTTTTGTTGATCCTGGTGGTAGTCATTGCATTGCTACAGTGACTGGTGTTGGAGGAGCTGAAACTTTTTATACTCATGCAAAGTGGCTTAAGCCGCGTGTGTTGAGCCGTTTGAAAGGTTTGGTGGTTAACGCTGTGGCTTGGAATAGACAACAGATAACAGAAGGTTATGCTTTTGGTGTGATATGATGAGTCTTGTTCTTCTCGCATGGATCAATATTGATGTTCTTCTGTCTTTCCCTGAATTCAGTTTCTACTAAGGAGATCATTGTGGGCACTCAGGATGGGCAGCTGTTTGAGATGGCCGTGGATGAGAAGGACAAGAGAGAGAAGTACATCAAGTTTTTGTTTGAACTAGAAGAACTTCCCGAAGCCTTCAAGGCTTTGCAGGTACTAACATTTTATACCGAGTTGAGATTATATGTTTCCTCCATTGGTTTATTATTCCAATCACTGTCTTTTATTGAAACAAATGTGTAGATGGAAACGGCCAACATAAGCAGTGGGATGAGGTACTATGTGATGGCTGTAACACCTACTCGACTCTACTCGTTTACAGGGATTGGAACATTAGAAGTAAGCTAAACTCTGTTCTGTTATGTAATGATTTCTGTACATTTGATATGAAATGCTAGCATTAGGAGATAAGTGGAAGGCCACATTATATCATTGAACAGGATCCAATTTAGTCGCTAATGGTTGGGCTTCAAATGTCAAACGTGCTTGTTCCTCCTTTCAAATATCGCATCAAAAAATTAGATCCACGTCTTATTGTTTAGATCTTTCTTACTTCAAATCTATGATCTTTGGAAAATGTGGATTAGCTTTTCTTGCATTCAATTTCTAACTACTAAGTGTTTACTCCAGTCTGTTTTTGCTAGTTATAAAGAACGTGCAGTCCATTTTATGGAACTTCCTGGTGAAATACCAAACAGGCAAGTGTTTGATTACCTTGGGCTCATTTTGCGTATGAAGGAAATCACAATGTGTAACTCTGCTCTCTGCACATATAATGTTTATCGTCTTTCAGTGAGCTACATTTCTATATAAAGCAACGAAGAGCGGTGCATTTTGCATGGCTTTCAGGAACAGGAATTTATCATGGTGGCCTAAATTTTGGAGCTCAGCACAGGTATAATGACAGTACTAGTGTCCCTCTGAAATAATTATTTGGATCTTTCTATTTGTTGCTCACTTTTCATATTTTTTGGTTATTTCGTTCTGTAATTTAATTGAAACTTGTTGGTAGTTATCCAAATGGTGATGAGAACTTTGTGGAGAACAAAGCACTCTTGGACTACTCAAAACTGAGTGATGGCACTGAAGCAGTCAAGCCTGGTTCGATGGCACTCTCTGAATATCATTTCTTGCTTCTTATTGGGAATAAGGTTAAGGTATGTGTGGAAACATGAGGTTTATACATTCCTCGTGCATGTATTTTAGTTTGATGATACGGATTACAATATCACTTAGAACCGTGTGAAATCAACAAAAACGTGATTGGTTTTTGATATTTGTTTTTTTCCTTTTAGTATTTGGTTTTTGGGTGTTTTCCTTTTAGCATTAGGTTTTTGGGTGTTTTCCTTTTTACGTTAGGGTTATGCTTTAAGTTATAATCTTGGCGTATATCAATAACTAAAGGTCTTTATGCTAATGAAAACAGAACTTCCAACAATTAACCTAATTCTCTAAGAGAGACTTTGGTTAAAAGGAAACTTTGCTTAAATCTCTCTCTCTCTCTCTCTCTCTCTCTCTCTCTCTCTCTCTTACGTTAACAACCGCTCTGAGATCGAAGTCGAAACCTATGGCTCGTATCATTTGATTTGGCTGCATATAAGTGTTTTGTTTCATAAGTATGCTTACTTTATTTTTTCTGCATTCCTAAATTGTGGGGTAGGTTGTGAATCGCATAAGTGAACAAATCATTGAAGAGCTCCAGTTTGATATAACGTCAGATTCAGTTGTGAGGGGCATAATTGGACTTTGCAGTGATGCCTCTGCTGGCGTTTTCTATGCATATGATCAAAATTCGATATTCCAGGTGTGTTTTGGCTTACTCATTTATGATGATTGTAAAACTTCCGTTGTAAATTTCTCTAATATATTCTGCTTTCACTTCTCATTTTGGGATTTTGATATAATCTCTAGGTTTCTGTGATTGACGAAGGCCGAGATATGTGGAAGGTTTACCTGGACTTGAAAGTCTATGCTGCAGCTTTAGCAAACTGTCGTGACCCTCTCCAGAGAGACCAAGTTTATTTAGTTCAGGTGATCCCCTTGACTTAGTCACTTAAGTTAATAGGCATTGGTTTTGAGCCACACGTGTTATATTGCTGTCGCCTGCCTATAGACACTTGGCAGGAATAATCTCTCTGGTTTTGATTATGTGTGGATTGGGCACCTTCTTTTGTAGGCAGAAGCTGCATTCACCGAGAAGGAATATCTGCGAGCAGCATCATTCTACGCGAAAGTAATTTCTGATTCCTCTGTTTTACTTTGTTCTTTCGAGATGTAATTCATCATTGACGTGGTACAATGATTTCTTTGCAGGTCAATTATGTAATATCTTTTGAGGAGGTCACTTTGAAGTTTATTAGTATAAACGAACCAGTAAGCATTTACGTTTGTCTCTTTGCTAGTTTTATTTTTATAACATAAAGAAATCTCTACTCCAGTGCGTGCTGTTCAGGAGAGAAAAATGTGTTTCATTTGTGGGCTTGAATATTCACTGCCTGTTGTTCCTTATGTGATTGCAGGAAGCTTTAAGAACATTCTTGTTGCATAAGCTTGATAATCTTTCAAAGGAGGATAAATGCCAAATTACGATGATATCAACATGGGCAACTGAGCTGTATCTGGACAAGGTTTAGCTTTTGTTGTCTCTGGTCTCACTTCTCATTAAAAATATATTTGGAAAACATCTATTATTCCCTTAATTTCTCTTATTGATTTCGTCCCCGGTTTGCTTTCTGAGTTTTTGTATCTTGTTACTCTGTCTCATATTCCTGGAATGCGAATATAGATAAATCGGCTGCTTTTGGAAGATGACACTGCTATAGAAAATCGCGACTCGGAGTATCACTCAGTCATTCAAGAATTCCGTGCTTTCATGAGCGATTGCAAGGATGTATTGGATGAGGCAACCACAATGAAACTTCTGGAAAGGTAAATTCCACAAGTATCGCAGGCGATCCATTAAATTCTATCTTTAAGCCAGTGAGCACTTGGACCTTCATGATGATGTGTATTATTTTCTGGGATAATTTGTTCTCTTAAATACTGTTTTCAGAACATCTCATAGGATACCTTGCTTGCGGGTATTAAACTCTTTCTTCTTATTATCTCTTTTTTTCTTCTCTTGTAGTTATGGTCGGGTTGAGGAATTGGTATATTTTGCAAACTTGAAGGAGCAGTATGAAATTGTAGTTCACCATTATATTCAGGTGAATGGCATGATAAGTTTTTCTTTTCTCGATTAATCCATATAGATAACAATATCTTAGTCAGACTTGTTTAGTTTACATTATAAGTTTTGTATTTATCTATTAGCAAGGTGAAGCAAAGAAAGCATTGGAAGTGCTCCAAAAATCTTCAGTTTCAGTTGAACTTCAGGTGTGTAAAAATTAGCACTGGGATCTTGTGAAATTATGTAGTCCTCCAATCTTTGTTTTGTCTTGAAACTATAATATATTTTGCACATTTCAGTATAAATTTGCTCCAGAACTTATTATGCTTGATGCATATGAAACCGTGGAAGCATGGATGGCCAACAAAAATCTTAATCCAAGGAGATTAATTACTGCAATGATGCGTTACTCTAGTGAACCTCATGCAAAGTAATGTCCCACATCTTAACTATATGTCCATTCACATTGTGTTACCAATCTCGCCAATAACTCCTCCAAAATAAATTTCAGGAACGAGACACATGAAGTCATCAAATATCTTGAGTTTTGCGTCCACCGTCTGCATAACGAGGATCCAGGGATTCACAATCTGCTTCTCTCATTATATGCCAAGCAGGTTTGGTTGCTTTTGATTCCTTAAAACTTAAGAGGCATGTGATTTCTGTGACATGAGGTTTCTAAAGTGATACATAATGGTTCTTTATATATATATAATTAGGAAGATGACAGTGCCCTCCTCCGTTTTCTGCAATGCAAATTTGGGAAAGGACGGGAGAACGGTCCCGAATTTTTCTACGATCCCAAATATGCGTTGCGCCTATGTCTCAAGGAAAAGAGAACCCGTGCCTGTGTCCATATATACAGCATGATGTCTATGCATGAAGAGGCAGTAGCCCTTGCTCTTCAGGTAATAAATCCATTTTAATACCAAAAGTAAAGTATTTTTTACTTCCTTCTCCTACGCGCGATCTGTAACTGAAAACGTATTTTGAAACAAATATTTTACTGAAAACCATATTTTATTATGCTAATGTGCAGAAAGTTTGGTTAACCATTTTAGTCTGAACTTTCTTCTGGTAGTGTTTGAATACGGTTTCTGTTTTACAGATTGATCCAGAACTTGCTATGGCTGAGGCTGATAAGGTTGAAGATGATGAAGACTTGAGAAAGAAGCTGTGGCTGATGGTTGCAAAGCATGTTGTCAAGCAGGAAAAGGGAGCTAAAAGGGAAAACATAAGGAAAGCTATTGCCTTTCTCAAGGAAACTGATGGCCTTCTAAAGATTGAAGATATTTTGCCTTTCTTTCCGGACTTTGCCTTAATTGATGACTTCAAGGTTAGTCAACGTTTCCTCTTTTCCAGACACACACGTCTTGGGACAAACAAGTTGCTCCTGCTCTCTTGTAATTTTCTTCAATACGCTTTTTCAGGAAGCGATTTGCTCATCTCTCGAGGATTACAACAAGCAAATAGAACAATTGAAAGAGGAGATGAATGATGCCACACGTGGTGCAGATAACATTAGAAATGATATTAGTGCGCTAACTCAAAGATATGCTGTAATTGACCGCGACGAGGAATGCGGGGTATGATCATCCTAAGATTGACTAGCCTTTATCTTGTGTCTACCTATATATAGATATGAATTGTGTTTTCCAAAGCACCAAAATCACCAGCACACCTGATCCTTTTCAATGTGTTACCAGGTTTGTAAACGTAAAATCTTGATGATGACCGGGGATTTCAGAATGGCCCAGGGACATTCTTCAGCGGGACCATTGGCTCCTTTTTATGTCTTTCCTTGTGGGCACTCTTTCCATGCACAGTGCCTGATCACACACGTCACAAGCTGTGCACATGAAGAACAAGTAAGTCTTGAACCATGAGTTCTTGTTATGAGTTCCCTCTTATTTCCTTCTGCATATTAGATACTGCAAATTTGGGCAATATTTAGTTCGTTCTTGAGATACCATAGGTAAGATTTACTTTGCCGGCAGCTTAGTTCTCATTTCTACTTGCAGTAAATACATAAATCTCGGGCTTTATTTTTCCATGTTGAAATTGTGATTCCATTTTTGGATTGGTTTTCCAAATATCTGTCTAGGCCGAGCACATACTCGATCTGCAGAAGCAGCTCACATTGCTTGGTAGCGAAACCCGGAGGGATATAAATGGTAATCGATCTGATGAACCCATAACTAGCACAACTACTGCAGACAAGGTAAGGACATTTGTTTCATTTTTCTTTACTTTTTTTAAGTCTTCTATTAATATTTTCTATGGCTTGACATATTTTCCTTATTGTGAGGCAGCTTCGATCAGAGCTAGATGATGCTATTGCCAGCGAATGCCCGTTCTGTGGAGAATTAATGATCAATGAGATCACTCTACCTTTTATTAAACAAGAGGATTCACAGCATTCTACTTCATGGGACCTCCGACCAGCACAGACCAACTTAGCAAACCAGAGGACCATTTCTTTGCCTGTTTGATTCATGTCACACTGTGATTTCCTTTTTGTGTGATCTCTTCTTCAGCTTAGCTTTGGAGTGTGAATGGGATTTTGAGTGCTGTAGTATTGATGTAATATTATTATTAAACATGCTTCTGGAGATACATACAACAAGCTGCTCACCTACTTGTGTCTATATCTAAAATGTTTTCTTGACTATTATTTCCATCTGAAAGATACTTCTGTATTCCATGATTTTACATCAGTGACGCGATTCTTCCTCGGCTTCAAAATCTTTTTCTGCAGATATTTTCTTCGCCAGAGCCTGCTTGGTCCAGCGCTTCAAGTCATAAGCTCTTTTGAAAGGTTTCTTCTCCCTGGTAAGTTTCTTCTTTGTAATGGCAATTGCAAGATCGTTTGGGAACAAAGTTTGCCAGACAAATGCGTGGAGAAGCGTGGAGACAAACAAAACGCAGACCATCACTGTAGAAATGAAGGAAAGAGTGAGGGCTAGAGCTCGGCTCGGGTAACCGGGTACTGCCTCTGCATACTTTATTGTTGCTACTGATGCTGTTGTCATAGGAAAAGTATATGACCACCACGCCACTGAGAACCTGCACAACCCTTTAGATACTTAGTTGCATCAACATATTATCAACCGAGAAAATATTTAAACGCGAGATGGACTTACTTAAATCCAGTGAAGAAATTGATCCGCGCAACTAGGGAAATGTATAGGAAGAGTGCAATAAAGAAGCAAGTTCTTGAACATCCGTCAAATTGGCCATATATCGTGTTCCAAGCAATACTTGCTGCTGATGGGGCAGCTATGAACATAGAGTAAACAGGATGAAGCTCTTTAGGCAGAGCTTCACTAGTGGGAAGTCTCTGATAAAGTGTTACAAACACAACCAAGTAATGTGCAAAACCTACTGCCCATAGAAACTTAGCTACTTCATTCCATCCAACTTTTGAAGCTAAGATGGCCCCGACGAAATTCCCTACAACAGAAAGATGAGAAGACGGGTTTGCGACTTTGCATAGTCGCCTCTTCCCTCCCGAAAGCCATTGCCCGTAGATCTTTAGCTCGAGGAAGAAATAAGGACCCATGAAAACACACCAAATGGCGGGATGGAGGTATTTTGGTGAGAACACGGGAGGTACGCTGATGGCTAGGAACATGCAAACCACCCAAGGAGCGAAGAAGAAGTTGACTCGAACAGGATGAAAATACTCTCTTTTGACAGCTTCAAAGTAGAAGATACATTTGAGTATGTAAGTGAAGGACACAGAGACTAAAACTACCAGTGAAAATAGCCATACAACTAAGTTAATCAATGGTGTGATGTGTAAAAAGTTTGTAGCAGGACTTTTCGCTAGGGCAAGCCACAAGACAGCTTGACTGCTAAGTCCCAAACAGATACCGAAGCATCCAATCGGGAACCTTAGAAGAAACGGCCATTGCTCCTCTTTTGGAAGCAAAATATCTTCATTGTCCTGCAAGAGAATACAATTGGAACTAACTAATAATTAAGTTTTGAAGAGAGAAAGGGAAATAAGAAGAGTTGTTACAAGGTTGTTACCTTGACTTCATCCAATTCGGGTCCTCTAAGAGCAGCAAAGTATCTTCCTGCAGAAACATTTTCATTTATAGAATCGTCTTTGGTCTCACCATCTTCAGTTCTTAAAGAATTCTCAATGTCTCTCTCCCTTATTATAGAAGGCAATAGAGATTTTTGTTTGCTGAGAGTCGATTTGGTCCTAAACATACTGAAATCTCCTTTTCGACCATCTCCACCGTTGATGATTCCGCCTGATTCAAACCCGCCAAAGCTACGACCACTCCTCGGTAAACTCTTCTTGTCATCTCTTTCTCTAGATTCTCTGTTAAGCACTGAGAAACCTGTCTCCAGCGAAACCTGTCTGCTGAAACCTCTGAATGGTCTTTGTTTCCCTCGGTTTGGTCCTCTGTTTCCAGAGAATCTCTTGTTGTTGTTGTTTTTGTTCTCTTGCTGTTGCAGTTCTTGCTCTGCTTCATCTTCAACTTCATTGATGTCGGCGAAAGTGGAATGACCATTTGACTGTTTCCTCTCCATTGATCAGAGCAATGTGATAATTTGAAACACAAGAGAAGATATTTTTCTTCTAGTATGAAAAGGAAACATGTTAATGTATATAGAAAGATGCAATGGACTAAGTTTATAAAGCAAAGTTTGTGGTTAAGGTGCACGAGAAAGCTTGGTGAATGGTGTGAGTTAATGCGTATGTGAACCAATACTTTCCTGGAAAGTTTCTTAGGTTTCTCGTGAAAGTTTTTCGATCCAAACTACTTGGAAAAGGTAAGAGACGATGAAAGAAAAAGGTCGTTCCATTAGTCACGAGATTCAAATGCAAACCAAAGTCAATTTGCTCTTCTGTCTACAAAACATAATTTGAGTCGGTTAAGTTGGACCGGTTCGATTTAATTAATTCGATTTCTGTTTGCTCCTTTTGTTTGGTTAAAACTTATAAACTTAACATATCATATATTACTAACATTTTGGAAAAGGGAGTCGAAAGATTGGAGCAACCAAACATATGTGAAGAAGTATGAATGGCATATATTCTTCTTCTTTCTAAGAGATTTTTCTATGAATTTGGTCCCAAAATGCTTTACTTTTTCCCTTTATCCAAACAAAAAACCTTGGTCAATGAACTCAAAATAATACAAAAGTGGTATAATAAATCAACTAATAGCCTCGCATGGATTCGGAGTCATAGGACCATAAGACAAACTCTTCACAACTTGTTGAATAATATGATATAATCTATAATTTATAATGTTTGTTTATGATTCAGGGCTAAAACAATATTCGGACTGTTAATTAATAAAAAACTAGATCCTGACCCGCACATACGTGCGGGATTTCATATTTTAAAAACTATGTTTTAATAAAATTTAATTCAATGGGGTAATGTTTGTAGATATTTATTTGTATAAAATTCATAATTTGAATTCATACCAGTTTGGTATTTTGTTTAATTTCAAATGAGACTAAATGAGTGAGCGAATTTATTTTTGTTATTCAGACAACTACGTAGAAAAACCCATGGATTTGTTTTTGTTATTCTAACTTTCTAATTTATTTGTAGAATATATTAGAAGTTAAAATCTTATCATGGATTGTCAATGCTAAGACTATATATGGTAAGTATAAACTGTTGTGATATGATTTTGTAAACTAATTTAAGATTTGATTTGAATATTTTTTAAAATAAAAAAAAAAAAGTGAATTTGATTTGAATAATTCGTAAACTCATGATAGAACAATTGCATTTTCCATTTTTATTATTTTGAATTTAAAATTGTTGGTTGTTATGGATTCTAAGTAATTTTGAATTTTGATTTTTTTTTCTTTTTCAAATTCAAAAATACTAATGGCATTCTATGTAATATTCTACAACATAAAGGTTTTTTTATTTTTTAGTGATTCCCAATTAATAGTATAGATTACAAATATAGGCAAAGCTTGAGATCGAACCCTCACACTTTGAAGGTAGATTGCCACAGAGATGACCACTATACCGCCACAACATTTTTTAAGAAAAACGCCCCTAAGTTTAAACCTTGGAATTTATAGCCTGTACTTTTTGTTTTTTTGGTAAACAAAATGTTGTAATGTAACCTGTACTTCATATAGCTCTAACAATATATGAGTGTTGTGAGATGGGAATACTTATGGGATTTGATTGTTAACCATATATATATATAAGGTTTGAGATCATTAGGGTGTGTTTACAAAAATATATATTCTTGCAATACCTAATGTTTTCAACATTAGCGAAGAATTATTGCATGAATCTCTTAAGACTTGCAAAGTTGATTCTTATTTAGCGTTCGTGGCTTTTTGGTTGGACATTATTGGAAGCAACCGGAAAGCAGGCAGATCCAGTCAGAATAGTGGTGGGTCCCACGATGTGTCGAATAATATAGATCTGATCCTGAAGACAAGATCATGACCGTCGGTTTAAAACACGTAATTGGGTTCCAAGGCTTTATGAAAAGCCTAGAAGAAAAAGGGAAAACCGAAAAAACAGAGAGATAGGGTTCGAAGAGGTCAGGAAGATCCTTTTTCCCTAAGGAAAAGGAAATCAGGGATAAAGAAGAATCTTTCTTTTCCTGTTTATAAATAAGCAAGCCCCTGTTCTCAACAAAACAATCACAAGAAGAATGTCAAAAAAGCAACGCTGCTTGAGGATGGAATCGCTGCCCCACGAGGTCGTAGAGCGCATCCTAGAGAGACTTGCTGTGGATTCTCTGCTGAGATTCACGGCTGTATCGAAACAATGGAAATCATCGATCGAATCTCCATTCTTCCAACAAAGACAATTGACACAGCGTCAGCAATCAGGTGATCCAGCTGTTCTCATGGTCTCCAGAAGTCGTGAGGATTATTTTAACCCGGATATAAAACCTCTAACTACACTGGTGTTGGGTTCATCATCATCGGTCACGATCCCTACACCTTGGGAGAAGGACAAGGAGAAGGACAAGGAGAAGGAGGACAGAGAATACTTCTTAGTTTCTTTTGATAGCTGTGACGGTCTCGTTTGTCTCTACGAATACTTCAAATCTGGTTATGTGGTCAATCCCACCACTAGATGGTATCGCCCTCTTCCTCTCTCTCAATTACAACAACTCCTTATCAGCTTAGGCCGCAGTGTCTTCGAGCGTGGATACACAGTCTGTGATATTGGATTCGGTAAAGACAAAATCACCGGCACATACAAACCCGTTTGGTTATACAATTCTTTAGAAATTGGCCTTGAAAACGCTACTACATGCGAGGTTTTCGACTTTAACACCAACGCTTGGAGGTATGTTTCTCCGACCCCTCCCTATCGGATTGTTGGTTGCTCCAAACCTGTCTGTATACATGGGTCGCTTCATTGGTTCACTGAGTGCGAGGAAACCAAAATTCTATCTTTCCATCTTCACACTGAAACCTTTCGAGTGGTCTCTAAAGCTCCTTTTACCAATGTAAAAGATTTTGATATCGTCATATGCAATCTCGGCAACCGCTTGTGCGTTTCCGAGAAGAACTGGCCCAACCAAGTGATATGGTCATTCAATTCAGCCAACAAGACATGGCACAAAATGTGTACCATTAATCTGGATGTAACTTCTCATTGGTTTGGTAATCACATAGCCGCGGTCATGCCACTAGCACTTGTTTATGAGAAGAAGAAGAAGAAGAAGAAGTTGTTGTTTTATTGTCGTGAGCTAAGTCGAACATTGATGGTATATGATCCCGAAACCGAATCATATGATGTTGCTTTCAATGATTACTCCATCGGTTATCCTCTTTGTTATTTCCAGAGTTTAATCTCTATTTCATAAATCTGATTATTGTCAATGTATTCTTTAGAAATTGGCCTTGAAAACGCTACTACATGCGAGGTTTTCGACTTTAACACCGATGCTTGGAGGTATGTTTCTCCAGCCGCTCCCTATAGGGTTTTTGGTAACTCCAAACCTATTTGTATAGATGGGTCGCTTCATTGGTTCACTGAGTGCGAGGAAACCAAAATTCTATCGTTCGATCTTCACACCGAAAAGTTTCAAGTGGTCTCTAAAGCTCCCTTTACCAATGTAAACGCTTTTCATATTGTCATGTGCAATCTCGACAACCGCTTGTGCGTTTCCAAGATGAACTGGCCCAACCAAGTGATATGGTCATTCAATTCAGGCAACAAGACATGGCACAAATTAAAATGTGTTCCATTGATCTGAATGTAGCTTCTCATTGGTTTGGTAATCACATAGCCGCGGTCATGCCACTAGCACTTTTTGATGGGAAGAAGAAGAAGAAGTTGTTGTTTTACTGTCGTGAGCGAAATCGAACACTGATGTTACGTGATCCCGAAACCGAATCATATCATGTAGCTTTCAATGCTTACTCCATCGGTTATCCTCTTTATTATTTCCCGAGTTTAATCTCTATTTCATAAATCTAATTATTGTCAATGCAAATGGTCCAAGACAAACTATAAAAACATTACAAGAAAAAAAAAAAAGATACAATCTTATTTCCTTTAGTTATGTTCCCTACTTTTTCACTTTTGTTATATTGAATTAGTGAGAAACAAAATACTACAAAAGTGATAAACTGATAATAAATTAAATAATAGGCTCGCATGGATTGGACCAAAAGACAAACTCACATAAGCTGTCATTATCTCTCTCCTCTTATTTTATTTTAACACCTTTTTCAGAAAAACAAACTTAATCATAAATTCTTGAAGAAAATTTGGTTTTCCAACCAACACGTTAGATTTATTTTTATATATGCAATTATGAGAATGAGACCACAACAACTTAGATTGGTGTACATATATCAAATGAAGCATGTAATATAACAGTCCTATTAACTACTTATAGAAACCTAATTAAACTATTACGTAGTGTTACCACCTTAAAAGGTTAACTAGCTAAATTGGAACAAACCTTGACAAGTAAGTCTAATGATAAACTTAACCTACATTAGCTAAAACATCATCATCTTATCAAACCCATTGAATACTGCTTAAATTTTGGATGTTAGGTTGGTTCAGGTGATTATAGCTTGATTACTTATAGTAAACAATTAAAAATGCGTGTGTGCCTAACACTTTTGTTTTGTAACAAAGAACAATATCTTATGCTAGGCTCAATGGGTTTTAGATCAAAATAATAATTCCAAATCATTATAAGAATACAAGATCCAGAACAATATGTTACAAGTGAAATAATGAGCAAGTTGACATATAAAAGAAGAGCAAGCTGCAAGTTGCTAGGAAAACAAAAAAACAAGAAGAAAGAATGTGTAAATTTAACCCACAAGATGAAAATGCGATTTTGCCTAACATAGAAACACTCAAATCCAGGAGTGGAAAGAAATTTATTATTTTTAACTTTTTCCCTCACTATGTTTCCATAAATTTGGTAAGACAAACTATAAAACATAACAGTACAAGAAAAAAAAAACAATTAAAAGTATGGAAAATAAAATAAAGATACAATCTTATTTCCTTTAATTATGCTCCCTACTTTTTCACTTTTGTTACATAAACATATATCCCCACTTTTTTTTTCATTTCATAGTTTTTTTCCCCAATCTCAACCATTTACAATTAAATTGATTTTCCCCCTCTCAAAACGAACCAAACCGGTTCAAAACAATAGCAGAGTTTCAAAGAATCAAGAAACTAAACCGAAAAAATAAAAAGTAAAAATTTAAAATTACTTCACCGGTTTAAATCCAATTATCTTTCTTTCGCTCACTTTTCACTTCTGGTTAAGCAATTTGGATCTCTTCCTAGCTTCGCTATAGAGAACCACACCCATAATCGTCACACCGAATCCGGCAATTCCCATCACCGTCACCGGATTCCTAAATATAAGAACCGAAACTCCGGCAGCCACCGCAGCTTTTCCGTTCCCCAAAACTTGCAATGTGAGAGCACTTGTATGCTTTGTCACCAAGAAATTCGTCAAATTCACTAAATATGCCACTGTCGCATTCCCGGCTAGCAAGAAGATGATCAATGGATCCGTCCTCGCCTTTTCGATTAAAACTCTTAATACATTTCCTTCAATGTATAACGTAAATGGTAGTAAGATACAAGCCGCCATTGGAGCCATGTAGAGCAAAAGATTCATCGAATGTAGCTTCTCCGATTCCGACGTCAGAATAATCCCCTACAAAATACACAAAATCCGGTTCAACCAAACCAATAAAAAACCGGATTCAAACTCCAACTCCTTCTGATTTAAGTGAGATCCAAATCTAGATTCAGACGCAATTCGATCGTACCGATAAAAAACCAGGATTGGAATCCGAATTCATCCGTATATTCACTCGGTTTAAATTCTATAGATCGAAATTCAGACAGAGACTGAACTAAACCGGACTCAATTCAGTTCTAAGAATAAAAACCGGATTCAAACTCGAACTCCTCTAAATTTCTTCCAGATTTGGTATAGTGAAACTGAATTCAGACATATTTAAGAGAGATGTTTTGTAATAAAATCGAAATTCGAACGCAATTTCGAATTCTATTGGTAGTAAACCGGAAAATTCAAGAAACCAAACCGAGTTATACCTGGACGACGGATTTGAGAGCTCTACCGGCGGTGGAAGCAACACAGATGAGGAAACCAAAAAGATGAAAAGAAGGTTCAGAGTTAGAAGCAAGAACGATGCCGGAGACAACCGGAAGAAGAGCTAAGTAAACTTCAGTGGACTCTGTTTTACAAGTAATGAGAAAAGAGAACACGGCGGTGAAGAACGGCGTGGTGGCTCCAATAGCTTGATTAAAAGAAACAGGGATATAACGTAGCGAAGTGTTGCCGCAGACGACGGAGAGACAAAAGATCGCTGATAAAGAGAGGATCTTTAGAAACTGACGGCGAGATAAGATGTGCTGACGTGGCACGATTCCGGCGATGTTGATTACGGCGGAGCTATAAGCGGCGCAGGATAACATGTGTGTCATGGTGAGGAAGATTGGGTAACGGAAACCGTAGTAGAAGAGAAGGTATTTGTTTAAGAGGAGGACTCCTATGTTTGAGCCAAACCAGGCGGCGATTATCGCCGCCGTGAGGATTGTTGGAGATACGGTAGGGAAAGAGAGGAAGAAGGGTTTGAGGGGTGAAGAAGCGGAGGAGTGTGGAGGTGTTCCGGGGATGTCTACAATGGTTGGTGCGGCGGCGTCGAATCTAGGATTGCTCATCCGCCGTGTTGTCCATGATTGAGCTTCAACCATTTTTCAGGTAGGGGTAAAATGGGAATAATGATAAGTTTTTCTTCACTCTTTCTTTTTCTAGAGAGAGAGAGAAAGTGTGAGTTTTTATCTTTTTTGGTGAGGTTTGAGATCTGAGAGTGAGGGAAGAAGAAGAAGAAGGAAGATGATGAAACGGACGGTGGAGATTTAGATTTAGTTGTAAAGGTTTAGAGTGATATCAGCCGTTGGATCTTATAGTTGGAGGGAATTGTTTTGTTTAAAAATAAAAGAAAAATAAATAAAAAGACAAATCTAAGAAAATTAATTTTAAGATTCGAAGTCTTGTGTTCGGAGACGAAGCATGAGTCAGAAGTGTCGGTAGTAGGTCCACATTTGAGATCCGACGGAAGCAATAATCCTCTATGACGCAGCCTAATTAGTGGAGTTATTTTATAACCCCACTCACTAATTATTTAGCCTCTCTTTTCAAGTTTTGTTTTTAATAATTGTATCTTAACACAATATTAGCAATTATTTATTGTTGAAAATACACTAGCCTGATTAACATATTTACATTCTAGAACAACCAAAATTATAAAAGTCTAAACTAACAAAGATGGATAAGCCACATTTCTATATGGTTAATTGGTCACATCAAAACAAATGCGTCGGTATTGACTAGGATCTAGACTCTTTTTTGGGGTTGAATATGTATGTTTAGATTTTAAAGATGCATTTGAAACTATTTACGTTTGACTATAGAGCGTAGTACGTTTTAATAAAGGTTGTCACAAATACCAAAATCTAATCAGATCTGTGAAGTAAATAACGCGATTTTCTCTTTTGCATCAGCATTAATCACGCATTGTGTTTATCATGGAAATGACTAACTCTGTGATCTAAATAGATTTGTCATGTCATGTGCACATGATATCTCTAGTTTATCTGATTACTAGTTAGTCATTAAAAGTTCATTACCAATGATGGTAACAAAATAGATTATAAAAGGGATATTATTCCAGAAAAGGGGACTTGGCCAATAGAATACATTATTCTTCGCAAAATTAAATGCTACTTTCTCCTAAATAATTTCTTTATCGCATTCTATAGATGAAATTATTATTTATACATTCATTACTTGCCATTTTGCACACTGATCATGCATGCGATTGTTAATATCTAAGGTAATACCGTAATAGTAATAATTTTGTAAGGTGACTTTTGTGAATTCGACGAATATATCCTTCATGCGAAAGGGAAACAAAATAACATGGAGAATAAAAAATAATAACATGGTGGAGAATAAATTTGACTAGAGCCATATTAATGAATTACAAAAAGAGAAACTGTTCGTTGACAAAAAAAAAAAAAACAGTCCCACACTGAAAAGGAATCCAAATATGAAAGCTGCAACACATAAATCTTGATTTTCTTTTTGGTTTTTTACGATATGATCTGAAGTTAGATGTCCAATTTTAAGACGTGCATCTATCAATAAAACACTCTTCTCGAAATCAAATTGGTCCATACCCATTTTATTATGGCATGTAAATGTATGTGTAGATGAGATCTCAAAATACACACATCAACTATATATATCAACAATTGATATGTTAAATAATCAAGGTATGTGTAGATGAGATCTCAAAATACACACATCTACTATATATATCAATAACGATCTCCAAGCTGTAGTTGTATACACTTCATCAGCAAATTCATGTAGCTCCTTACCGATCACAAGAGCTGCTTTTATGGCATGACGACACGGAATTTTTCCTAACTGAAACTTTCCACATGAACATGTTTTACTTTCCAAGTCAACGACGTAGTCAGACGACTCACCTTTAAGCTGAAATATGTATTCAGTAACCGGATAAACTTTCAGTGTTTTGCCTTTTTCTATCCTACCATCAATCTTTTTCTCCACTTCCACAGTTAAAGGGTCTGTCTGCTTTGCACTTAAAGCTCTACGCTCATAAAACCATCGTGTCAACATTTCTCTAATGCTGTCTAACAAAGGAATTATTGGATATTCTCTAGGCGATCTCAACGCTGAATTTATTGACTCAGCAGGGTTTGTGGTTCTAATGTCGTACCTGTATCCAGGAAAATGACACCGAGCCCATTTTTCCACACCTGCATCTTGTAGGTATACTCCAATCGCTGGACTAATGTTGCTAATTTGCTTGAATAAACGCTCAAATTCAGCAACCCTATACGCTTTTGACGCTTTGGCAACCATACCGACCAAACCCCTTCCTTGGTGGTAAGTTATCACATTATTCAGCAAGTGGTGGATGCAAACACCATGTTTTGCCAATGGGTAAATTTTAGCAATTGTTTTACCAATCGACATATGTCTATCTGACACAAAAGCTAAATCTTCCTCGTCGGCTATAACAAACTTAAGTTGCATTAAAAACCACTCCCATGAAAGATCATTCTCAGAATCAGCAATTCCAAATGCGATTGGATATAAATTAGAGTTACCATCTACGGCTGTAGCAACTAGTAGAACTCCTTTGTATTTGCTCTTCAAAAACGTTCCATCAACTACAATCACCCTACGAACTGCCTTGTAGAACCCTCTTATTGATTGACCAAAAGAAATAAATAGATACTTGAATCTACCATCGTAATCAGTTTCAAAATTCGTATACGTACCAGGATTAGCTTCTTGTAGCATATGCAAGTATTTTGGTATTTTACCATAACTTTTCTCAGGTATCCCTCTAACTTCGTTAACTGCATACTCACGAGACTCCCAAGCTTGGGAATAAGATAGCTCACATCCATATTCTGTACGCAAAATATTAATGATATCATTGGGTTTAGGCCCTTCCTTCACACCCTCGTATCTATGCATAATGAGCTTTCCAATTGTTCTTGCTGAAGGGGTTCTAGAGACTTTGCTTTTCTTCGAAGGAGCACAATTATGTTTAGCAACATACTTATTGATTTTAAAATATGTAGATCCCTTCAAACATTCTGCACGAAGCCTCCATTTGCAAACTTTGTCCACACAACGAATACACCAAAATGTCGGATCAGATTTAGTAACTCTGTAGTCGAAGTTATACTTCATCGCACATATTTCTAGAGTTGCCTGTAAAGCTTCCTTGCTTCTGAAATGTTTCCCATTCTTTACAATGGAATCTGCCAATATAGATTCAACCTTATCACAAACTCTACCAACATTAGGCGTATCCTCAACAACCAATACTGCAGATTTTTTACGCACGTTACGATCATCATCTCTTTCAATCGAATCACTTGGCTCCTCATCCAATTCGGTATCCACTATATTCCTTTGATTATTGCCTTTAACTTTAAATGTCACACACAACCGTATCAAACTGTTCCCTTTATAATAGTCGACAAAATTTTTCAGTTGTCGGTCATTCGTCATAAGAACAGGAGGAGAATCAACACCGAGATCTGTAGGTAAATAAGTGAATTCCACATCAACTGTAGCCGGTTCTATTTTGTAGTCTTCAGAGACCATCATCAATAGGTCTTCAAGAGTTGTTGTAGATTGCAAGGTGAGTAATCTTGCACATTTTTCTTCATCAACAATAAATTTCCACTCTTTATTAGCAAAAGATCTCCATACACCACAAGTAACATAGATCTGCAACATAATTGTTTGTCTCACAATTACTTAAAGATCGTGAGGGAGAAGAAAGAAGAAAGAAGAAGAGGGGACGAAGGAAGAATAAGAAGAGATGAAACGTGGAGAAAAAGAAATAAGGAACAAAAGAAGAGACGTCAAAGTGGACTAGGGTAATCTATTTACTTACGTGTAAAGAATTCTAAACTAATAAGAATACATGTTCTAAAATTTGTAGACGTAATCTTAACCTTAATATTCAATTTTATCAGATGTAATCTTAACAATATTCAATTTCTTTATTTAAAGATTTATTTTCCTTTACTAAAAAGAAATTCTAAATTATATAGAATTTGTTTTCTATTTTTTGTAGAATATATAGGAAAATATAAGAATGTGTTTTCTAACAATTTTAGAACATGGGTAAATGTTAGAAAAGATATTCTAATTTTTTTAGAAGAAAGAGCAAAGTATAGAACATGTATTCTAAATTTCGTAGAAATTAGCTATCTAAATACCGTAGAACAGAAATGCGTTCTAAATTCCGTAGAACATATAGAGTGCATAGAATACATTATCTAAATTTTATAGAACATGTGCAATGTGTAGAATACACATTCTAAATTCAGAATGTGTATTCTAAACTTCGTAGATCATATTTTATTTATCCAAAACGGCAACAAAAATGACATATTTTCGACATTATAAGTATCCTCATGACTTTTTTTTTCATTTGCCTACAAATTGTTCTAATTTTTTTTTGAAAAACTAGTTAAACCAACTACAAAGAGTAAATTAGGAATATGTGATATTTAGTCATAGAATGCATAGATGGACAATAGTTTAATTATTTATCCTTTATATCCAATTTTCCCATACTTAAATATGAGTGTGTGTAATAGGTAAGAGCTATCTTAACTTAGAAGGACCAGCCAACTTTTGTCTGTCTTCTTTGCATTCCCTAAACAATGAAATGTCTCCTTTTGTAAATTGCCTTGAGACAAAATCCAATGAATGATGACAAATGATTGCAGCACGTCACTTAGTAAGAAACCTTTAGAATGATGGATGTCTACGTATATATACTAATTATGATATCATCAAATCAACTAATTCACTATCTAAAGCTAATCCTTTTATATATGTAGTAGTTATAGACTAAATAAATAAGTATGTATTGACCTTCATAACCAAAAAAAATATGTATTGCTCAGTAATAAAATCAACCAAAATTATTCACCAAAAAAAAGAACCACAGAAGTTACACAAAAATGTTTAAAGTTTTATGTTTCTGTCAAAACATTACTATTAAGTTTTAATACAACAAAGCAATCAACTTTTTATGTAAGAAAAAACAACATAGTATATAATAATTCATCTCTGACAATGTGAGATTTTATTATTTAAGAGTAATTTTGTAGCAGCACATCACATTTCACATGTTCTTGGAATTCAAAATTCTATATGATTTAAATACTTGTTACGTTTACCAGAATAAATTATGTAGGGCACACTATTGTAGGAACCATTTGTTTCCATGTGCGACCCAATTTTAGTGGGCCAAAAAACAGTGGAACTAAAGCTAGTTGCTGATAGGGCCGTGACAACGAAACATTATCTAAAACATTTGGTCAAAAAATTACAAAAGCATATACTCATCAAAATGGCTTCGCCCGGGTTCGAACCGGAGACCTTCAGTGTGTTAGACTGACGTGATAACCAACTACACCACGAAACCTTTGGAGCACTGACCGATGCACAGATTGGATATACTGATCGAATTCTTATACGAGCTCTATGTCGACTTGTTTAAGAGGTCCATTCGTTATACACAGCACACAGAGTTTGGTACAATACAAAAATCTTGTGTGTTTCTGTTTCAATACAAACCTCGAGTTTTGATACAAAGCAAGTTCTCAAATGGCTACAAAACGTAACGTTTTATTAAATTTATGATTGTTTTGTTATTATACCTTACTGGTCACGAAATCGCTGTTTGTTGCTTCCCATATGACAGTACCATCACAAGAACAAAGCTTTTTGTAGTTTTCTCCAACTCCTGCGCTTCTAGCTATCACAGCAGCGGTTAATCCGGGGCCTGACTTATTATCCTCGGTCTTGTACACCACGACGGCTCGCCCGATAAGATCCGCAACCTTGAGTTTCTCTTTCTTTCCCGTGTAAAAGGCCTCTCCGTTTTTGTCTGCCTCTAGTGTTCCCAGGTCTCCCAATGGCTGACAGAAGAAAAAGAGGGTTTTTAGAGGATTGTGATGACATTTTCGTGTTTTAAGAGTGCATTTCACCAACCTCTGTGTCAGTTTGATCTTGAAATGGATTGTACAAGTTCCCTGTGCTGGCTGCTCCGTTTGTGAGATCTCCATACTCGTTAATACACCAGCTATGGATTCCGGGTGACAAACCGGTGAAGTTGGCTTCGATTCTTGCAAGCTCCATACTGACCTGAGCAAATCGGACCACCCCGAAAATGTCAGGGCCTTTGAATTCTGCTACTGCAGCTGAGACTAAGAAATCTGCCAACACGTCACAAAAAGTAAAGTAATGAATGAGAAAAGAGCTTATTGATGAAATTTAATTGGTATATCCCCCAAATCGATACTGTCTAATGTCAAAGTAAAGGCAGTGTATCAAAGAGTGATTCAAAGGTCAAAATGTTTTTGGATTTGAGAATTGAACCTCACATAAACCCAATCCGACTGCTCCTACATGTTCTATGAATCTTCTTTCTTTTAACTATCGAAACCAAAGCAGAAGAGATATCTAACCTTGAGGAACACCTTGTCCAATTAATCGAGCTTTTCGACCGGTTTGCTCCAAAGCTTGGGTCATAGCCTTAACAGGGGAAGATCCAAGTATCCTCACTACTTGGTTGGACAAATCCACCTCCACTTTCTCAATCCCTTACAAGATTAAAATTTTCCATTACAAATGATAAGCAACAACAAAGCAAGTCATAACCAAACAGACGATGATTAATAAAGTTGTTTCTCCTAGTACCTTCAATGGTTTCTAATTTGTTCTTCACGGCATTAACACAACCCTCACATTTCATATCCACCATAAACTCAGTCTGGAACATACAACAACATATTAAGACACATGACATATGTTCTCAGTAGCTCAATCCGATATTGTTTATATCTGAAATCCAAATAGGAAAGAGAAAGACTTACAAGGAGCTGAGGCATGACACGATCCTCCTACAAACCAAATTCAGCTACTTAGATACTAAATCATCGAATTAGGAAAGCGTAAAAGCACAAATTGGAAATAGGGTAACTCAAAAGTTTAAAGCTTTTAACCAAAACCTGATGGAGATTACGATCAGAAGTGAGAGCAGTCGTCATCGGAGAGCTAGCGAAGCTTCGTGTAAGTCCCAAGCGACGTGGAGATGATCGGGAGAGAAAGGAGAAATTGAGAGATTGAGATTTGGGGTTGGTAGAGGAAGAAGAAGAAGAAGAAGAGTATGCGATCGCGATGGGAATCGCAGACGCAGCGGCTACGACGGCTGAGGTCGTTGCCACTGACCTGAGAATTGATGCCATTTTCTTGCTTCTTCAATTTTTGCGGCTTTTTATTTCTGACCTTTCAACAATCTTTTAAATTTTTATCATTTTTTATATACTTAAAAACAAAATAAATCGGTTAATGTAAATAATCAACGTCTTTAAACACCTAACTTGTGAACAAAATCAATTAGAGTAATTGTTGTTATTACAAACAGTTAGTGCTATTACCTTAACGCAATTAAATGTTTCAGGGAGTTATATTGATACATCAAAAACATTTTTAGCCAAAACCAGGAGGGAGTTCAGGATCTTCTTCATTATCATCACTACATGCTTCTCCTTTGTTATCTTCTACAACTCTTTGAACCAGCTCTTGCTTCTGTTTACTCGCTGGACTAGTGTTGGAATCAGCTCTTGTTTTTGGGAATAGTGTTGGAATCTTATGCTCCACTTTTCTAGCAGATGTTCCACATTTCTTGCCTCCCGGGTTAGATAATGTGGCGTAGACGGATTGCACGGTTTCTCTGATTTCATTCTTCATCCCGTCCTCTGATCTTATTATCCCCCACAACCCATCTGAGAGCTGGCTTAGCATCTTGCTCCTACAAGCAAAAAACCAAAAATTTCAGCAACGGTTGTGCCATAGCCAGTTACAACAACAAGAGTGGGTCTGTGAATAGAAGGAAAGCTCCTTCTTAACTTACCCGACTTCTTCGAATATCGCATCAGAAAGTTGCCTGGTTTTCATATTTTGAGCACCCTGTCGTTTCAAAGCTGTTGACTCCTTGACAATTTCTATCATGTTGTTCCGTAATTCCTCCTGCAATCCAGTTACCACTTTAATAGTCAGAACACAACGGAAACACGGGCAGTCCAGAAGAACAAAGCTTTAGATGTTTATCAAACACTGTTAAAAGAACAATCCTCGTTGCCTCACATTAACTTCTTCGACTCCGGCTGAGAAGTCCACTTCACTCTTATCTAAAAATGCTACCAAGTTGCGGAAATGACAATACTCACTGGATGGCTAAGTATATAGACTCCTCAAAGACAATGAACAATATATCAGCTATAAGTAACCTGACTAACCAATTCACAATAAGTAATACTGAAACTCTGAATCAGCTATAGCTGTGATCTAACAGACTAACACCATTAAGAGAACTCTCTCCTCTAGGATCTGATTCAGCTAAGAAAAACTTAAGGCAGTTTGGTAAGCTCTCCAAATCATCAATGGTTTACTTACACTTATCCCAAAATCAAGATCAATGACCAAACTTTCCCTATCTTAAACGACTGGTATTGTTAGGAATCACACATTAACATAAATGTTCCCTGAGACCAAGCTCAGACTTATCTTTGCACACAACTACTTACCATATCACTCTGTGACAACAACACAAACAGTAAAAACGAAACAAAAGATGGAATTTTTCGATTGAGATCCGAGTAGCTGCCGAGTAAAGTACCTAAAACCACAAATTAAGGACTGATTGGGCTCAGTCTATATGAACCAAAAGAGCAAACTTTGCATCAAACATTCAAAAAGTTTGACTAATTCTCAATCGAACTCGCTATTATAACACAAGTCAAACTAACTAAAGATTCCAATTTGATGTTTTGAAACAATCAAAATCGACTGAATCATTATCACTGCTCCTAAAGCCACAAATGTACTGGGAATCAAGAGACTATTAAACCCTAATTAGAGGAGCAAGGAACGAAAAACACACGATGCAATGAGAAGACAACGGAGAAAGAGAAAGAGGGTTACGTTATCTTTGAGGCGGCGTATGATTTTAAGACGAAGGCGATCAAAATCTCCGTCGTCCTTAAGCTTCTCTACAACTTCCTCTTTGCTTATCTTCCTCGCCATACCCATCTCTCACTCTTCCTTCCTTCCTCTGGAGTTCCAATTTTTTCCTTTTATTTTGTTGCAATATTGGTTCTGATAAAATAATTACTCCATCTGTCAGAAGAAGATTGATGTTCTGCTTATTTGTTCCACATAGATTTATTTTTATTTTTATTTCTATAATAATAAATCGTAAACTTCAAGACATAATGATTAAAAATAATTAACTTTCTTAGATTACTATTAGTTGATAATTATTTTAAAATATGTAATATTAAAATTAATGTTCAAATGATTAAACAATGATTTTTTTTTTTTGTCAACAGCTTAAATAAAATAGATGCTCAAAAGAGCCATTCTTGGGAAATGTTGTTTAAACAATGATTGAATTCTTAATATGTGTGAAAACTCTAAAACATCAAACTATTAGGAATAGAGGGAGTATTATTTTTTGGGCTAATTATTTTATTTTATTTTTTTCATTAAACATCATTTCTATTAAAATATCGGAAAGAGACTCTCCGCGAGGGAGAGCCAATCAGGAACCGACGAACTTACATGGGAAAAGAGATTGTTTCGAGCCCGAGCATTTTTGGCTAAACAGTCTGCTCGAGTATTAGAACTACGAGGAAAAAATCTAATATTAAAATAAGGGAAAAAACAAACGAGGGACCGGAAAGAAGTCATTTCTACTGCAAAAGTTGGCCAAACGTCTTGGTTAACGAGGAGAGAAATCATGTCCGAGCAATCGGATGCGAAGGCGCCAGTGGTAATGCTGGGCTAATAATTTAAGGCAGTAATTTGGTTGCATCTACGAATAGTGCTATTTTATTTTCTTAATCTTATTCTTAACGTAATTGTTTAGGGCTTCATGATGGATCATAGATCCACAAATGTAAAACAAATCTATCCTCCAGTTGAATCAACCATATTTGAACAGTTTTTATACTATTCATAGATCATTTGTAGCTAGCTAATTAACTGTTCAAATATGGTTGATTCAACTGGAGGAGATCAAATGGACCATAAGATAGAAAGTCGGACCTAATCCTGACCCCAATATCTAACCCCTTAATTCATTAAAATCCACCAATTATTGCAAAATTATTTAGTATCTTTCAGGTGTCCACATCATCCTTTGCAATTAGACTCTAATTTTCCCCCTTTATGAATAATTTGGAATATTAAATCGTTCTTAATCTCCATTATCATTGAGAAACTTGTCATTAACGAATTTTCTAATATCAACTTTTTTAATCTTTATACTTGGCTTGAAAACTGTTGTGGTTAGTTGGTATATATGAAGATATAATATATATATTTGGGTTACAAGTAACCCGATTGTATATTTTGATGACTCTCAACATTTCATGATCTTTTTTTTGATAAAAACATTTCATGATCGTCATGTAACGTATTCTTCATTATCTTTTTGGTAGCTCTTATATATTGATCATGCATTTATATAAATTAGAGGAAAAAAAACTCTGCAAATCCTCTTAAAAGGACATTTAAATGATAAGAAGTGATTGTTTTTTAATTCGTGATTTCACATATCTATATGAATATACTCTAACGGCTAATTTTTGACGGATTATGACCAAATCCCATCTCTAAACAAGAATACCAAATTAAACTAAATGTTCTGGTATAATTTTTAACCAACAACAATCAGTTTTGCTACGTGCTCATTAGTAGATTGGGTCTTTGTCCCCGAAAAAGTATGATCGATGTTACGAATCGTTTATTTAGATGCCATGCAATATCGTATCTAGAGAAGAAAAAAAACAATAAAACATATCGTATATTCTTAGTCCTATGTTAATATAAATAATCATTTAACCTTTTGCATGAAATTGACATAAAATCTTAAAATACCAACTTTTCGTCGACCGAAATAATATAAAATATAGGTCATGATTGATTATATGTTTCTAGGCGGCCTAAGAATTAAATAATGTATTTCGGCATCTTTGGTAAACTAGAAATGACAAGACTTTCTTTAGAATACAAGTTAATAACGTGAAAATACTATGAACTATATCGATTAATCGACAAGAAGTATTATTTTTAGATTGGATGATTTTCATTTTTTTTTTCTAAATTATTTTGTAGATTTTCTATACAATTACTATTAGTAGAAACTAGAAAGTGTTTTGTGTATGAAAATGATGTATGCATTGTCAAGAAGTAAGAACTAGTTAGTCATTGTCCCTTTTTTAATTTCTGTGGGAACTTTAAGAAAATCAGTATTTGCATAACATAGGAGTAGTAAATAAGAAATTGACTATAACTATTTGGCTGAATTAATTGAAAGTTAAAAATCATTCATCAATTCAATTAGAACATACTGTCGGATGAAACAAAAGATGTATGTGATCAATAAAGCACATTTTAAATTTAATTAAGTTCCTTGCGTAACTATAGTATAACTGATAGCCACTAAATGTACAGCTCAAGTTAACTCGTTTAAAATGCATGCCCTTCGAAATAAAATATAATCTCTATTAGTATCAGTCACTCAATCGTACATCTTTCGATGATTTAAGTTTTAACGCTGTTTTTCATTGAGGTCACAAAGTTTATTTTCAAAGAATAATTAAGTTGAAAAAATGGTCATAAGAAACAATAAAAAAATAATCTTGGATGGTATAAAATGACTAACAGCATTGCTATCGAATTTCTGCATAAATAAATAAAAAAAGAACTCATAGCACCCAAAGCTCCTCGTATTACCAAAAGAACTCCCACAGCCAACAGCAAGAAAAATAGAAAAGGCATATCATCACCCTATGGATTTTCCAGATTCTTCATTGTTCATACCAGATTTTGCTTATGAAAATGATTTAGATTTCTCTAGTTTGATCACTCCTTCAACGCATATATCATTCCAAGAACCTTATCCATGTAATCCGGTCATTCATTGTGCTGGGATTGAAAACGATGGAAGACAAAAAGCCTGTGAGACGACCATGACAAGCGAAATCAGGAAAGGAGACGATGAGCCGAAGAACAAGAGAGCTAAACACAAAGAGCTTGAGAGACAAAGAAGGCAAGAAATCACGTCTCTATTCAAGAATCTAAGATATTTATTGCCATCTCAATACACTAAGGTAAGTACATTTTACTATTCTCACTAATCTTCTTTATTAATTAAATCCATATACAAAAAAAAAAATCTTATACAAATTTTGTCTCAAATCCACTAGATTTAACTTTGGTTTGAAAGTTAAATATTTCTATAGATTATATTGAAAATACCCTTAGTTTTTAACGGAGAATGATTTAGACTAATCACGCTAATGAACAATTAATTGCGTAAATAGGGTAAACGTTCTTCGGCAGATCACGTTCTAGAAGCTGTGAATTACATCAAAGACTTACAGAAGAAGATCAAAGACGTCAGCGAAAAAAGAGATAGAATCAAGAGATCTATTACTCATCGTCCATCTTCAACAGGAGAATGTTCAATAAGATCATCAACTTGTTCTTGTGTTGGAGATACACACATTGCTGTTGTGGTTAGGCCTTGTTTGATCGGACTAGAGATCGTAGTAAGTTGTTGTTACAGACACGAATCTTGTCTCTCAAGTGTTCTTCAACTTCTGGCTCAAGAGCAATGCTTTAATGTTGTTAGTTGCATCTCAACTAGGCTGCACCAAAGAATAGTACACACCATTGTTTCTGAGGTAATTGTCTATAAATCTATTTTCTCTGATTTATGAGGAAAGATTGGGTTAATCTATATTTTATGTGGTGAGAGATAAATATTAATATTTTGGGAAAGTTTTTTAAAATTGTGTAGGTCGAGGAGGGAATAGAGGTTTATTACTCAGAGCTTCAAGAAAACATAATCAAAATGGGAACCACATAGTCATGTTATAAGTTCTAAGATCTGGATCCTCAACCATTCCACCACCACAAGCATGTTTTGTTTTTGTTTTTAGAAGTTTGTATTGTTTTTGATGTGAATGTTGTTTGAATTGTTGAATAATTAAATTCTTGTATGAATAATTTGTTTGATGCAAAATTTTGTGAAATGACATTTTTCTAACTATTTTGTAATAATTAAAAAATTATTATGTAACAAAATAGCTCACATACATTGATTTTTTTTTGTTACTGTATAAATATTACTGAAATCAATTCATTCATTTTAATTTATCGATACAAAAAAAACAAAACTATGTTGATAAAAAGTTGTCAAATGAATGTAATAATTTAATATCTCTATTTGCTTAAATAATCTTTCAAACAAATATGATCATTAAGCTAAAATATTTATTGTTTTTTTACATAATTATTGGAAAAAAAGATAACTAAAGACGCTTCAGTTTCAACTAACGGAGTAAGTGTAAAGAGAGGCTAGAGTCCTCCTCTCTCAGTCTCCGATCAAAAATCAATGACGGAATCTTCAGATCCTCCTCCGCTTGTTCTCATTCACCGACCACCGTCTCTAACTTTCATGGACGAGACTATAAGTCGTGAATTCCGGACTCTCATCACCGACACTTCATCGGAATCACTCCCGAGTTTTCTCTCCCGTCACGCCTCCTCAGCCAGAGCCTTCGTTGTCGTCGGTAGACTTCCGGTAACCGAAGAACTCCTTTCTCATCTCCCTTCTCTTCAGCTACTCGTCTGCACTAGCGTCGGCATCGATCACATCGATCTCGCCGCATGCAAGCGTCGCTGTCTCGTTATCACGAACGCTGGCAACGCGTTTTCCGATGACGTTGCGGATTGTGCCGTCGGTTTGCTTTTAAGTGTTCTCCGTCGTATTCCTGCCGCCGATCGTTATGTCCGATCTGGTAATTGGGCGAAATTTGGGGGTTTTCAATTAGGGTCCAAGGTTTGTTCGAAATCAAACTCTCAATTTCGAATTCTGATCTTACTGTAGTTAGATTCGATGAGAGTTAGGAAAATGTTTTGCTTAGTGATCTTTAAAAGCGTTTCTTTGGATTCTGAGAAAAGTTAAGTGTTTCTTGTTGTTGCATATGATTCATAGAGCAATCTTCATGAAAGCTAGGTTGTTTGAGTTTGATCAGAAGAAAGATGAGAACTTTAGTGTGTGTGGATCTTGCTATGTGTTGGTGAAAGTCTTTGTGGTTATGATAATCTGTTTTGTTGCAGGTAAGTGGGAAGCGAGTTGGGATAGTTGGATTGGGGAGCATTGGATCCTTTGTTGCCAAAAGACTTGAATCTTTTGACTGTATCATCTCTTACAACTCAAGAAGTCGGAAACAGAGTAGTCCATACCGGTATTACCCCGACATTCTCTCTTTAGCAGCTGATAACGATGTACTCGTCCTCTGCTGCTCTTTGACAGATGAAACGCATCACATTGTGAATAGAGAAGTGATGGAGTCGCTTGGTAAGGATGGAGTTATAGTCAATGTGGGACGAGGAGGTTTGATTGATGAGAAGGAGATGGTGAAGTGTCTGGTCGAAGGTGTGATTGGTGGTGCCGGTTTAGATGTGTTTGAGAATGAACCGGCAGTTCCTGAAGAGTTGTTTGGTTTGAACAATGTTGTGTTGTCTCCACATTTAGCTGTGGCTACCGCAGGGTCTTTGGACAATGTTGCAGAGATAGCTTTAGCTAACTTGAAGGCGTTTTTCTCGAACCGGCCTTTGCTTTCTCCGGTTCAATTGGATTGAGGGAGTGTCCGGTTTGATCAAGGTAGCTAATTATCAATCTATTGTTTAATGTTTATTAATCAATAATTCAAAAAGAAAGTGTATTGAATATTTGAATGTACCCCGACATTCTCTCCCAAAGAAGAAGAATTAAGTGACCACGCATATTATTTAAATAATTCTCCCACGTTGCACATATGACTAATTTGGTCGAATATATTAGTCGGAACATTACAATTGCCCAGATAATAATCAGAATGTTTACAATAACCTTTTGGTTCTAATGTTAATTGTAAAATACTGTTAAACATAAAACATTATACAAACCACGTTTTCACATATTAGTTTATCTTTGGAAACTGACATTTCCATTCTATAACCAAAAATTTCAAACAGAAACTTAAACTAATTCATGATACATGTAGAAGAGTCGGATATATTTGTCATTCAAAACATTCAGAATCGACCAATGCAACCATAATCGAAATTGTATAACTTAAACTTTAGTCTTACGGAATAAATCATTCAAGTACTAAAACATCACAAATTGCATTTTATGTTGCCTATTTGACTATTTCTATTTACAGAAAGAAATAGTTGACAAACGACAATACAAAAATCAATGTCTGCTGTTCAATTAAACTAATCATTGTATATACATAAACGCACGTATAGAGATTGGATAGAGTCGGTACACGAACCGCCTATAGAACCTGCTCGCACGTCAACTTATACTATATTCAAAAACCTCGCTTAAACAACAATTGACCTGTATTTTTCTTCTAATTTTTATTAATTCTATTGCAAATATTCAATGAAATGAAACAAATCCCAATCAGTACGGACAAAAGTCTCCAATAAAAAAGGAATTAGAAAAAGGATAGTGATCCTCACGTAGCCACCACTACTGTCGTTGAAAAGCCCGTCTATATAAGATTGTCTCAAATTCGATTACTTCATCAACAAACAAACAAAACACAAACCCTAAGAAAAGTCATCGAAAAGGAAAACGAGAAATAAACAAAAGATGGGTCCAGTCTCAAGTTCTTGGAGTTTCAACAAATTCTTCGCTTTAGTTTGCGTTGTTTTCGCCATCTCCGGTGAGTTCGTCGCCGGATACTATCGACCAGGCCCATGGAGATATGCTCACGCCACTTTCTACGGTGATGAGACCGGTAGTGAAACCATGGGTACGTAAAAAAATTCACCTCACGTCTCTTGCATATACGTACCATGAAGTCTGTCCAACGTTTTCGAATATCTCGCACGGTTAACAAAAAATGTTTTAACTTAGTAACTTTACATTTATATATATGTGTGCAGGTGGTGCATGTGGGTACGGAAACCTTTTTAACAGCGGCTACGGACTGTCCACGGCGGCGCTAAGCACGACATTGTTCAAAGATGGTTACGGATGTGGCCAATGTTTTCAAATAACATGTTCGAAATCACCTCATTGTTACTATGGAAAATCAACAGTGGTCACAGCCACCAATCTTTGCCCTCCTAATTGGTACCAAGACTCCAACAATGGTGGTTGGTGCAATCCTCCTAGAACCCATTTCGATATGGCTAAACCGGCTTTTATGAAACTCGCTAACTGGAAGGCCGGTATCATCCCAGTTGCATACCGAAGGTATATATATCGTTTTGTACGACACTTAGTTATTCAACTTCATATATATTATTCTAAAACTATATAACTAATATATGTTATTGATCATATAGAGTGCCATGCCAAAGGAGTGGAGGTATGAGGTTTCAATTCCAAGGTAATTCTTATTGGCTTCTCGTCTTCGTCATGAACGTTGGTGGCGCCGGAGACATCAAGAGCATGGCCGTGAAAGGTAGCCGCACAAATTGGATAAGTATGAGCCACAATTGGGGAGCCTCTTACCAAGCTTTTTCCTCTCTTTACGGTCAATCTCTCTCTTTCCGGGTCACTTCTTACACCACCGGTGAAACCGTCTATGCTTGGAACGTTGCTCCGGCTAACTGGAACGCCGGTATGACTTACAAGAGCACCGCCAATTTCCGTTGAAATTACGCTTTTGACCTAACAAAAACTCAAACGGAGTTTTCACTTCTTTTATTTCCTTTTTTAAAAGAGTTTCGGTGGCCTTTTTTGTTGTGGTGGCCCGGCTTTATGTTATACATCTACATGTATGTATAATGTATGTATCTAACTGTGATATAACTCTTCTTATAAAAATCATGAAGTCAACACTTCTTGATCAAGGGAATTTCGTTTTGTTATTTGTAAATTTTCTACCAATAAATCGCTTGCTTTTGTCTATTAGGTTTTTTTCTATTTAACACATAACAAACGTTGTTCTTTACAAAAGTAAATATTCGTAATTTAATCACCTATTAAGCGGAATGTTTCTCACGCCACTTGTCTTGACAGATTTATGTCCGTATATAATAATAACTTAAATTTAATTTCAATGTTTTGCCTCAAGTTTAAACACAATCTCGATATCCCCTTCTTTTCAGCAAAAAATACCATAAATCCATGACTTGTTTTAGTTTGATCTGTTTTAGACTTCAAGTCATACAAAAGCTCTGTTTTTTGTTTTGCTTCTGATCTAAACATTTGCTATGCCCTGAGATTCTCATTAGGATCATGGATTCATGGCTCATTATTGTCTGAATATGGGTTTAATGGCTATACTTGGGGTTTTAATCATGGTTCTTGATTTGATGACTATTAGTTCAATGTTTCAGATTGGTTCTGTGATATCAAGGTTATGGCTCGTTTTTGGTTGAAACCTGGATTTAAGCATGGTTCTTGATATTATAGGTAGAGGAATTGCTTAAAATTTATGAAAACGTATGGTCAGAGAGTTAATATATCGATCTGAGCTTCAAACATTCGAAGAACATGCGACAGTGATTATAGCTTCGAGGAGTAACAATGAGTTTGATTCGACCAAGTTGAAAACAGAGTTCCCGGAGATGTTGTCTAGAAAAGAATCTCTTGTCAAGTTTGTTTATCGAACCTAACTGGAAGACAGAGATCAAAGGTTCAAAAAAATAACAGAATATGGAACAGAGGAGTTTAGAACATTGGGAATGAGCCTACATAATTTTAGGATTTATGAGAAAAATATATTTCCATATACATCTCAATTTGGTCCAATAATGAGTACCAAACAGAAATTACCAAGAACAAGACATATTCGGCTATTAAAAACATTGGTTAATAAAATCGATTCATTTCATTATAAAGTTTTCACAAAAACCCTGATCCGATTCAAAACCCTACTTGTCGGTGAGTCTCTCTCTCAAGATCTTCACACCCATGTACCTGCATGCAAATATTTAATCATCGAAAATATCATTAGCCTTTAGTCAAAAAAAGTTAAACATCAACATAATGCATATGACTTATTTTACCTGCCAAGCATCATAACCGTGGCTTGAGGGTTTGTCCCGGGACAATAACCAACGGTCGACATATCAATGACTCTAAGCCGGTCGATACCAATAACTTTATAATCCCCATCGACCACTCTGCCCACAACGCATCCTCCATGGTAATGCCAAATGGTTGTAACTGTATGCTGGCAAAATTCCTCAGCGGATGGAGGCAACGAGGCTCCAGGACCGCTACGAGGCGGCCTTAGATTGACAGGGGTACTCGCCGTGAGGTTAAGTAAATACTCAAATGACATATCTGCGTACTTATACCTCGCAAACGCTTTAGATTGCACAACTCTCTCTATGGTTTGGATCCCTCGAACACAACGTTTTAGGTCGTCCGGATGTTGGAAGTAGTTGAAAGTCACAACCGGGTTATCTTTTGGGTTTCGGGTCTTGAGCTCTAAATGACCCGTTGATAGTGGGCCCATTACTTTCTCTAAAAGGAAGCCTCCTTGAAAAGGTTGGGCTGATGATAATTTGGTCATTGAATTTGACTCTAATAATGTTGCCCTTGGTGAAAACATTGCATAGTAGTCTCTAGTACTGGAGGATCCAGTAGAACCACCTCCGCCAAAATTTTCGCCACCGGCAGCTTCGACATATGTTCCTTCGCCGGTAATCCCAACAACCTCAATGAGTGAGACCTCAACGGGGACTGGAGAAGGAACGAACACGGCATTCATGGGGTTGTCATACATGTCTTGACCCACATGAGGCTGGTCCATCACCACCGTGATATTTTGGGCCTCTAATTGAGCCAATGGGCCGACACCGCTTAGCATAAGAAGTTGTGGGCTCCCCAGGGTTCCGGCTGATAGGATGATCTCACTCAATGCGCCTTCCTTTAGGTAAGCTCGGTGAGCCTGGCCAGTCCGGTCTCGGTACACAACTCCGTTGGCTATTGGCTTGGTCGTACCTTAAACGTGAATAATTGGAAATTTTGATAGTTAGCTAATAATCTGATTTAGTGGTAACAAAATGAATTACAATAAAGTGTAATAAGCAAGACTTGATTTAGAAACAATAGTCATGGACTAAGGGAATTTACATGAAATGTATAGTGAAAAAAAAAGTAGACATTGATTGTGCACAAATATCAGATTCAAACCATATTAAGATGACTTACAAAATTAAATCCATGAGAAAATAGGACAAAAGTTTCCCTCCAAAGTTTTTATTTAACTACCATGATTGAATATGTTTAATAATACGTTTTAAGTATTTTATTCGATGATTATGTTCTGCAATGCTACATTAAGTACCTCGAGTACGAAACAAAATCCGATGTACGGTGGCATGCAAAAGGACGGTAATACCCTTAGGATCGGCATACTCTAACAAATCGGCGGCGGTGTGTCTATGGCCGTTGCGGTCAAAAATAGTACCGCCAAATTTGGTGCCATTGATATGATCATAAGTGAAACCATTATTAGGGACAATCCCAGCCTCCAATAAGCCGTCTCTCACGGCGGTTTGCCACCGCCCCATCGGAGGCTGAAACGCCACTTTAGCTTCTACCCACTGGTACGACTCGTTCGCTAGCGCTCCGTCCCAACCCATGTTCCTAACAACATTTCAATTCGTATTAATTATTTATTATAACGTGAACATACCAAACGCATCGACAACACTAAATATCTTGTACATTTGTACTATGTAACACCCTAGCAGAATTAAATGACAATTCTATATAAGATCATTTTCTCTTCTATTAAGTGTGTGATAATATATAGTCATATATAGATAAAGTCGAAAAAAATAATTTTTAAATAAAGAAAATTCGTTAGACCTGAAATGTATATGTAAATACGCATGCATGCGTATTAATGTTACTGTACATTAGTAATTTAGTACACATACATATGCACTAACCTAACGTATTTGGTGCCGGCACGTGTATAGAAGCCGGCGTTGAGAGCGCTTCCGCCGCCGAGAACTCGAGCACGTGCATTAATGACGCCGTCTTCCGATACAAAACGCTGAGATGGTGAGGTCTCAGACAGGTCAGAGAGAGCGGCTCCGAAAGCCGATAGCCTTGTGATGTTAGGGTTATTGTAGGGTGCGCCACCGCGTTCGAGCAGCAAAACGCTAGCGTTTTGAGACAGCGTTGCGGCTAGAGGGCACCCTGCGGTCCCACCACCGATGATGATATAGTCGTAGTACGACGTTGTTGGACTTCCTGTCGCGTCCCGCATGAAGGAGTAGTTTGGAGCTGCGATCAAAGGATAAAATTATAACGTCACACTAACATGAGTACATATATATATATATATATATATATATATAAGAATCTATTTGTAGTTCATGAATATTACCTTTGTCAGAAGAACAAATTGGAGAATGGAGGAAAAGAGGAAGAGCAACAAACAATCTCCATGACCAAAATCTATCCATCATTACTTATTGAAATAAAGCAAAATCTAGAGTTTTTCTCACTTTGTATGCCTATATATATATGATAACATACTGGTTATTTTATATAAAGTTTTGTAATGACCTACGGTTGAAATTAATGTTTCGACCTTTTCATTGTATATATAGCTAGAGGCAATTAAGAGTCCATCTAATTCTGAGGAAATACAACACCAAGATTCTATGTCTATTTTCATGGACACGTGTCAACTGAAGAAGCAGATAAATAAGACCCAAAAGATAAATAAATTAAAGTGATTTCAAGAAAATGCAAGTTAGATGAAGTATCATGAGAGAAGAAACCAAATGGACCGATAAAACTTATAGGGAATGTGATATAGAAATTGATACACTTAACCTGTCTCTCTTGGACATGAATAAAGAAATCTGAAATTGGAATTATAATTAGATAATATATATTTATGTAAGTTTGTGTGTGTGCGTAAGACCCACGTCCATTAATAGACAGTTGGTTACAGACTTACAGTTAAAATGCACCAACAATTTCTTCCTCGATCGTGTGATCATAATAAGCCGAATATGTTAGGTGGAAATAATGATTCATAAATTGGTTTCGTACGTATAAATGAAACGAAAATTGGCAATATACTCCATTTTTTTTTAATTACCTTATTGATCAACACTTTTACCATAAATAATCATGACAATCAATATAATTTGCATAAAGCGATTAAAAATTATCAAAAATAACAACGTATTCAAACTCTGATTCGGTTAATTTATAAGTATGAAAAAGGTTCAATATACATATTGTGAACTGATATACATTTTCTATAACTGATATGTCTTATCATGTCTATATGTGTATACTCTCTAGACTCTAGGAGAATTTTTGAAATAGTAAACAAAAATGTTGAAGTAGTCAATATAGAGGATTGGTAAATATATATCATGTAGGCGTAGCACATGATAAGGTCGTGTCATTAACTAATAACTACTATACAGACTACAGAGTAATATAATAAGTAGAATTTTAGATTTTTTGGTATGCTCGAATTGCATTTTTCTTCTTTTTTTTTTTTTCTTTGAGCACAAAATGTGAAAAATTTATGAAACTATGGGCCATAATATTTGCGCCGTGCCGATTCAATTACCAAAGAAAACGGGCTAAAAAGCCCATCATACATTTTCTTTTATCTTTTTTTTTTTTCTTTTTGTCATCAATATTTTTGTCATCCCTCAAGAACGTAAAATATAGAATGCTGATTGAAAAAAACACAAAACTATGAAAGTATTCCAAATCTATTCGACTTGGGATATAACAACAAACACTCTTAGCATAAATGAATTCCATATATGGTTTTCAAAGTAGAATCAGAAGTTTCGATATAAAAAAACAAAAACAAAAACTAAAATCAGAAGTCAGAGGAAGGGAATAATGCTATACCAAAAGTCAAACATATAAAACTCGGAAATGAATATGCAAAAAAGAAAGAAATAGTGGAGTACACAATGCTTGTACAGCTCATTAACATGAAATACAGATGGAGGTCTCTTTGGTTCTCAAAAGCATAGACAAATCAACTAACTCTAATGATTAAGTTACCAAAAATCATATTATAAGTAGGTTAATTACTCGAGAGTCTCAGACAGCGAAGCAAACAGAAAAAAGAGGTGGAAGACATAGAGGTCCCGCTTTGCTTCGTACGGTCAGCAAATTACCAAGTGGCATACTTGAAATGGGTGCTGTCTAATTTATTATCGTCACGAACTATAAAAAGCTTCTTGGTGTGACGTTGGATAAATTTCCTCTAGACCAAATCCACAACAATGTCGAATCATTTAGAACTAATAGAGATTTTTTTTTTTTTTTTTAAGTCGTCGAACTAGTAGTTTACTTACTCTTTCAAAATTGATTTTTACATTTCATCCTTAAAACATTTTTAATCTCCAAAATAGACTAAAGATTTTTTGCTGGCATATTGATATCAGTTATAAACTTATAATATAATATACTTTTATTTATAAAATGTTTTGATAACATTCATTTCCACTTATGACATAATATAGTATGTAATGTTTTTCAAATTTATTTATCATTGAATTAACAAAACTCAATTTCAGCAAATTGAATATTTATAAGTTCCAATATTCATGGATAAAAATCATAAAATGGCTTCTCGCGTCGCCAATGGTCAAACCTAAGAATTAAAAAGTATGAGGCAATAAGTAGAAATAGGCAAAACGTAGTGGCCTGAATTGTAATTAAGAACTTCTCGTGAAGTAAGTAAACGTGAAACTGGTTCTCCCGGTAACAAGTTGACACGGCATTTTATTTGAAAGAGAAGAAGCAGAAGAGAGAGAGAAAGAGAGCAAGTAGAGGACTGGGTCTGGTCTCTTCGCTGCAACCTATAGCTGTTGTTTTGCTCTTCGACGGGATTCTCACTACTCTTTTGCAAGAAAGAGGTAAACTTTCCAGAAATTTTCAATCTCTTGATGAATTTCTCTTAAGAAAAGACTCATCTTTTTAGGTTGGATTGATTTTGGTTTTGCTTTTCAAGTTGTAGCAGTTGGCGAACTTTATACTCTTGTGTTCTTATCTAGATTCCTGCAAGTTTGTTGCTTTTTCTTTATGTAGCTAAGTTTAAGCCTGTGTAGTTGATTAAGTCGATGCATTTCAATGATTCGATTCGAGGGTTTTGCGTATTCCTTAGGATTTTGAGCTCAAAAATCTTCATTTGGGTCTCATTCGAGTTTTGTGATGTGCGTTAGTTCTTCGATCTCTGTAGGAATTTGAGTTATGGGTTTTGTTTAGATTCACTTTGAAGCTAAATTGGGTTTCATTTGTGGGGAATACAAATGGAATGTTTTCATCAAAGGTGGAATCTTTTCCAATTTCAGTTGCTGTTTACTTTGTGGATTAGTGCTCAAATCTGAGGTTTTAAGTCTTGAAATTTTACAGATCGGAGGTTCCGAAGGTGAATGCAGCTTGCGATTTCATCGAAGAGAAGATTTGCCTGCCGGATTAGACTTAATTGGGTATTATAGCTGTAAGATTGTAACTGAAATTTATTGCTAGAGAGGTTTTTTTGGTCGGTGAACAGTTGGGTATATGGGTATGGACATAGCTGATAAGGAGAATACGAGCCCGCTTTTATTTGAATTCTGCAATTGTTATAAAGTTGCTAGCCTTACTGAAACCATTCTAAACCCAGTAAATGTTTCCAACTTAAAAGATCGATATGTGCTTGGAGAACAGTTAGGCTGGGGTCAGTTTGGTGTGATAAGAGTATGTTCTGATAAGTTAACAGGAGAGAGGCTTGCTTGTAAGTCTATATCTAAAGACAGATTGGTAACACAAGATGACATGAAGAGTATCAAACTAGAGATTGCGATAATGGCCAAGTTAGCTGGACACCCAAATGTGGTGAATCTCAAAGCAGTTTATGAGGAGAAAGATTATGTGCATCTTGTGATGGAACTATGCGCAGGCGGTGAGCTTTTTCACAAGCTTGAGAAATATGGAAGGTATTCAGAGTTTCGTGCTAGGGTACTCTTCAAGCATTTGATGCAAGTGGTCAAGTTTTGTCACGATAGTGGTATTGTTCACAGAGATTTGAAACCGGAAAATATTCTTATGGCCACTATGTCTTCTTCATCTCCTATCAAATTGGCTGATTTTGGGCTGGCCACCTATATAAAGCCTGGTAAGATAAAAAAACACTGACTTCTTATAAGTTATCAAATCGAAAAATGGACATTGTGTAGTCTAAGAAATGGGTTTTCGTGTGAGCAGGCGAAAAACTGAGCGGAACAGTTGGTAGTCCATTTTATATAGCCCCTGAAGTGTTATCAGGGGGATATAACCAAGCTGCTGATGTATGGAGTGCAGGGGTTATTTTGTACATTCTTCTCAGTGGAGTGCCTCCCTTTTGGGGAAAGACTAAATCAAAGATTTTTGATGCTGTCAGGGCTGCAGATTTGAGATTTTCTGCAGAGCCATGGGACCATATAACTTCATACGCTAAGGATTTGATCCGCGGGATGCTTTGTGTTGATCCTTCCCAAAGATTATCAGCTGATGAAGTTCTAGGTATGTCATCTCAATCGTTTTTTGAAACTTTTGGAAATGATGATTTGTTTGTATGCTTGTCTCGAGTAAGTTATCCATGTTCCTTAACACGCAAAGCCACTGAGATATTACTTTAATGATGTCTATGGATTTGTTGATTACAGCAGGTCAATAATTTTTTTTGTGCATTTGTTTGCAGCTCACTCTTGGATGGAGCAGTTATCTGAATCAGGTCAAGAACAATATGATCAGGAAGGGTTTGGTTGTGAAGGATTGGATAATGGGAGTTGTTCTTTTTCCACACAATGCATTTCTCGGGAACAAGACTATAGCTTTAGTGTTGGCCAGTTAGAGCAATCAACAGATAACGAGTGTAAATCATCGTTCTCGTCTTTCCTACCTGCGGATAATACACTGCCAAATTCCGGTTTTGGTGGGTTTTCTTTTGATGGAAAACAACCGGAATCAACCTCAGCTCGCTTCTCATCAACTGGAATTCCCTCTATGCCAAGCTTTACCTTTTTTAGTCCAAGCCCAGCGACGACACAGAACAACAACATAACTGAAACAGATGGAAAAGTTCGAGGTACCTCTTTTGCTCTTCCTTGGCTTAGAATGTTGGGACTTGATGATTGCTAGAAATGTAGAGTCATATAAACATGGCAAGGAAAATAACTTCAAACCCGTGAATCAATATCTGGATCAGTTGATTATAAATGAGTTTGCATTAGTATCATCTTGTTTCTTGGTGTTTTACCCGGAGATTTAGTCTTGAGCTAATCAAATCATCTGTGTCCCTTTCTTACAGACTCAAGCCCAAAGAGGTTACTGCCTTCACCAGATTCTTCTTCACAACTTGAGAGACGCGAGGAAGCAGGGGAGAATCAGACAGAAGCAGGAGGAAAGTCAGAGACAAGAAGGGAAAGAGGAAACTGGTCAAGAATGTCAGGTCTGCACAGCAAAAGAAACCGGACCATAGGACTAGGCGAGCTAGACCAGTTGGTGGTGGATGTTGCAGTGACAGAGTCGATAATCAGATGGGCATCTTGCACCCATATTCCCACCGCTCCCTCCCTCAGATTGTCGCTCGTCTGCTAGAAGAAGAAGAAGACAACTGTTATCAGTATAATATTGTATGTACACATCTGATTTTGTTCCTGCAATGTCTTTGTTTTTGTAGTAAAACATTTCCATGGAAACTGACCTCAACCTGTATAAACCAAGCGGAAATAGAGTGTGATTTTGATTTCTTTAGAGAAGTTATTGTTCCATTATGAGTAATTTAAAAAGTAGAAGGAAAAAAATTGCGTCTGCCGGGAGTCGAACCCGGGTCTATTGCTTGGAAGGCAATTATCCTAACCGTTGGACTACAGACGCTGAACGAAAGTTACATTGATAATGGCCTTTGTATATAGACAGAGGAACTAATTCGTTTAGTTTCATTACTAGCTGATATGCGGCGACACTATAGCTAAGCTAAATATAGATGTTCAAAAACAACCTGAGCTGATATAATATCACAAATTTTAGTAGACAAGTATGTTCAAAGTTCAAACTCTTCACGAGAAACATTGTCAATAAAAATAAAAGAACCCAATTAATGAAAAAACCAAACAAATTGAATTGCCAATGATGTATCGATTTAAAGATTCTAAGCTACAAAGAAATAAAAAAGAATCTTACGCTCTAATACACAAATATACTTAAGAGAAAATGTGAAACGAACTAAGAATTGAATTTTCTCGTCGTTTATTAGACCAAAGGCCGGCTCTCTTCATCGTCTTCCTTCTCAAACTTAACCCGTTCCAAGTTCCCGGGTGTCTGACCCGAACCCGAAGATTTCGTGCTTGGATTTGGATCAGGAACCATCTTGAGAATAATGCCCATAGAGATGAGTAACAATCCTGTGCCGTGCTGTTCTGTTAAAGGCTTTGTGAATATCAAGTAGGACAGTAACAGCGTTACCGCTTTTCTCGCCGTCGTTATCTACTCCCCGAAACAAAACAAAATATTAATTTACATTGTTTCTACAAACAGAAGTTTGAACTCTAAAGTAATATGTTGCTTAAACTCTATATGATCGATGCTTTATTGGTTATTATACAAAACCGAAATGCAGTAGTAAAAATGAAGAAAGTAGTTTTACCATAGCGGTTGTGGCTGCGCCAAAGAGTGCAATGAGGGATAAAACAGAGACTTGTCCGATAAATGTAGCCATGGCTTCGAACACCAACACTCCATAGACATATGGATGCTACCAAAATGTCAATTAAGAAAAATACAATTACTCAAGTACATTAGTCAATGATCATCATATAATGTCTCTTCTCGTTAATGTCTCTTGTCATTTTCAAGTGGCGAATAAGAATTAAAGTATTAAAGTCGTTAACAATCTTATATAATATCTAAAGCTTACTTCAGCACATGAATTCCAAGCTCTGAAAAGCTCTCCAGTAAGAATCATTGGTGCAAGTAAGAACGGTAAGCCAACTACCGTGGAGCAGAACAACATCTCCATCTACCATCAAAGAGAAAAAGAAACCGTTAAAATTTATTCGAGAAAGAGAGGCATTATTGGAAAGGAGAAACAATAAAAAGAATTACTTGTGTTGTCTCAGGATTCATCGTGAAGATAGCTTCTTGCAAGTTACCGAGAAAAGCGTCCATGATGAGAGCGCCCGAGATCATCACAACCCCAACTATACTGAAGTTTGGGGAGGTATGGGCATCAGCTAATGTGAATATGATCAGACCAATTACAAGTAGCATAGCCGATATGTACTCGTGGACAGGGTATTTTCTTCTCAATCCGGGTATAAAAGCTCCCATTACCATAACCGGCAAAACCTAGAGAACAGAGGAAGAGATCAGTAATAATGCAAGGAGTCTAGGATCACAAAGAGAGCTGAAGTTAGTCCTAAGCCAAGATAAACAAATGCGACGATGATCTATATTGAACGAAATTGATCCCAGAGATTACTCTAAACTTCGATCCCTCGGATTTGAACATGATTTGACTAATGATGGTATTGGACTATACTAAAATCTTATTTATGATATATACCTTAGTTGATTTGAACATGATTTGAGCAGGATAATTGAGATAAGCCAAGGAGCCTTTGGTGAGGCCATGAGAACCCATAAGAACACCAGATAGTTTCACGTAAGTCTTCCATGGATTCACCATTTGCTTCGTCCTGAAGCCATATATGTAAATGAGAGCAATGTACACCAATCCTTGCGCAAACGTGAAATACCATCCATAACTGCAACACACACACACACATATTATACTACTATTATTCGAATTTTATGTTTTAAATAAAATATGACTTTTGAATTACCTGAATTTAAGCCGGTTGTACACATATTCCTGCAAATTTGAGAAGAACCCAAAAAAAAAGGTGTGTATAAAAGATCCGAAATTGTAGTTAAACAAAATAAATCTAAATTTTGATAAAATCGCGTTATAAAGTTAAAAATGTATAGGGATTAAGCAAATACAGAATCTCAAGAGGAAAAAAAAAAGCAGAATCTCGAGAAAATGTACTTTGTATTAAATGTAAACAAATCTCAGATTCAACAAAAAAAATTGCATGCCTAATCTTCGCCTTTGTTTCCGGTAAAAGTCTTTGTTCTAATGAAATAATTTTAGAAGAAGACCACCGGATTCATCTCTAAACCTTAGAATTTTTCTCTTGAAAATAAGACAGAGAAACCCACCGCATGCATAAACCGGAATTTCCCAGACAAAATCAAATCAAAATAAACAAATAAAAACAATTCATGAAAAATATCGAAAAAGTCTCTGATCCTACTGATTTGGTTTTATCATAATTATAATTACAAAAAAATGGAAAAAAATCAAACCTCGCAGATGCCATTAACGAGGTAACCAAAGAAAAATCCAGAAGAACAGATGAGAAATTGTTGCCATCTGGGTTTATCAGAAAGAGGAATTCCAAACAGTTTTATCATTTGTTCTTCGCTGTTAATCTTCATGTTCTTGAAAGAAGAATAAATCAAACCAAGGAATATTTGTTATGTTAGAAATGGAAAACTGAAATCTGATTTTCTTTTTGTTCCTCTCTTTGAAGATTTGGGATTTGTAAAAGTAAAAGAGTCAGTGATATTGACAAGTAGATGAAGAAAGGTATAAATCAATTGAAGAAAGAACAAAATAATTCTCCTTTTGGTTTTCTTTTTTTCTCTTACTCTCTAACTTAACGCTCACGAACACTTTTTAGCATAGTATTGTATTAAATATCACTTCACAAGATATTAAGGGTCTAATTGTCTTTTACTTTCTATCGCTTTTGTTTGTATTTATCTTAGTATTTAGATTCAAAAAAAACTTTAATAAAATATAAAACAAAAAACGGTTGATATTGATGAATATATCTCAGAGAATATTTGATTTTGAGAGTTTGAAAAACAAATCCGTGAAGTTAAGTTGGGTTTTAGTGAATAATTGTGTGATTAACATGCACTTACTTGGCTACTTGATTCAAAACCTCGTATAACGAACTCTCCCAATATTGGGAATTGTGACTTGAGTTAGAGCGAATGATGAGCTGGCAAAACCAAAAAGTCAGTTTCAGACAGCCACGTGTTTCATTCTTTAGTTCCGCGCCGGTACCTCATGCCACGTCAGACTGAGAATTTAGGATTTTCGAAAACCAGTGTAATATGAAAATAAGTACTATAATAATAAACTTTTGATGACCTTACCATAATAAATTCCGTGCAAAAGACTTTACCATGAATTTCGTTTCAAGATATTCAATTTATTAGTTGTAAACTTGTAATCGTGACATGCAGTCTATGCAGAGTATTTCGGGAATTGCAATTCCACCGGAAAACTTACTAATCTTTTCTTTTTGTGAATAGTCTATAATCAAAAGTCGTTGAAAGCACAAATATAATAATCTTAAGAAAGCATAACTAAAATATTCCTAAGTCAAAACTGTATATTTTTATGGTCAATCTCTCGGGTAGTCAAGATTTATGTGTTAGTATCCAGCAAGATTTGATTTAAAAAAAAAAAAAAAAAAAAATCATAAATCTATTACAAGTATATTACACTTTTTTGGAAATTTGCATTTCTACAACTTGGGCCTAGGCTTTGTATATTAAGATTCATAAAGCCCAATAAGTTTATAAATTTATAGGTACAAAGATTCCAAGAATCTTACAAAATTATACCATCAAGGAACCTTCTAACTCGCCAAGAGGAACTAACTCCCAGGGACACACATCTACAATCTTAAACTCACATAAATAACTCTTACATAAAAACTATATATTATATATAGTAGATATGTGAGCCCCACTTAATAACTGTAACTCCACAGTGATATATCTTCATAACACATCTCTTCTTCCGTGTAAACATTACTAGGAGTCATGTCTTCCGTATACGATCGCGGAGGCGACATTAACGGCTCCTCCGCGAGTCTCATCATCGTCGTCGATACTTCTTCGTAGTCCCCAAGTCCATACGAAGAAGAATTCCTCTCCTCCGATCCCGAACCAGAGCCAGAACCCGAACCAAAACCCAAATCCACATCATCTCCCAAAGAGGGCAAAACCGTAATTCCACTTCCTAAATCTACCGGCCTAAACAGCTCCGCCGCTTCAGCCGCAACTCTTCTTATCACATCCGGATCATTGGATTCCGGCACCGGGAGCCGCCAAGCGGAGTCGGCGAAATTCAAACACGCGGATCTCCCGCGCAGAGTCAAAACCGCCACGTCGTGAGCACGCGCCGCCATATCCGCGGTGGGATAAGTCCCGAGCCAAATGCGGCGTTGGTGCGTCGGCTCTCTGACTTCGCAGACCCATTTGTCGCCGTTCCTCCGCCTTATTCCTCTGTAAACTGGGTGACGTGTCTCCTTGAAGACTCTCCTTCCCGCACGCTTCTTAGGCCTCATCTCCGCCAGGATAATGTCATCATTATTCATAACTCAAAGTACCAAAAATTTCGCCGGAAAACAAAAAGAAACTCCGGTTAACTTAAATTACTGTTGAAAGCGTTTTTTTCCCTAGGTTTATATAAAAAGCGATGTAAATTCGATTTCTTGTAAGGATTTGGTTAAAAAAAAAAAGATAAAAGATTTGTTCGAATGAAGAGTCTTTTGTTTCTGACTTATGCTCTGTTTTGTTTTTTGCTGGGAGTTGAGAAACAGAGAAGTGAGAAAGAGAGGAATATATAGGCTACGGTAATGGGAACCACAGTATGCGAATCGTACGCGCGTAAGACACATGTAATCTTATCCACGTGTGCACTTATTAGCTGTTAGCCGTTATAACATAAAGTTCTGTCTTGGATATATTAATTGTGTGAGCTTGAACCCACTAATTAATTAATTAAACAACCAATACAAAAGTGTTTCTTCTTTTAAACATTGGATTAGTTAATTTGTCACATTTTATTTAACTGTAGTTTTCTTCGTCATCAGTCTACAAATTTGCAACCTAAGTGCTTACGACTTACATATATAATTTATAGTTTATAGTGTTTCCTTTTGTGGTTTCTTTACCAAATTACGGGATCGGTCTATGATTCTAATATCACAAGTAAGAGTGCATGGCTATTATTAGTAACTAAAATAAACGAAGAACTTCCCTGTCTTTAAAACAAAAAATGACACATGATCAATCTTCTTACAATTTAGTCAAATACAATATTAGCTTGTTCATCTTTCTGTTGCAGTTGGTTTTTTAAACAAATATTTTTATTATATCAGGTGGAATCACATGCTGGATATATCTCCGACAAAAATTCAAAACTAGGAAAAGGTTTTCTAACGAAATCAGTTTATATAAATTTGACTTTCAAGACGATTACAACAAAATTATTTGATTAACGTTGTTTCTGCAAGATGGAAGGATGTGAAATTCAGAATAATATAAGGAAAAATGAATCAATTTATATATTACATTGAGTAAGAATCATGGAAAGAATTTTAAGAAAATTGATAAATGTAAAATTAATCACCTCACTTAAATTTGTTGGGTTTTTGTTCATTTAACACAATCGTTATGTTATTTTGATATTTTATGAGTGGTGGCGAAATACCTTATTAAAATTTATCCATGTAACTCCCATATTTCCATGGCGAAATACCTTATCACAAGTATCCTTCCATGGTATTATCAATAAAATCAGATGACAAAAAAAAAAAAAAAACTCCCATATTTCATCAGTTGTGTGCCAGACAAATAACCACGGCTACCCTTTTATTAAAAAGACGTTAGTGGTTTTAAAAGGGATTATTGTCTAAAATGCCATTTTTTGGGAAAAACTTACGAAAATGCCATTTTTTGAATAATTTACGGATTTTGCCCTTTTTAACATTTAAAAATGTACGTTTTTTGTGATTTTTTTTGCAAAAATACGTACTTTATACCAACTACTAAACCCTAAGAACAAATGGAACCGACTAAACCCAAACAAAACGAGTGAAACTCATGTTAAATCATATTTTTGGAGCCTAAAAAAGAGTAAAATCCACAAACTATTAAAAAAATGGCAAAATCCACATATGCCACTATGAAAAAGGACAAAATCCGTAATTAATTCGGTTTTAAAATACAGTGACAAAGAAACATTCTTAGAATAATTTGGTCAAACATAACTTTTTGGCTTAGTTTTAACTTTATAGTTAATATTAAATTCGGACAGTTGGGTCCAGCGCTCCCATGTTGAGATTTCGGGACCAAAATATCCATTTTAATTAGAATCTTATTTCTATATTTGTTTTGTGGATATACAACACGTGACTCATTTCCATATTAAGGAAATTAGCTGTGAGTAACACGTGGGATTTCCGTGGGAACAATTTCTTAATTCTTAGTACAGTAGTACTATGATAGTACTTGGCTACTTGCACAAACATGTGGAGATTAAAACACATTTAATCCCTTTGTTTTATCAAACACTTCAAGATATATGAAGGGAATCATCAGCTTGTAGAAAAAAAAAATGTACATCTCACTACAAAAAAAAAAAACTAAATTATGAAAATAATAATAATCAAACTTAAGTATTAAACAGAAGATAACAAATTACCACATTGATCGTTCAGTTGAAACAAAAAGACGTCGACAATTGTGATGTATATCTGGAAATTTAAATACATTAACATGCAAGTTATCACATTTTAGTCTCAATTAATTAAAATAATTCTTAAATTAATGAATTCCTCTGAATTTTAGAGGCTCACTAAAAGTCTAAAACCTTTCATACAAATTAATAGACGATAGATGTTGAATGTTTGATAATGATAGTACAGAAAGAAATGTTGAAATACATAAAGCGAAAGCCTTAAAGAGAGATAAGGAGACAATGTCGGCCACAAGAATTAAGGCTTCATGCTGTCTCGTGAGTGTCACATGCGCGTGTCCTTTCGTCTTTTTATTCTCTCTCTTAAGAGTTAAGATTATATTTTAGGTGAACAATTTTAATGTTAATTATAGCCAATTATATGTATATTCCGTGTATTAGTAATTTGCCGAACTTACTAAACAAATATTTTGGATTATAACTTTATAAGATATCAAACAATAAACATTATGTCAGCAATGATAATATGCTGCGTCAAGAAAAATATAACAATATGCAAATTATATAGTTGCTATCTTATTCTAATAGTGAGAAAGTGAAAAGAAAAAAAGCAATTAGATATGGGCCGTAGACACTAAAGGATTCATGGGCTTCTTAATTATGGGTTCAGTTTTATTCTTTTATGTAATGGTGTACTAACCAATACGATTCATCTAATATAAAACATGAATTAATCACTCACTAAACCCTAATTACTTTTACTAAAAAGTTACTTTAATAGAGATGTACTGTCGAGTTTTCAAGTAGATGATGATGAAACTAGCTCTGGCCTCTGGGGCATTCCTCATTGATATAACAGCTCTTAACTGTTTTGGGACATCATCATCCTCTGTTTCTTGTATCTAACTTCACTGCCAAATGCAAAATAAGAGAGAGGGAAACCCAACGAATTGTTTATTTTTTTGGGATCTGAAACATGTCAAGGAAGAGGAAAAGTTCACTAAAAACATGATTCAATTACATTAGAAGAGAAAATAAATTTTCCACAGCTAAATACTCCTCTGTTATGGGTTTAGAAGAAACAGAACCCACCCGGACCTTCTTGTACGCATTCAAGAAAGCATATCCAGAAAGCTTTTCTTCAATCTACCATCTGATAACATATCGACAACCATTTTCATAGTGGAAGCATCAGCAGAGAACCCACCCTTCTTCATTTCTTCGATGAGTTCAGCTGAAGTGATTACGTCACTGCTTTGGAGATGTGCTCGGATTAGAGTGTTGTATGTACCATTATCTGGCACAAACCCTTCCTCTTCCATTTTTCTACGCAACATATTTGCTTTAGACAGTGAGCCTTTCCTACATAATCCTGAAATCATTATGTTGTATGCCCTGACATCAAGCTTCACTCCTTTGAGAGGGATGCTACAGAATAAATCCCAAGCATCATCCACCTTACTAGCATTGCACATCCCGTGAATAATTATACTATATATACCTATATCAAGCTTCATCTTACTCTTCTGTATTTTATCAAATATTTCCAATGCTTTCTCTAGTTCTCCATTGTCACACAACCCATCCAGCAAAATTGTGTAGGTCACAATATCCGGACAAACACCACAAGAAACCATCTCTTGGAAGAGTTCTTTGGCAACCTCAAGTTTTCCCGATTGACAAAACCCTCTGACAAGAGTGTTATATGTGACTGTATTAACAATGACTCCTCTTAAAGACATTTTGCGGACGAGTTCCAAACCATCGTCAACCCGCTTAGCCTTACAATAGCCATTTATGAGGATATTAAACGTCACGATATCAGGATGGCATCCCTTGCTAATCATCAGATCCACCATTTGGTTGGCCTCATCTAGACGGTTCTCCTTGCAAAACCCATCTATCAAAGAAGTATATGTAATAGTATCAGGAGAGATACCTCGCTGAATCATCTCAGTGTACATTTTTTCGGCCTCTCGAAGCTTTCCCTCTTTCACAAAACAATCAATCAACGCACTGAAAGTGATGACGTCGGGGGTGATTTTCCTTGTGATCATATCCCTCAGCAACTGTGCACCATCATCCCATCTACCAGCATTACAAAATCCTCCAATGAGACAGTTGTAGGTAATAACATTTGCTTTGATCCCTTTCATTTCCATTTCATTGAAAAGGTTGAATGCATCGTCGAGGCACCCGTCTTTGCAAAGACCATCAATGATGATACTGTATTTGGCTGCATCTAGCTTGATATTTCTTTCTTCCATCTTTCTAAGCAAATCCAAGGCCAGGGCAGTTTTACCAGACTTGCACATTACATTTAAAACCGGTCCATAGGTAACTTCACTGGGTTGACAACCACTTTCCACCATTCGATCAATCAAAACCAATGCTTCAGAGACTTTACCTTTGAGACAAAGGCCATTGACCAGGGTGTTAATCGTTATGAGGCTGGGTCTAAGCTCCATTTCCACCATTCGATCAACTAACTCCACAGCTTCAGGAACTCTACCCTCGAGACAGAATCCGTTAATCAAAGTTGAAAATGTGATAGTGTTAGGCTCATACCCAAGTTTCAAGATCTTTCCCATAACGGAAAAAGCGAACTGAAGTTTACGACAGCGACAGAAACAATTGATCATAATACTCAGAGTGTAGAGGTCATGTGAAATCCCAAGCAATTCCATTCGCTTGGAGAGAGCTAAAACGAGATCATACTGTTTTGTTTTGGCAACACCACTAAACAATCTACTGAAATCTATGATAGTAGGAAGAGGACGAGAGTGAATCATGGATTCGAAGAGAGCAATAGCATCATCTTTCTTAATATCAACAATCCCACTTCTCAGTCTCTCTCTATAAGAGACTTTCCTTTTACCATCGTTGACACTAGAAAAGACTCGTCCATAGCAAGACAAGATTAAAGCAGTTCTCGGAGTACCTGTCTCGAGAAAAC